CCAGTGACGTGTCTCGTTTCTGAACACGGAGGTCAGCGAACAACATTTCAATGGCAACACTTTTCTATAATGGTGAGGAAAAGGGAGTTCCCTCCTCCAGCTGCAGCTAAAGAAGTCAAAGTACTCACTCTTTCATTTGGGCCAAAATACCAGCAAATGCACTTGTGTAGAAAAACACTCGTGTCTGAATAATGCTCGTCCTGTTTTTTCTTCAACATGAGTTTTTCATCTTTCTTCCACAACAACAGATCAAGGTTTTTATTAGCTTTGCATGTCTCAACAGCGTCTGCCATCTTCCTCAAAGGTGTCACATGTTAACGTAAAAAAAAACTTGATCTGTTGTTCTGAAAGAAAAAAGGACGTTTCTGAAGGGATTGTTATATTTATCAAAGTAATCAGTGCTGCACAGTACAGAAATATGATTATGTTGCTTAACAGATTCACAAATATAAGATTTCAAGTATCAACTGTGTAAAATGAATTTCAGGTGGTGAAATTAGTTAAAGTAGTTTATGCATGTATCCACGAAGAATCAATACTGCCCCCTTGAGACCAACCATAGTACTGGTATAGCTCTACTTGTATGAGGATAAATAATATTAATTTGTTTATATATTTGTTAATGCTGATGTCAAGAAATCATTAGAAATTTAGATGTAAATTTTTGATAATATTTTGAAGAGATTGGTGAGGGAAAAGATCAGACTCTGTCTGGAGAGGTGGTTCATAACATGCTCCATAAATCAATCAGATCATTTCTTATGCCTCTGCCGTTATAAGCTACTGGACCTGTAGTATCTATTACCAGTGACTCAAGCAGAAGCAGGAGATGAACATTCACGTTCGTCCAATATCCAGAGGAGGTTAATTATTACACACTTTTTCCTCTTGGCACTGAAAAGAACACCGACTCACAGGAATGAGCCAATTTGTTTCATTAGAAGCGACTCAGGTCAAATGATTGTAGACACACAGGCATTTAAGCTTCTGAAATCAGCAGATTTTGTATAGACAGAAAATAATGCACGCTGAACTTTTGAATGTCTTGCTTTACATTTACCCTTCTGACATGATTACCATCTCTGTCACATGATTAAACAATTACACGACATCACCCTCCTCATCCTCTATAGCCCATACACCAACGGAAACAAGATGGAAAAAATAACATTTAATATTGGCCCAGTTTTATTTATCGGACCGATAATGAAAATTTCAATTCTCACGCTGCTCTGGGTGGCTGCATGTTGGAGTAGCTCTGTTAACTACATGTAAGTTTTGCCTTTTTTGGACATTTTTTCTTTTAGCGTCTTAAGCAAAACTTTTTTTGGACCTTTTACTTTTGTTTCTGGTGCTGTGAAGCTTGGATGATTTTTTACTGCCATTTTTTCACTTTTTCACTTTTGGAGCATTTGTTATGATGTGTAACCATGGCAACAAGCTGGTTTATAATTGGGAGCAGCTGATTAACATTGGAAACGCTGACATAATACCTCAACTGAAGCCACAAATCCCAAATGAGCTAAAACGCAAGAAGCGTGGATGCAGAGCGGGAGCAAAACGGAGACACAGAGAGGAAATTCAAACCATCTCTTCCATCGATCATGAGGGGCAATGTGAGATCACTGGCAAACAAGATGGATGAACTCCAAGCCCTTTCAAGGGCTCACCCATAGTATCGACAGTGCAGTGTTATGTGTTTCACTGAGACGTGGCTGCAGGACCATATCCCCGATTCCAGCATGTCTCTGCCAAGATTCCTGACTGTACGAGCAGACAGAGATCTGAAGAGGAGCGGGAAAAGAAAAGGAGGTGGAGTGGCGGTGCTTGTCAACAACAGATGGTGCCATACATGTCGTGTTTCAGAGAAATGTCATCTCTGCAGCCCAGATGTTGAACTCTCGGCAGTAAGTTGTCGCCCATATTATTTGCCAAGAGAGTTCACCATTGTTGTCTTGGCAACTGTTTATATTCCACCTTCAGCCACTGCTGAAAATGCATGTGATGCCATCAGTTCCGTTGTCACTAAGCTGCAAACCCAGCACCCCAATGCATTTGTGGCTATATCTGGTGATTTTAATAATTCCTCGCTCTCTGCTACACTTACAACATTTCAACAGTTTGTCAGCTGCTCCACCAGAGAAAACGTGACATTGGATTTGTGTTATGCAAAAGTAAAGGATGCATACATGTCCAAAACAAGACCTCCTCTGGGACAATCAGATCACAATCTTGTTTTTCTCTGCTCAGAATATAAACCACTTGTTCAGAGGGAACCTGTGACAAGAAGAATTGTGAGAAAATGGTCACAGGATGCTGAAGAAGCCCTGCAGAGTTGTTTTGAGACCACAGACTGGCTGACTCTCTGCCAAAGATATGAAGAGGACATCAATGCCATGACTGGAGGTGTCACTGACTATATAAACTTCTGTGTGGACGATGTCATACCCACCAGAACAGTGAGATGCTTCGCTAATAACAAACCCTGGATCACCAGTGAACTGAAGAATCTGCTAAATGAGGAAAAAAGAGCCTTCAAGGAGGGAGACAGGGAATTATTGAGAAGTATACAGAAGCAACTGAAGATCAAGATCAGAGACAGCAAGGAGGCATACAGGAAGAAGCTGGAGAACAAATTACAGAGGAACAATATCAGAGATGTCTGATCAGGGATGAAGAAGATCACAGGCTTCAAGCAGAGGAAGGATTGCACAGATGGCAGCCTGGACACAGCCGATTAACTGAACAAGTTCTTCAATAGGATCAGTTCAGGAAAAAACGCAGCATCCTCCTCGCCTGTCCCCAGCCAATCAGACATCCCATCCTCCTCTGATCCAACATTTTCCTGTCACACGCCAGCTCTGTTGTCCTCTAACGCAGTCATGGACTCTTCTGGTTCTATAAATTTGTCTTCAACCAAGTCAGGAGATGCTGCTGCCCCAGTTAGCTCCCCCTCGTGAAGCGCCTCGTGATTTTTATCTTGAGAGGCGCTATAGAAATGATACTTTCTTCTTCTTCTCCCACCTATCTGTCTCTAGAAGTCAGGTGAAGAGGCAGCTGGAGAGACTGAACAGGAACAAGGCTGCAGGTCCAGATGGTGTCAGCCCCAGAGTACTGAAGGCCTGTGCAGAGCAGCTCTGTGGGATTCTGCAGCACCTCTTCAACCTCAGCCTGGCCCAGGAGAAGGTTCCAGTCCTGTGGAAGACATTCTGCCTTGTTCCAGTTCCAAAGAAAACTCGCCCATCAGTCAATGACGACTATAGGCCGGTTGCCCTGACATCCCACATCATGAAGGTCCTGGAAAGACTCCTGTTGATCCACCTGAATAAGCAAACTAGGACATATCAGGGCTCGCTGCAGTTTGCTTATCGCCATGGAGTTGGAGTTGAAGATGCCATCATCCAGCTGCTTCAACCAACCCACTGTCATCTGGACAAAGCAGGCAGCACTGTGAGGGTCATGTTCTTTGATTTCTCCAGTGCATTTAACTCAATCCAGCCTGATGTACTTTGCCAGAAACTCCAGAAGACACAGGTGGAGGCCTCAACTATCGCCTGGATTTAAGACTACCTGACAAACAGACCACAGTTTGTGAGGCTGAAGAACTGCACATCAAACCAGGCGATCAGTAACATTGGAGCACCACAGGGGACTGTACTCTCACCATTCCTTTTCATCCTGTACACCTCAGACTTCCAGTACAAATCAGAGACCTGTCATCTACAGAAACACTCAGATGACTCTGCAGTCGTCGGGTGTATCAGAGATGGACAGGAAGCTGAGTACAGAGAGCTGGTGGAGCACTTTGTGGCATGGTGTGGAAACAATCATCTGACCTTGAACGTGAACAAAACAAAGGAGATGATTTTAGACTTCAGAAGAAACAGGGTGGAGTCAAACACTGTTTCCATCATGGGAGAAGAAGTGGAGGTGGTTGAGGAATACAAATACCTTGGAGTTCACCTGGACAACAGACTGGACTGGAGAAAGAACAGCCAAGCCGTTTACAAGAAGGGACACAGCAGACTGCACTTCTTGAGGATGCTTAGGTCCTTCAGTGTCTGTAGCAAGATGCTGCAGATCTTCTACAAGTCTGTTGTTGAGAGTGTAATCTCTTCAGCCATCGTCTGTTGAGGTAGCAGCATCAGAAGCAGGGACCTGAAAAGGCTCAACAGCCTAATAAAAAAGGCTGGTTCTGTTCTGGGGACGGGTGTGGAACCGCTAAAGGAGATAATGCAAAGAAGGATTCTTCAGAGAATCAAGAAAATGATGGACATCCCTGAGCATTCTCTTCACAAGACTGTCCGACAACGTAAGAGTGTCTTCAGTCAGAGGCTTCTTCAGTTTGGCTGCAACACTGACCGCTACTGGAGATCCTTCCTGCCAACAGCCATTGTCATATACAAAAACTCTTTGATGACTTGATTATTATTATTATTATTCTGAGCTACTACAGCAATCAATTTCCCTCTGGAATCAATAAAGTATTTTTGAATTGAACTGAATTGAATGTTAAAAAAATTGGCCGATACCGATATCAATGCCAACATATCGTGCATCCCTAATACCAAACTACCTCAGCCACCCTGAAAAGTGATTCGTTGTGGAGAAACAGATTTTATGTAAAATATTTTCAGGAAAAGCTCTTAAAATATTAAACTCATTTCAGATTGGTCATTGGGAGTATAATGTTCTGTGGTCTGGTTAAACCTTTATTGAATCTAAGGTCAAGCCTACCTGACCTTCAGAGCTTTAAGGAGGCTTTCTTTACATCAAGATCCTAATGTGTGTTGATATTGTAGGCAGAGTTGTTTTTCCAAATGTAATCTTTGCCACCCTTTTATGGCGTATCATTTGTTGGGAGTTCATTAAAGCGGAGCGAATATCACGAGAAACACAAACTCAGCTTTACGAAACAAAACAAAAAGAAGGACGCTCGGAATATCTGCAAAACTTAAACGTCATATCAACCCATTCAGTTAAATAAAAATGACACTGCGTTAATGAATCTTTTGATTTTTCTTTTATTACTCTCATTTTAAACACTACTTCATAGAAAAACACTGACTTTATTTTCCTTTTGAATTACCTTCGGTTGTTTGAACACATAGGATGACGGTATAAAACTCAATGCAGAGAAACAGAATCACATGAATAAAACAAAAAATGGAACAGGAAAGTTTGAGATGTACAGATTACAGAGTAAAGTGGAAGACAGTGTGGTTTTGGGTCAAAGCCATTTTAACACTCGTTAACTTTACTAAATTTTGCCCAGCTTCGTCATGGGACTTCCTGCAATCAAACATACATTGATATCGGACATCAGCTGGCTTATTCCAGTACCAGAGTGCTTTTTAAAGAACAAACATGATCAACCCATCTGAATTATGTATGGAAATAAAATTAGCTGCTAAATTATGCATTTGTCAGTTTTAAAGTAAAACTACAATCAGTTTTATACGTTGTGCTAAAAAAAATATATTGTTCCACAGTAAATCACATTTCAATGATTTTTCTTATCTGCAATAAAAAAATACATATATATAACTTAAAAAGAAAAATAACCAAAAGATTAAATATTAATCAAATCACCAGCGTCTGGATAAGAATATGTTTTAAAATAAAATCCATCTGCAAAACATAAAAGGATTCAATTGATTGTCAGATTAAAATAATATATTTCTACATTTTAAATATGAAGAAAAACAGTGTTCTTATAAATTGCTGTCACTTTTAGTTGCTTAGATTAGATTTTTAAAGTGAGGCAGAAGTACTTTTAAATTAATCCAATTTTACATTTTTTATAACAACAAAGTTTTTAAAAAGGAAAATAAAATATTCCAACATCCTAGTGCAGACATCCATCTAGTGCCAGTGGGGAGAAAAATATTAATAAAAAACAATTTGATCACAAATCATTCCTTAAGAAATTTGTTTTTAATGCCTAGCACCTACAGAAGGTAAAAGAGGTAGAGCTACAGAAAGTTATTCACCTCCAACTCCCCAAATCAGGGAAAAGAGTGGAAACAAACTACAGGAAGACGTGTTTAAAAAATAAAATCAATGTTAAAGCCTTAAATAAACTCTAGCCAGCAGGACAATTAGCTCCAGGTTTAAATATAATAAATACAAAAGAAAGCAAAAGAGAGATTAAAGACATGACTTCAGCATCATCTAAGGAGGAATAAAAAATGAGGTGAATACTTGATGAAAATGGTCATATCCATGAATAGAGGGTGAAACTCTGGAATATTTGTTCATAGATTACCATTCAAATCCTCTTTGTTCTAAACATGTATGTGATTCACATGAGAAGGATCCTCAGTTTAAGGATTACGGTAGTTTTGATTTAAACTCCTAACCAGTAAGAATTGGTGTGATATGTACAGACAGGAAAACTGCAGCAGCTGGATGTCCTAGACATCTTTCATGATTGAATTAACTAAGATTACCAGCAGATTAATTAACAGGCAATAATCAGATACTGCTGTCCCATCAACACTGAATTCACATCACCTCTGGTGGCCCTTTGGTTTTCTGTAAGAAACGAGTCAGATGAGGAAACAGACCTTGTTCAAATCTGGTACCTTCAAAGTCAGAAAAGCATCCAGCAACTTGGGACTTTAGTTTCCTCTTGCATAACGATCAAAACACCGTTAGGAATCGGCACTGTGGTGCAAAAATAAGAGGGTGGCTCTCTTTGCAATGCTGTGCTGCGTCTTTGGAGAATTCTTTCACAGTTCTGTTTCAGAGCTCTTCCTCCCGAGGAGACCGTTACCCTCCCTTTCTATCCGAATCCGGGGTGAACCATATGGATACGGACCTCTGTTAACGCTGCAAGGAAATGACATGTAAGGTGACGCAGGAGCAAAGTCATATCAGCCTTTTAAAGGGTTACATGCAAACACCACAGCAGTACTCACTTACACGGTGGGAGACTCTAGGTAGTGCTCAGCACGGTGAATTGGGGTTAAGGAAAGTCGGCGAATGATGTCCTAGAAAAATGAAACAAAAGACAAAACTTGTATATACATACTATATACAGCTCTAATGTTTTAGGTGATGTGACACCTTTTTTGTAGGTACATAGTTGTCTGAGTGTGTATCTGTGATTATAGGGATAAGTGTGTGTATGTATAAAATCATTCACTTATGATATATTTGTATATTTAAATACAAAATTACAATTTTGACATGAAAATAAGTGCAAGTTTATGACCAGGGCTCTACAAGCCACGGCGTTTTCCTGCTTCGTTTCCAACACCTCGTTTCCATTTTACTGACAATTTTCTTGATTTTTTGTTTTCTGTTTGTTTAAACTTTATTTGTTGAAAATAAAAGGAGCAAAAAAAGCAAAAGATGAAAAGGAAAGTGAGCAATGCTAACAGTTGAAACTAGCAGGTTAGAGTTGGTACTAGCAGGTTAGTGAGACAGGAAGAGTTGAGCATGTAGGAGCAAGTCTGAGCAGCTCTTGGAGCTGAAGAGAAGCAAGCCCTAACTAATACTCACTAGCCACAGATTTATCCCCCAACATGGGCTCCTGCTCCATCATATCCATGGAGATTTTTATAGTGGGGATACTTTCATTGTATGGGTAGTCAGACTGTGGGAGGATGGAGGGAAAATATTAACACTGTGTTTAAGGCGAGGATCTACTGGAGTCTGATGACACATCAGTGTTACACAAAAAATACATTTATTATGTATTTCAAGTAAACATCTTTTGAAATTGGTTTTGTGGAAAAATTATGAACAACTAATGATAGCTGTAGTGGAAAGCTTTTTGAACAGCTTCAGTTCTGGGAAACAGAGATTAGATCTAACTAGCTAATAGCTAGTTACAGCTGGGCCAAAGGTAAAGGGCAGCATTAACACACCACTTGTAATCTAAAATACATCACGGATGCTAAAGTAATGCCATTCAAAGCGTCTATATTTCTTCTTTTTTATTTCGGCATTCCACTTTGTAACTGGCCCCACTGTGACTAGCTGTTAGCTCATCAATCTGTCCTGAGATTGTTTACAGAGGTCAGATAAGAATTGTTCATAACCGTTCCACAGAACCCACTTCAGATGAGCCGACAGTCTTTAACTTACAAAGTCTATCTCGCTGTCGATGCTTCCCTTCTTCTTGTTTTTCTTTTTCTTCTCATCCTCCTTCTTCTTCTTATCTTTCTCTGGGATCACATCGTCTAGGTAGCCGAGGTCGTGCTGGGAGAACAGGTAGTCCATGGCCTTTCGGACAGCAACTAATGCCAGAATCTATTAAAACAGACAAAGTTAAACGTACACCCAAATGCCGAGAGACTTGGGTTTTCAGTGTGTGGTGGCCATCTCTCACCATGACAGGGAAAATTATTGCAGCTACAGTAGACTTGAGGATCCAGAGGAGGGCCAAACAAATGACCTGGATGAAGGTGAAGAAGTGGATGCGTCTCTGGGGTACATGGCGCAGGTAGATCAGGTCCGGTTGGTGCTTGGCGGGCATGAGAAGCAGCAGCAGACGATCCATGAACTGGCAGGTGCAAACAGACAATAATACAAGTCGTAAAACTGGTCCTGCAGCAGCGAACATACACGGAAGATGCTGCTGGGAGTAAACCAAGCCAAAACTATCTTAACTAGAATGATCTGATCCCTGAAAGAGCCAGGCCCTTGGGTCTTGATAGGTATTTTTATGAATACCTCTTCAGAATAAGGTCATGTTTTTTTTACAAACTTGATTAATTTTGTATTAAGCCACAAAAATACACGCTGGACCAACTCACCTGGACTCCATTGAGAGATGCCACACCCATATAAAGAAACACACCGTAGAGCACCGGCATGGGGATGAACTAAGAGACAGAAAGTAAAATAAAAAGTTTGGGATGACATCCTCTGGTCAAATCTAGGTACTGCAGCCCATGTGTCAAAACAAACAAGTCTGCTCTGAGCAACGGGTGCCAGTTACAGATCAACACCAAATCATTCTAGATGCCGAGTGAAGATGAGTCCTACACAGTTAGTTGATAAGCAGATAAATACATTTCACTGTAATGGAGTGCTGTTGGTAGCTGAAAAAGTATCTTGAGATATTTTTAGAGCCAAATAATTCTTTCTATGGTAAATGACCTGTGTTTTATATAGTGCCTTCTAGAGTCCTGGAACCCCCAAGGCGCTTTACAACACAGTCATTCACCCATTCATACGCTGGTGGGGATGAGCTACGATGTAGCCACAGCTGCCCTGGGGCGCACTGACAGAGGCGAGGCAGCCGAGCACTGGCGCCACCGGTCCCTCCGACCACCACCAGCAGGCAAGATTCATCGTTAGCATTGTTAGCTCAGCATTAGCTTCTAGCCTTCTTTACCAGATATTGGAGTAAAACAAAAATATGATGCGGCTTTTTAGGGACACAAAAAATAACTTTTGGATTGATCCTATTACTGGCTAACACAACGTTGGTGCTTTTTGCCAGCTGGTGTTCATTTACAAATGCTGGTGAAGCAGTGTTAGCTGGAACAGACTTAGCAACCCTGCGGGTTTAAATACGATTAGCTCTGGAACCAGGAAGTATGAAGGCAGGACAGAATGTAAACAAAGACAATGACACACTTGTACTGCACCCTACGGTCCTCAGTAAAGTGCACTCGGAGGGCGTGCACATTGAAGCTTTGAGAGTGTGTGGAGCACAAGTGTGCAAATAATTGCTGAATTGGGATAGTGAGCACTGAATCAGCGAACGCGACGCATGCACCCAGCAAGCTAAGAAAATAAATCTGTCTCAGTGTAACCTTCCTTCCAGCATGATTCAGACATTCATTACATTTATTTTTTTTTTATTTGACCTTTTTTTAACCAAATGAGCTGATTGAGACATTAAGACAGCTGTTTTGTGATTTTACTCTAAAATTCTTACTTATTGCACCTTTAATGTCACTAGATTTACTTGCTCATGACTACACTCACACGTGGCAGAGCTCCAGTTACAAGTAACAAGTGCTCGTATATTTGGCTTCCCCGCTAATTTAAAAATAGCTCACAAGCAGCTTTTCTAGGAACGTTCTTATAACGGAAGCAAGCCACCAGTCACTCAGCTGCCACTGCTTTATATACATATGCATTATATGTTGGTTTTTTTACTGGATGAAGGCCCAAAAAAACCACTAAAACAGCAGAGGGAATAAAAATAACTCTAGCAAGGTAAGGCTACTAACATCTGAGCTTTGTGGTGATGAAGTGTGAAATACTCAAACAAGCATTTCAGACGTAGCATCAGTCATGATGGCGTAGTAGATAAGTGTGGGAAAGGAAGTGCACGTGTAAGGTCGGAGGCTCAGGGTGGCAAAGGCCCTCAGGGAGGAGCAGCAGTTCCAGCGGCCTCCACCTCAGCTGCTTCACATGTTTTTGTTTGGCATCCTAATGAGGGAATGGAAACTTGAGGAGGCACTTTGCTGCAATTGGAGCTTAAAGTCCTGACGAACACGCTTAATTCACATTGAATTACTTCAGCTACGAGAGCTGCTAATCGGCTTTAAATAATTTGGAAATTAAGCAGAGAGACATGCGTTTGTCCTGAAAGAGTCAGACTTGTTATTCACATGCAGGACTTTACCTTGAGAATCGGAGCCATGAAGACAGAGAGGCCCGTCAGGAGGAAGACGAAGATGCCAGTGACTCTTTGTTCCCTAGATTGATGAAAAAGATAGAAAAAAAGTCCATGGATCCAACTGAACCTCAAAAGGAGAGGAGCCACATCACTGAACTCTATTCAGGTGCAACAGAGGTAAAAAACAAAGTGTAGAAATAAAACCAATATGAAGGAAGTCAGTCACCAGCTGTACAAATACACAATACAACACAGTACAAGCTTTGTAAACAAATTTAATTATTTCATGACATTTTACTCGCTGATGTTTGTTTGATGGATTTGAATTTTATTGGAAAGTGAAAATAACGAGAACATTTAGAGACTTGATTTAAAAACCCGGAGCATTTCAATCTCAGCTAGCACTGAGAGCAACAGTGGTTCAGGGGGAAACGGATCATCCTGTAACCAGTAGGGGCTGCATGACTTAATTTTTTTAAAAGTCGACAGTCAAGTAATGAAAATCGAGTCGACTTTGTCTAGCCGTTGATGACGTCATACACCTGACCCCCCGGGCGGGGGGGGGGGGGGGGGGGGGGGTCGGCTCAACGGAGTTTTTGACAATTAAAATTGCGCCTCCTTGAACCGTCACCTTATCGTGGTGGAGGAGTTTGAGTGCCCTAATGATCCTAGGAGCTATGTTGTCTGGGGCACTTAGTGCCCCTGGTAGGGTCTCCCATGACAAATTGGTCTTAGGTGAAGGGTAAGACAAAGAACGGTTCGAAGGATCTTTCATGGCGGTTAAAACGAAGAGTCGGAGTACCCGGCCCGGAGGGTTACCGGGGTCCCACCCTGGAGCCAGGCCTGGGGTTGGGGCCCGTGAGCGAGCGCCTGGTGGCCGGGCTTTCGCCCATGGGGCCCGGCCGGGCCCAGCCCGAACCGGATACATGGGCTCGTCCAACTGTGGACCCACCACCCGCAGGAGGAACATGAAGGGTCCGGTGCAATGTGAATCGGGTGGCAGACCAAGGCGGGAGCCTTGGCGGTCCAATCCCCGGACAAGAAAACTAGTTTTTGGGACATGGAACGTCACATCGCTGGCGGGGAAGGAGCCGGAGCTTGTGGCAGAGGTTGAGCGGTACCGGCTAGATATAGTCGGACTCACCTCGACACATTGCATTGGCTCTGGAACCCGAGACCTGGAGAGGGGTTGGACACTCTACTTTGCTGGAGTTGCTCCGGGTGAGAGGCGGAGGGCTGGGGTTGGCTTTTTGTTAGCCCCGAGACTCTCTGCCTGTGTGTTGGGGTTTACCCCGGGGGACAAGAGGGTAGCTTCCTTGCGCCTTCGGGTCGGGGAACAGGTCCTGACTGTTGTTTGTGCTTATGGGCCAAATATCAGTTCAGAGTACCCACCCTTTTTGGAGTCCCTGGGACGAGTGCTAGATAGTGCTCCATCAGGGGACTCCATTGTCCTGCTGGGGGACTTCAATGCTCACGTGGGCAATGACAGCTTGACCTGGAGGGGTGTGATTGGGAGGAACGGCCCACCTGATCAGAACTCGAGCGGTGTTTTGTTATTGGACTTCTGTGCAAGCCGCAGTTTGGCCATAACGAACACCATGTTCGAACATAAGGATGCCCACCGGTACACTTGGTACCAGGGCAGCCTAGGTCACAGGTCGATGATAGATTTTGTAGTCGTATCATCTGACCTGCGGCCGTATGTTTTGGACACCCGAGTGAAGAGAGGGGCGGAGCTGTCAACTGATCACCACCTGGTGGTGAGTTGGATCAGATGGCAAGGGAACATGCCGCGGAGACCTGGCAGACCCAAACGCATAGTGAGGGTCTGCTGGGAACGCCTGGCAGAAGAACCTGTCAAGACGGTCTTCAACTCCCACCTCCGGCAGAGCTTTGACCACGTCCCGAGAGCAGTGGGGGACATTGAGTCCGAGTGGGCCTTGTTCCACTCTGCGATTGTCGAGGCGGCTGTTGCTAGCTGTGGTCGTAAGGTGGCCGGTGCCAGTCGTGGTGGCAACCCCCGTACCCGCTGGTGGACACCAGAGGTTCGGGGAGCCGTCAGGCTGAAGAAGGAGGCCTACAGGGCGTGGCTGGTCTGTGGTTCTCCGGAGGCAGCAGACAGGTACCGGATAGCCAAGCGGGGTGCAGCAGTGGCAGTTGCCGAGGCAAAATCTCGGGCGTGGGAGGAGTTTGGTGAGGCCATGGAGAAAGACTATCGATCGGCTCCAAAGAGGTTCTGGCAAACTGTCCGGCGCCTCAGGAGAGGAAGGCAGCAACTCGCTCACACTGTTTACAGTGGGGATGGGGAGCTGCTGACGTCAACTGAGGCTATAGTCGGACGGTGGAAGGAATACTTTGAGGAGCTTCTCAATCCCACCAATGCGCATTCCGAGGAGGAACCAGAGCTGGGAGGCCTGGGGATGGACTGTCCGATCTCGGGGGCAGAAGTTGCTGAGGTAGTCAAACAACTACACAGCGGCGGAGCCCCGGGGGCGGATGAGGTTCGTCCTGGGTATCTCAAGGCTATGGATGTTGTAGGGCTTTCATGGTTGACACGTCTCTACAACATTGCGTGGTCATCGGGGGCAGTTCCTAGGGAGTGGCAGACCGGGGTGGTGGTCCCCATCTTTAAGAAGGGTGACCTGAGGGTGTGTTCCAACTATAGGGGGATCACACTCCTCAGCCTCCCTGGAAAGGTCTACTCCAAGGTACTGGAGAGGAGGGTCCGATCGATAGTTGAATCTCAGATAGAGGAGGAGCAATGTGGTTTTCGTCCTGGCCGTGGAACTGTGGACCAGCTCTATACCCTTGCAAGGGTGATGGAGGGGGCATGGGAGTTTGCCCAACCAATCCACATGTGCTTTGTGGATTTGGAGAAGGCTTATGACCGTGTCCCCAGGGGCACCCTGTGGGGGACGCTCCAGGAGTATGGGGTGGGTGGCTTTCTGTTAAGGGCCATTCAGTCCCTTTACCAGAGGAGCGTGAGTTTGGTCCGCATAGCCGGTAGTAAGTCGGACCTGTTCCCAGTGAGGGTTGGACTCCGCCAGGGCTGCCCTTTGTCACCGGTTCTGTTCATCACTTTTATGGACAGAATGTCTAGACGCAGCCGTGGTGTGGAGTGTGTCGAGTTTGGTGGCAGGAGAATCTCGTCTCTGCTTTTTGCGGATGATGTGGTCCTCCTAGCTTCATCCAGCTCTGACCTTCAGCTCTTGCTGGGTAGGTTCGCGGCCGAATGTGAAGCGGCTGGGATGAGGATCAGCACCTCCAAATCTGAGACCATGGTTCTCGACCGGAAAAGGGTGGCTTGCCACCTCCGGGTCGGGGGAGAGGTCCTACCTCAAGTGGAGGAGTTTAAGTATCTCGGGGTCTTGTTCACGAGTGAGGGTAGGAGGGATCGGGAGATCGACAGGCGGATTGGTTCGGCGTCTGCAGTGATGCGGACGCTGAGCCGATCTGTCGTGGGGAAGAGGGAGCTGAGCCAGAAAGCCAGGCTCTCGATTTACCGGTCGATCTACGTCCCAATCCTCACCTATGGTCATGAGCTTTGGGTAATGACCGAAAGAACGAGATCGCGGATACAAGCGGCCGAAATGAGTTTCCTCCGTAGGGTGGCCGGGCTCAGCCTTAGAGATAGGGTGAGGAGCTCGGACATTCGGGAGGGACTCGGAGTAGAACCGCTGCTCCTCCGGATCGAAAGGAGTCAGTTGAGGTGGTTTGGGCATCTGGTCAGGATGCCTCCTGGACGCCTCCCCGGGGAGGTGTTTCGGGCATGTCCTGCCGGCAGAAGGCCCCCGGGTCGACCCAGGACACGTTGGAGAGGTTACATCTCCAATCTGGTCCGGGAACGCCTTGGGGTCCTGCCGGAGGAGCTGGTGGGCAAGGCCGGGGAGAGGACGGCCTGGAGCTCCCTAGTTGGGATGCTGCCCCCGCGACCCGGACCCGGATAAGCGGAGGAAGACGAGACGAGACGAGACGAGACGAGACGAAAATTGCGCCCACATTTTCAAAGTTAAACACATCTCTTTTAGCAGCGGTAGTTTCTGCATTTATACTGCTCTGCTTCCACTCTCTCCCCCCTCCCCCTGCACAGTGCGCCTGCAGCCTCTCGGAGTTCCTGCTGTTCTGAACATAAAAATAATTATTTCATTTTCTGTTCCTCACTTCTGATTGCCTTCAGTGGTGTTTGTTTGTTGCAACCACCAGGTACAAAAACTAACTTGTTTTTATTTGACTATTTCTCTGTCCTGTCTGTTTATTATCTTCCTGCATCTCCTCTCAATCCTAAAGAGAAACTGCTACCTGGGTTCATATATATTCACCTTATGAGTTACCTTTGAACTGCAGTTCTAAAAGATCTACCCACCACAAACACAGCGGAGTGCGCGCTGCTCGCCGGCCGCATCAGTGAGGTGCATCACCGGAGGGCAAAACAGGTGATGCGCCCCGCTCCACAGCAGCGAAACGCATCAGGCACAAATAAAAGACAGAAAACATAAAAGGAAATGAGCCGACATGAACGATCGCGTGTTAAATTAGTTTTTGAGGTGGCGACACCTAATTTGATAATGTTTCTGTGGCCGTGCTCAGGACGCAGATGTCTGGAGCGCAACGATCAGAGCTTTGCATGCGCAAGCTGGTTAAGGTTAGGATGGGGGTGAGGGGAAGGTTAAATTGCAAGAGGGTAAGCGTCACAATTTGGTTAAATGTCCGTTTTACCGCAGGTGTCAGTACTGAGCTCTGGCACAGCGCGTCGCCTCCGCCTCCCGACGCGCAGGAGCTCGTAGCTGCTGTCTTTTCCGAGGACTGCATCTTGTCGCTCATTATCACGTGACAGCGATTAGTCGATGACAGGCATAAAAAGTCACTACAGAGCAGTGAAGTCGACTAGTTCATACAACCCCTAGTAACTAGTGGGTTGGCAGTTCAAATTCCTGCTCTGTTCCATCAATCACTGTGTCTTTGGGCAAGACACTCCACCCTCCTTGCTTGCTGGTGGTGGTCGGAGGGACGAGCGGTGCCGATTGTGTGCACCAGAGCAGCCATTGCCGCATTGTAGCTCATCACCATCAGTGTGTGAATGACAGTTGGGTAAAGCACTTTGGAGTCCTTGGACTTGATAAAGCACCAACACAGGTCATCCACCATGGTGAGGTTTAAAATGATGATGCACAAACGTCAATAAGAAAACACCGGAATGGCGTTATCTCACCTGACACCAAGGAACTTGGGCTGCTCTCCGGGAGCAGATGTCTGCGTCTCCATTTTCAGAGAGTCGATGTGGGCGATGGAGATGACCGTGGCTGCCACGTACCACGGAAGCCCCATGAAGGAGCAAATTATCAGCAGGACGGCCACCCAGAATAAGTCCAAGTGATACCCCGCCCCTTTCTGAGAGGAAAGAAGGACTCAGTCAGGGTCACAGAGGTTAGATTGTACTTTTCATTTAGATTGTTGTAAAGTCTGCAGACCTTTACACGTGTAGAAAGTCTAAAAACACAACCCAAAGGGATTCGTTTAGTCCCAGAGAACACTGAAATGTCTTTATCTTTACTTTATTACATCTTTACACTATTCATATCTAATCAACCGTGTATGAAGTGTTTCATATTAAAACAAAGTTCTTTATTTCTGAATGTTTCTCATCACCTTTCAACGTGGTTGTACCCAAATAGTGAGGAAACACTCTTACATGTTACGCTAAACGAGATTTCCTTTATTATTTTTATGCAAATGCATTATTGTGTGACTTTTGCACTTAAGGCTGAGCTTCTAATTTTAAAGGTATAATGCAATGACGACCAATGCAGATTTCAAAATCATATCCTTGGCATCATTTATATTATAAACTTCACCTTTAATAAAACTAAAACAAAAACACAAGACGTTGTATGAATTAATACATTTGACTAACCAAGGCAAAAAAATGCTAACTAGGAAGCACAATTTTGTTTTCGTAACATCATGCAAACTTCCACCGACTTCAATTCACAAACTTACCAGGTGAGCCCCTGGGACTAAGAAAAATATATTAAGGGAGTATAAATCTTAGCGTTGGTTATGTGCGCCCACCTTGAGTTTGTGTTCCTTTCTGTTGACAATCACAGCAGTGATCTGCTGATCCATGAATACCAGAATAGTGACCAGCAGAGCAGGAAGTGCAGCCGCCAAGTACACCCACCATGGGTTTCTTCCAAAAGGAGGGACAAACCAGCCCCTCAATGGACTTGTGGGCTGAAGTGAAACATGGAGGAACAACAAGCAGTTATCACCACAAAAGGACTTCCAACTAATCCTACAGAGCAGAAATCAGTATGTGAACACAACATTTTAATCGTAACACTTAATGGTTTAAAAAGAAGGGGAAAACATCTGACGTCTGAGCTTTGAGGTTACAGTGAGGTGCATCATTAAGCGACTGCAAAAAAGGTGGATTAAAGTTATCAATGCTGTTATAATAAATTTGTAAAAAAAAAAAATTGCTTAAGAGCTATCCCCACTAAGCTAATAAGGTTTGTTAGCATGCCTTTTGTTCTAACATTGTACAGCTGGAAATATATTGTGGAGATGAAAAGAAAATAAATAAATAATGAAGTGGTTCTCTCGCATTTGTCCAAAAACCTCCACCAACAACGCGTTTTGGACCAAAAGCAACAACTGGACCATCTGGTTATCGATCTCCCTGGACCGCCGCACTTCCTTGGGTCCTCAAATCATTACGCACTCCTGTATTTAGCAACAGAACACCACTAGTGTGAGAGGTTTTCCGCTCAATAATATCAGAGAAGGAGAAACAGCCGGCTGCTACCACTTCAACTTCAGGGCAACTATCAGAGTCCCAAAAAGAAAAACATCATTTGAAGTCACGGACAACTAAGATGTTTGGATGTAGAAAATGGCGACTGACGATCTTTTCCTCTGGTTTCCACACATAGAGAGACAAACAGATGAGAGAGAGGGAAAGAGAGAGAGAGAAACAGAGAGAGAGAAACAGAGAGAGACAGACAGAAAGAGAGAGACAAAAAGAGGGAGACAGAAAGAGACAGAAAGAGAGAGAGAGACAGACAGACAGACAGACAGACAGACAGACAGAGACAGACAGAGAGAGACAGACAGAGGGAGACAGAAAGAGACAGAAAGAGAGAGAGAGACAAACAGATGAGAGAGAGAGAGAGAGAGAGAGAAACAGGGAGAGACAGACAGACAGAGAGACAGACAGAGAGAGACAGACAGACAGAGAGAGACAGACAGAGGGAGACAGAAAGAGACAGAAAGAGAGAGAGAGACAAACAGATGAGAGAGAGAGAGAGAGAGAGAGAGAAACAGGGAGAGACAGACAGACAGAGAGACAGACAGAGAGAGACAGACAGAAAGAGAGAGACAGACAGAGAGAGACAAACAGACGAGAGAGAGAGAGAGAGAGACAGAGAGAGACAGACAGAGAGAGAGAGAGCATGTGTGGAGGCAGCCAGCTGAGGAACATTTGAGATTAGCAATCTCCAAGAACGTCCGTGTTAGTTTAAGGTAACAGGCATCCTACCGTGCTAGCAACAAAGTGAGCTTTATACTGGGATTTGGAAGAATTAGAAAGGCATTCCTGCAGAAACATTGGTCATTAACTGTGTAATCCGAGGAAACTGCCCACCTGAACACTGCCTCTGCCAGAAATCTATCTACAATGAAGACACACAGACTCAGATACCTTGACTGTGCGGTGCGTACCTTGAATTCACTAGGCACAATGAGCTTCGGAGTCTCCACACCCACAAAGGCGTCTACGCCACAGAAGAGAAGGATGGTCAAGATGATCGCAAAGTCACTGATCAACTTCCTCACCTGCAAAAAAAGGACATAATCAGAGCAGTTTTCACAAGCTGCCGGCATAACTGACATTTTTACCCTTGTTAAACCGAGAAAAGACGGGTGCAGTTACACCTGTCTGATGGGGAAGGATGTGATCATTATCAGAGCAAACAGGAGGTTAAAGCCGGCTCATTTACAGTGAAAAGGAACCTAAAACTGAACTTGTCTTTTTCAGATCCAGACTGAAATGTATCCATCCAAGTAAATGCTGATATGACCCTATAGACAGTCCCCTACCGGATGTAGCTGCAGGATTCTGATGAGCTTTTTGATTTAACCTGCATTTCTTCCATTTCTTTAAATGACTTTTACTTTAAGGAGGCACCGTCACACCAGTTGAAGTGTTAACAGGTATTTTTCTTGCTAAGCTGAAGATGCTTTGTGTATAGATCTTATCTGTATACCAGGAAAAAAAGGGCAATTGTTCCTTGAATTTGTTCTCAAAAGCAGTTTGTGCAGATTTGGTGTGATTTTCTTCCTGACTGCTTGAGTCACCTGAGAGGACAGTGTGCAAGGGCCAGGGGAGCTGGCTGCAATGGACCAATAGCTGAACTATTATCTGTGGGTATAAAACAACGGAGAACATGTTGCAGTATTTTAAACACCAGATACTTTTAAATAATTTGCTGAATTTAAACTCTGAACATTTGCTCATGTGTGGATCAAACCAAACACAACCAACATATTCTCTAGGCAAAGATCTCCTCTCCTAGCAACTGTTATTACTTGTGTAATAACACAAGTAGTGTCTGGACTTGCTTATTCTTGTAGAAAGATGGATATTGCAACTCATTTGCGCACGTCTCGAGTTGGTGGTCAGACTTTTAAACTGGTTGGCTGATAAGTGAGTACCGCTGTGTTTAGACACACAGTTGGAGGGCGGATTAGTAAGCCTGAATCTGACCTCATGCCAAAGAAGGGAAGGTGTGGTATCTATTTGGGGGAATAAGAACTCACAAAATACTTTTTGAGTGAATATTGTACATTGATGGAAATGTAAATCCAGGAAATGTGGAAATGATCTGAAAATTATCAGAGGGTTGATGGAAAACGTGATTTTGATAACCGCTGACGTGTTACAAATGTATTATGCTTACGAGGATGCACAGAGCGGTGGAGAGGGAAAAGGGCTGAAGATGTGAAATAGAGAGAGAGAGAGAGAGCACAGCCAGGCTCTAAAAAATAACCCAAACAACAGCTGCTGTGCTCTGAGCTAATAAGGTCTTATCAATTGAGGCCTGAAGGTAACTTAAACTGGAACATAAAGATGAAAAAAATTAACTCCTTGATGCAAAGTGGTCATTACAGTGGACAGGTTCTCAAAATTGTAGTTTATCTATTCGTTTTTTGCTATTAAGCACAGCTGTTGAAGACTTGATTGCATTTGAGCCTCTCTATGTGGACTTCAGTAAGTCCAGCCAACATATTTCATGTTCAGAATACACGCTGTCCACTGTGGTGGACTTGCAGTAAATTATATGATAATTATTAAATGTTACAAAAAATATTTGTTGAATTTTGTTTCATTTACACCTGAAGATGAATGAAAATAATTGTTAAATAATCATGGTTGAAGATTTCACAATTCATGCATCAAAGGGTTAAGCACTGACCAAATATTTAATTCTTGGTATCTGGTGACAAATATGACACTTTTAGTGGCTGAAAGGGAAAGGGTTTTAGTGGAACCCCTCAATTTGAGAAATTGACTGTTTATCAGTACTTGGTAGTAAATGAGTGCCCAAATAAACATAGACATATTCCCCAATTTAGTTCGGGGATGCTGACAAGCTCACCCTTTTTTCCCAGATGGGTTGATTCTTTTTTATTTCATTAGATTACGATGTTCTGCAACAGCTCTTCTACTGAGATTTCTCCTGTTACTTCTAGATGTAAATCACTTTGTGTTTATTTTCCATTTTCTTTACACTGATTATGGCTTTTTTGTTAGTTGTTTTGTTTTGTTGTTTTATGCACACTGTGCTGCACGACTCTGCCCCCTGCTGATGTAAACTGGTAATTGCAAGTTCCTTGGGTTGGGTATTTTTCACGTTATGTGAGGTCCAACTTTTGCATCGGGTTGGTGCGATGCTTGCTGGTATCTGACCTGTTTTGTTTATGTTTTGTTTCTGGTGAGCCATGAGTTATCTCATGCCTCAAGCGGAGGGATGGCTGATAATGATTTCCTCACATTATTACCCTGCCTGGATGGAAATACTTTAAATATTTGATGATAAGGATTTTTGCTGAAAACAATTCTAAATCAACAGTGATCTCCCAGAATTTTCTTGTGCTTTTTCACCACATGTCGTGAAACCAGGAAAGTGGGTTCTGATAAAGATGCTGGAACAAGACAATTGGGGCAGCCAGAAAAGGTCCATTCGAAATACTCCTCATCACTCCCACTGCTGTGAGAATTGCTGAGAGGCCATCTTGGATTCATCTATCCCACTGCAAGCTTATCAACATCAACCGCTACCAGAGCGGCTACGAAGTCCGGCTGCAAAAGGGTGGGTTACCGCTAGGGTCCACGTCTTTCTCAGTGGCCTAGTGGTAGAGTGTCCGCCCTGAGACTGGGAGATCAGGGGTTCGATTCCTGGTTGGGTCATACCAAAGACTTTGAAAAAATGGGACCCAATGCCTCCCTGCTCGACACTCAGCATTAAGGGGTTGGATTGGGGGGTTAAACCACCAAATAGTTCCCGAGCGCGGCTGTGTCTGCAGCTCACCGCTCCCCCAGGGGATGGGTCAAATGCGGAGAACAAATGTCGCACACACACCTGTGTGTGTGACAACTAATGGAAATTTGACTTGACTTTACTGGTTGTGCAGCACCAGGCTAAAGACCAAAGGTGACAGATCATTTGCTGCTGTGGCCCCCAGACTCTGGACCTCTCTCCCCCTGAGCCTGAGATCAGTGGACTCAGTGGTCTCCTTTAAAAAGCAGCTGAAGACTCACTTGTTCAAGCTGGCTTTTGTATGACCTTCTTCACCACTCTCTATTCTGCTCTCCCCAACTATTCCACCTTCCTCAGGATCCACTGATTTCCCTCTTTCCTGTTCACTCTCTCTCTCTCTCTCTCTTAACATTTTTTCTTTTAAATCCCAATTGCCTATTTTTGCTCATTTTAAATATATTTTTAAACATTTTCTAAATGCTTTTTTATATTTTTACTTTTTTTTTGTAAAGCGCCTCGTGATTTTTATCTTGAGAGGTGCTATAGAAATGATACCTTCTCCTTCTTCTTCTTCTTCTTCTTCTCCTTCTCCTTCTTCTTCTCAACGCCGGTGAAGATAAAGATAAAGATCTGCTTCAAGCTTGCTGGGTTCACCACATTGCTGTTGTTGGTGCACGTTCATGGCCTGCATTGGGCTGCCTCTCAGCACCTGATGGAACGACTGGGACAGCAGTATTTGAGGGGGCACTAGAACTTGAACTGAAACTGAACGGATTGGGGCTCCTCACTGACCGCGCACCTACAGGACAATGTAACCTGCATCCACCTCGGCTGAAGACCCCCTGGACGCAACTACAACAGGACACAGTGAAGAAGAGACGCTGGGAAAAGATCAACTACTTCAAGCACCTGCACCCAAATCTCTAGACTGGTTTCACGGTCAAGGACCTGAAGGACTTTTCGGGGACAAGATCAGCTCCCTGACAGTTGGACAACCACCTCAACACGCCATGGAAGGACCCTGACGTCTTCCTATTGAGAAGTTGAACTGTGCGCTCACATCCCGAACTCCATTATTGTACTCCGGACCTGGACTTCAAGGTACTCATCAACGTAAGACTGAAACCATCCTGATCAATGGAAGAAGACTCTGACCTTCAAAACTATTCTCCAACCGGGACTCTCAATCCACGGACAAGCGCTTCCTTTTGATGAAGAATGCCTGGCTTGCCTCAGCTCTGCCATAGTTGGAGCTGCATAAATTAATATTACACCTTCATATTTTCCTCATTCACAGGAAGACTCGTCTGCAACTTGAAGTTTAAATTAAATTCACCTGATGTTTCCATAAATTATACTGATATTTTCTGTGTATTATATGGTTTTGCTAACCCTTCCCAATCTCCTTACAGGAACTGCCATAAATTGTAGGATTGTGCATCACAGTAAATTCGTTTCAACATGTATGAAATAGCTTTTCTTGAGGTTATAATTGTGTTGATTTAGCTGATTCCATTCTCTTATCTCTGTGAACTGCTGTAAGATATTATTGTCAGTTGTGTTTGCCACATTGTGTTTATTACCTTATTTGTTCTTATTATTTTGCTGATTTTTCTATTACACTTTATATGGAATGATTCTTTGGATGAAGTTATCAGGATTGAGATTAAAATCAGTAAACGACAAACAAATGCAGCACCTCTTGCTGTGTCCTCACTTCATCGTGTTGATTCTGAACCTTTCCCATCTCATCGTAGCATTTATTATTATTATTTTTCTTGTTTTGATGCTTATCATATTTGTCATGAGTTGCTTGATTTGTACCCTATTGGTCCTCATGACTACCGAGATGATCACCTTTCCTGGTTTTACCCCTTCCCTATTCCTTAAGTCGTGATTGATGTAGCTTTCATAGATAATGGTGACAAGTTATGGAAGTGGATAAAATTACTTATTTATTATTTTTTGTTTTGTTGCTTTCTTTTGTTTGGTTATCCTATTCGGATAAACAGGAGGGATTATGTCATGGAAATTTTATATTTCATTGCTTTAACCCGTTAACAAATGTCCTGAAGCATTCTCACACACACACCCAAACACTGTTCTTCTCCTACACCCATACACACACTGACTCTCTCTCTCTCCACTCACAATGACCTCACTCCCATCTTTATCTCTTTGTTGAAATAAACTCTGTGATCAGATGTTCGGGGCATTTTGCCTGGTGCATGTGCCACAGTTATAACCGGTTGACTTGTCTGCTTTCCTTATTGATTCTTGTCTCTCTCTTTAGATCCAGGAAATGGGTTTATTGATCAACATATTGATAAAAATCCCCCCCCCCCCCCCACACACACACACACACACATACATAAACATTGATCCATGCTTTCACAATAAGAGTGCCACGAAAGACAAAATAGAGGCAATTTAGAGGAGGTGAGAGTATATTATTTTTGATCCACTGGCTGAAAAATGTCGGTGTGTTCAGGAAAAACAAAACCATGTATTTAACCCTGTATAACACCCCCTCACATAAGCAAGTTAACCCCCAGAGACCCAAATTTAGAAAACAACTGCAAAATATTTTTTTAACCTTTCACATGTTGTTCTAGGAGGCCAGATAAACGGGCCTATTTACACATTTTAACAGCCAATAGTGTTGCAGAACTGAACAATAGGACATATTAGCAATGTAAATGTGGTTTTAAAAAGAAAAAAAATGGGGAAGGTTTATTTTTGTAGACTTAAATCTGATGTTGTAATATTACAACCGTGTGTCTCTGGAGGTTAAACACCTCTGAGTATGGGAATCACACTAGCAATTCCCATTTATTCTCCAACAGAAGGTTGTCACTCACTGTTGTGGGGAAGAATCGGCTAGTTTTGAACTTCTTTAGAGCCATGGAGCAGGTGTAGGTCCCAAAGAACAGGATGAAGGACATTAGGGTGATGTCAGGCACGTAGCCACAAGCCTCGCCGATCAACAGTCCTCCGTTATCCAGACACTCCTCCTTGCTCAGGGATGCCCAGGTGGCGTTCTCTGGCTGCAGAAAGAAAGAAGAAAGACCCAAACACAATCGGACATGTGGATAAAAGCAGCTTTGAAGAATGTAATTTAATTCTGCTCATAATGTTCTGCCAAATGTGAAAAAAAAAAAAAAGAAATCAAGGACACCAACATACCAGATCAGTACTGTTTGTCCAGGCTGAACTTTCAACAAGTCCCGACGAGTTGCCTGGTGAGAAGAAACAATAATATCTTATCAGCGAAAAGAGAATACTCCTGATATCAGCCGTTTCACATTCGCCATGTTAAATCTGTGTCAACATTTCTGCACCAGCAATAGTGCCCAGTCATGACTACACACCGATGGGGCTGCTGAGAAAGTAAACAGAGCTCTCTACAACCTGACACATGCTAGTATCATTTGCTATTTCTACTGCAAACACAAAAAAACATACTACAAACGCCACACCGAAAAACCTCTACTGAAACGGCCCAGGTTCTCAGTGTTTTGCATCATTACAAAGATTGGCATGATGGTGAAACCATCGAGATGTCTGACTCATCCATCAAACCGGTCTTTGTTCTGCTGACGCTACCTGGCACGCAGCGGCAGTCGTACTGAGTGACGAGGTTCAGGTTGTACCCAGGGTTGATGGGGTTGTGGTGGGCCAGCTTTATCATCTTTTTGAAAGCATCGTAGATGAAGATGAAGCTGATGAGTGCCGAGAAGCCTTCCTCTGTGAAACGAGTGAAGTACTGCACCAGGAAGCTGGCGTCTGTGGCGACCAGCACCAGACAGAGAAAACCAGACCACAGGCCGATCCACAGCCGAAACTCTAGGTAGTCGAAGCTGTTGTCCCTGCAGGGGAAGAAAGCAAAAACCATTCGTGGAAACTTTCTTTTATTTAAAAATGAGTGAAAATCCCTTTCAGAATTTCCAGTAACCTCACGGTCTGGCCTGATGGAACACTGAAGTAAAACACGTTCAAGGCTGTAACAAGACTACGGGCTTTTAGATGGCTCTTGTGGTGCAGCATATTAAGCAGCTGTGAGCAGCCTAGCAGCTGCTGCTAACGCTGTATCCATTCAGATCGTTTGGAGGCCACAGACGCCTCGACATTCACCACTCGGTGTGAAATTAAATGAGAGTGAATTATTAATAATGGAACCAAACCAGCATGCTGCTGGGTAATGTTAGAAGGCCGTCTGGGAGAAAGGGTGCAGCAGCAGGAGGACAACGGCCTTTCGCCAAGGTAAAATGATTGCAGAGAGCTCTGTTCTAGTTCTCAATAAAATAATTTGTATAGAGTATGTGCTTTATTCATTTAGCTCCCGTGTTTGGTTCTACACGAGGAGTTGGTCTTGTCCCGGAGTCTGAACACGAGGCTGAAGCACAAAGCAGTGCTGTGAGCTATCTGTCACTACTGTGAGATTTACAATGAATAAAAACAGCTCGAGTGTAATGAATATCAAACGAACTGCTGCTAGCCAACTCTGAATCCATCTCAATAACTTAGGATCTCATAAAAATACAAAAAAAGCCTCTAAAAATGGAAACTATACCCTTTTCTCAGGCCTTGCACACACACAAGTGTAGTAGCGTTTCTGTAAAACAAAATATCCTCCTCTTCATCTAGGAAGACAATTTGGGTCGACACCACCTTGTTTTCAGCAAAAACTCCACTAAACTCTGAAACATGTTCATAGGCATGCCCAGCCTGTAGGCGGTAGGGGTTGTATGAACTAGTCGACTGGTCGACTTCACTGCTCTGTAGTGACTTTTTATGCCTGTCATCGACTAGTCGCGGTCATGTGATAATGACCGACAAGATGCAGTCCTCGGAAAAGACAGCAGGTGAAAGCAGGTGACAAGCTCCTGCGCGTCGGGAGGCGACACGTTGTGCCAGAGCGTCCAGCGGTCAAACGGACATTTAACCAAATTGTGACCTTTACCCTCTTGCAATTTAACCTTCCCCTCACCCCCATCCTAACCTTAACCAGCTCAAAGCTCTGATCGTTGACGCGCTCCAGACATCTGCGTCCTGAGCACGGCCACAGCAACATTATCAAATCAGATGTCGCCACCTCAAAAACAAATTTAACACGCGAACGTTCATGTCAGCTCATTTCCTTTTATGTTTTCTGTCTTTTATTTGTGCCTGATGCTTTTCGCTGCTGTGGAGCGGAGCGCATCACCTGTTTTGTCCTCCGGTGACGCACCTCACTGATGCGGCCGGCGAGCACTCTGCTGTTTTTGTGGTCGGTAGATCTTTTAGAACTGCAGTTCAAAGGTAACTCATAAGGTGAATATATATGAACCCAGGTAGCAGTTTCTCTTTAGGATTGAGAGGAGATGCAGGAAGATAATAAACAGGCAGGACAGAAAAATAGTCAAATAAAAACAAGTTAGTTTTTGTACCTGGTGGTTGCAACAAACAGACACCATTGAAGGTAATCAGAAGTGAGGAACAGAAAATGAAATAATTATTTTTATGTTTAGAGCAGCAGGAACTCCGAGAGGCTGCAGGCGCATCAGTGAGTTTGTGGCCGCTGCGCCCGGGGGGGGCGCTGAAGCGGAGCAGTATAGATGCAGACACTACCGTTGTTAAAAGAAATGTGTTTAACTTTGAAAATGTGGGTGCAATTTTAATTGTCAAAAACTCCAGCGAACCAACCGACAGCCCCCGCCGCTTCAGGTGTATGACGTCATCAACGACTAGTCGAAGTCGACTCGATTTTCATTACTTGACTGTCAACTTTAAAAAAAAAAAAAGTCACGCAGCCCCTAGTAGGCGGCAGTAGTTGCCCAACTCGTCTGCGTTGTCGAGTTTTCTCCATTTCAGGAATTATGCACGATTCTGTAAAAATCTGTAACACTGATGATCATACCCTGGACTGCGATACAAACAATACCTTTTAGAGCCTCGTGCAATTTGAATTGAGCGCCGCTCGGCATTAGTCAATAGCGTTAGACATCTGCTTACATAAACATTTCCATCACAGGGTGTGCATGCACTTAACGCGTTCTTAGGCGCAGAGTCGGCGACCGCAGTAAAACAATGCGTTTCAGCTGTCGACCGGCTAGAGGTGCACGTTCATGAACAAGAGGTGTAATTTGTCTCTTCGACACAACAGTAACTGAGTTTGTAAAAACAAGCGGAAACACAGGTCACATGTGAGAGCATTTTTTGACACAGGCAGTGATGTCACTAAAGAGGAAACCCTGATTACATTCACACAGAAAAAGCCCAAGTCTCCATCTTGGTCAGGGGTCTTTTTAAGAATTGCATTTGGTGTCGTATATCTTCACTTTCATGGGGACAACCAGCTAAACCATAAACATCTTTGTTTTGTGGAACACCAAGCTACGTGTGCACAAAAGCATCAGACTGCTGCTTCTGCTATATTTCAACAGTAAGGTTTTTATTGGTGACAGAATAATTTTAACAGTTTCTCACTTGCTGAAATTGAAGAGAAGCCGTTCGAAGACTAGCACAGGTCCTGTGCTGCTGAGGATGGTCAGAGGCTGGCCAGCCAGCAGACAGAACACGGCTCCTGTCAGCGCCGTGCCCAGGAAACTCTCCAACACTCCCTGCAAGCGCAAAACACGTGTCACATGACTCGTGAAGAAAAATCTATTAAAACACCAACAGTACATCCACACAATAAACTTCTCTAGAACTGCATTTCTGTATTTTCTCATTTACTGATGTGTGCAGAAGAAAGTTTTGTTTTTCCCACACCATATTACATGACTGGAACGCGATCCTATCAGAACCTGCCTTTCCCGTTTCCAGTGAAATCAGCTTCTTTCTTTACCTTTCAGAAACAGTTTCCTGAATGAGCAAACGGCAGAGGTTTTGTCCTCATGTAAACATGGAGAAGGGTTAACAGAGGGCAGGGAGTCCCTGTTCTGAGCTGGGAGGTGAAAAGAAGGAGGGATGCAGGAGAAAGGATCAGTGATGATTGGAGGGGGGGGGGGGGGATCGTTCAGGCACCATGGTGCGGATACAGTAGTAATCTGGATCTGTGGTTATTTACAGCAAAGGCCAATCCCTGAGGCCAGGTCTCCGTCACAGGAGAGGCTGACATCACTACCTCCACCCTGGACAGACTGTTACCCACAGGGCCCATCGGGACTGACACAGCAATCTGGGTCGGCTGTCGTCCACAGGTTAGAAACAACTCTGGTAGGGAATCAACAGTTGGTGGGGCAGGTTGTTCTGGAGTGAGCCTCTAAGCCTTAAATCAGCATGGCTAATCAGCTGAAGAGAGAGAATTAGTTTAACACACGAAACTGTGACGGAGCAGAAAACACCTGCAGAGTTCATGGCAAGCCCCGTTATCTTCAGTCTGTCAAGTAAACGAACTTCTGCATCTTCTACTCCTCCATTCAGCTGAGATCCACAACTATTAGTTCCTCAACTTATAATCGACACAAACTGATCCGAGTCACCAGTTAGAGAAGGAAATTAGCGTGATTGGGTCTTCCTCAATTATTTTTTGTAGTTTAATGTAGCTTGAACATTGTATTGGTTAATAATGATCCAAATGTAAAAGCCTGTTTGGGTTTATAACGACTATTTTCTGCACTAAAAGCTTTTGTTGGAGTATTACTTTAAAGTTTTTTGTTTTTATTTTGTCATTACAGAAAACACTGATGTCAGGAAACCATACAGATACTATAAAATCTTCACTTTCATTCAACAAGAACATTCCGACAATAACAAACCCAACAGAGCTGCATTTCAAAGCTCCCATTCACCCGCTTTTTCAATTCGGTTCTTGTTTCAGGAAGTAGGAGTATTTCTCATAATTATTAAATAATTAAACATCTCACCTCTGACTGTTTAACAGTAACGTGACTCTACCCCGTCCAGTGGATTTGCAACATTGATGTTTTATCTCCACAAATAACACAAGCCCAAAGGAATTCTGCAATTTTGTAGAGTTGCTAATGCTAATGGTTAGCTTTCACCAACCAGAGATGTGCTCTACTCTCTCCTGGATGCTAAATCAACAGCAGCCTTCCCCTTCTCGAGCCAAGATGGATGAGTCCATGAATGCTAATTTACAGTGTGGCATAGGTGGGGGGTTTCTAACTTGAGCGGTTCCCCGTCTGTTTTCTTTCTGCTGACAATGCAGGAAACGGGTAGAAGACCATTTTCACATTCAGCACGCATGCTAAACTCAGAATGACGATCATATTTCGACTGATCAAGTAAAAAAGGTAACATTTGGAATCTGTTGCGCGTGTCTTTGTTACCTCTCGTCTAGTGAGCCTCGTCTGCCCCGAGGCGCCTGCAGATTGTTCAGAACGCTGCAGCGAGATTCCAGACGAACACAAATAGACACAGTCATAACACTCCGCTACATCCTCTATTGGGTTCCCGTAGCTTTTAAAGTAAAGTTTAAGGCAGGGGTGCCCAATCCTGGTCCTGGAGAGCCCGTATCCAGCAGGTTGTGTGGTTTCTCTGCTCCAACACACTTGATTCGGAGGCTCAATCACCTGTGCAGCAGCTCATGAAGCTCTGCAGACGCCTGCTAATCACCTGCTGATTGAAATCAGCTGCACTGAAGCAGAGTTAAAACTAAAACCTGCTGGATGCCCTCCAGGGCCAGGATTGGGCACCGCTGGTTTAAGGTATTGCTTTTGTGAATGTTCTCACACCCTCCTGTCTGTCGGACCTGCTCAATCTGACCCGTCGGACCTGATCACTTGTTACTCTGCACACCGATCATGAATCAAAGCAGAGTGGAGGCAGGCTTCTGTGTATGCCGCCCCTGTGCTCAGAAATGCACCGCCCTTCAAAATCAGACCGGCATCATCCATCGCAATGTTTAAATCACAGTTAAAGACAAACTTGTATGACTTGAGGTTTGGCCAGTGACTCCTTTATGCTGTGTGATGGTTTTATTCATTAACTGCTTTCATCTGTTTTGTAATATTCTTTTATCGTTTTTCAAGACGATGTCATGTGCAGCACTTTGATTGGCTCCCATGCCGTTTTCATGTGTGCTACAGAAGTAAAACGGTAAGGTATCTCCGTGAACCTGCTCTTGAGAGCCGAGCACCAGGGTAAACGTGTAAAGTCTGCGTTTGGGGGTTTACCTGCATGTTTTCAGTGGCATCTCCAAGCAGACCTCCAAAAGTGATGGCATTGGTGACGGTGCCCAGATAGATGAACAAGATGGCAGACAGGGACTGGATGTGGAGTGCGTCGTAAAAGTCGCTGGCAAAAAATGGCAGCTTCCTCTTCACGTCCAGGATCAGACCTCCACAGAACCTGAAGGACGACATTAGCAGACGTGGTTTCGTAAGAAAGGAGAGGCAAATGCAAAAGTATAATCAGCAGTGAAGTGTTTCTATTGTTCTCCAGTTCCTTGTGAAACATTTCCTTATCGTAAGCTGCTGGAGGATAAAACGTTTTCCGTTAATGAGACTTTAGTTTGACACATCTTCACTGGCAGCCATCGGATCCCATCCAGATTATAAACATGATGATAATACCCTCATTTTCAAGACTGGACGTCCATCATGTGAACTTTTGAAAAGGTGCCAAACATCTTTAGCTTTTCGGCTCATCAGGATTTCTCTAATTACCTTCTTGTGCGCTGAAGCTCCTCTCCAACTTGGTGTCCTCCTCCACCTCCTCCTCCTCCTCCTCCACCTCCGTGTCCCGAATCATGAGGAGTGTCCCCGTTCATCTGAGGCATCTCAAGCCCAGAATACATGTTCTTCCTTTGAGAAACACAAGATAAAAACATTGTTTCAGCTCATTAGAAACTTGAAAAAGAAAACAAACTTGCACTAAAAAGGTCAAAAGAGGCTTTGTTGTGACTTTTAATTGTTTATTTTTTAAAGTAAGGCACAACGGTCCGTCAGGATGTGCTTTATTTAGGGAAGAAAAACAAGCATTTTAATTAAAAAAAAGTCAAAATTGTATAAGAAGAGTAAAAACATTTCTGTTTAGCTTAGTTCTGCTGTTTAGTGTCACCATGGTAACCACACACCCATGTCTTCCACTTCCTGATGGCATTTTTACTAAAACAACCAGCCAGAAACTACGAGTAGGAATGAAACCTCCAAGCTTCCTTGAAATAGATCTGAACAGTCAGTGGCAGAAAGGTCTGATGGTGACGCCTGCATAAATGTTGTTCAAAGGGATACTTGTTCATATTTTTAAATCATTTTCTTGAAGCAGAATGTGCTAAAATGACCCTTTACAGGGTAATGAAACACCACCCAGCCCCCATTGCCCCCTGAGATCAGAATATTCTACATGCAACTTCAGACTGGTGGGCCGCTCCGTTGGGACTTATAAAAGCACAGAGCCGACATCGCTGGCGTCGAAGTCTGGTTCCAGCCCCTTCCCTGCATGTTTTAGATCATGAGCACAGCTGATTTGTTTAATTTAGTGATGAATCACTGGGGAAATGTCTCAGCTGTTAGATTAAGGTGTTAAAAGGATGAACACACAGTGAGAAGGTAGATTTTGCTTTCTGTTCTACAAGCTGACACTAGGGGGTGCTAAAAGCAAGCCAAAACTGCTTAGTTCCTCTTTAATGTTTGAGATACAAGTTCAGCTTGTATTTAGTAAAAGTTAATGGTTTCGGAGAGGAAAACATAGAAGAGACAGAACAAAGGGAAAATATGCAGATTTATAAAATTTGTGAGAAAGTGGCCGAGCTAAAAAGCTGCAAAGAGGGAGGCGTTTTCTGAAGTATTTCACTAAAATGGCCCTTTTTATAATGAGATAATGCAGCTCTTTATCAGATTTCACCTGTGTTACACAACAGAAAGGGGAATGCTAATTCAAATTTTAAATCTACAATAAAATTTACCGTTTTCCTTTATTTGCACTTCTCAATAACAGGCCTCAAATGTAAGAATCTGAACATAAAAATGTTTTTAAAAAGTCTCAATTTGCACCAACAGCCTGCTGGAGAGAAATCCCACTTTTAACTGGGACTGCACAAAGTCACTCCAAGGGCTGCAAATGGCCCCAGAGCCACACTTTGGGCATGCCAGTAAAAACAATGCACCCAAAAGTCAGCCCATGCTCCCGTTTGGCCACCATGTTTTAACGGAGTGCTTTAGGCCTAGTCCACACGTAGCCGGGGTTTTTTAAAAACGAATATCCGCCCCTCCAAAAACGTGCATCCACACCACCGCGTTTTAAAAACAAACTCTGTCCACACGTACCCGGATAAATACATTGTTAAGGACATGCCAGACCTGTAGGCGGCAGTACTTCCCCGTTCTTAACCTCGTCCTTCGTCTGTGGTCTTCCGCAAGGAGCAGTAATTCCACTTGCAGAAACAAACAAGCAGAAAGCGCTTGGACAGTTGATCACAGCTCTGAGGGCTTCCATGATGTCGGCTAGTGTAAACACAGGTCGCACACGTGATGTCAGCATTTTTTGTCGCGGAAAGTGACGTTGCGGACCTTAAAACTCCGGTTTTGTCTGTCCACACGCAGATGCCCAAAATGGAGAAAACGCAGATCTTCACTTTGACCGGAGTTTTTAAAAAGATCCGTTTTCGTGTGAAAAAACTCAGTTTTCGTGTGGATGACAGGCCAAAACGTAGAAAAATATCTACGTTTTGGCAGATCCCCGGCTACGTGTGGACAGGGCCTTATTTGGATTATTATGTGGACTGGCACTGACCTTTTGTCTGAAGAAGGCAGGGATTTAGGCGGCTCTATCCTGATGTCAGGGTCCCACTCTCCAGGAGGGAGGACGATCACCTCATCCAGGAACTCATCGATACCCGCCAGCAGGTCCTGCCTGTCCTTTGCTTTGTAGGCGATATCATGGAATACCTTCCAAAAGACAAATATAAAATCATTGGTAATTATTAATAAAATATATCATTTACTTAGAAAAAGCCAGGGGCGTGTCCAGTGAGTGGCCTGGGGTAGCACATGCCACCCTTAGAAGCTGATTGGCCACCCCAGGTGCCACCCTACTAAGTTCCAGTTTAAATTGAATTTACATTGTCGACAAAAGGCTTGAGTTGTAAACTCCAAAAATAGTGTGTGGTAGCATGCACCTTTAACATTGTCTTCTAGCCCAGGCCTACAGAACATTTCTGTGGTATTAATATTATTTATTATTTTTTCATATTCACATAAATAGTATTTAGAGTCCCACTCAACTCCAGTTGGTGGCAATAATGCAACAAGAAGTGACTTGCTAACCACCACAAAACTAGAAGATGAATAGAAAAAAATAGTGATTGTGCAATGTGAAACTCCAACATTCACTAGAAAGTAAATAAATAAACGATTTGTGTAAATAAATAAATAAGCATAACCATTGGTGCCACCCATGCATAAACAAGTGCCCCACATGGGTCACCCCATTTTAAAAGTCCTGGACACGGCTCTGGAAAAAGCCTGTAAAAAAGCCAACTGTAACTACATTTAACGTCTTTATGAAATTGAACAAAAACACCAGCAGACTTCTGTTTACACCATTCTGCAACCAATTTGAGCTCTTTCTCAATAACCAGCAGACATTTGTGCAAACTTCGAGCTCATCTGGCAATACGAGTGCTACGAAAACACACGAGGCGATGACTCGAAAACACAAACATCTGATAAAGCCGTGACAAGGTAATGACGAGGGAGCTTAGAGGGCAAAGTTTAACTTCAGGAAATCCAGTCGAAACACTTTCTAACCTTCCATATTGACATAAAGATATGACAAGGGATGATTCGAGGCCTGTGGCTGTGGGAAAAGGCAGCATGTGCTCGAGTATCAACAATCCAGACAGCCGTTGGGACAAAAACACAAATGGCATCAAGCAAGTGGGTGCTTTTTAATGTTAACACCATGCGGGTCTTTTGTCAAAAATGAAGCAAAGACTCAAAGGAATATTCCCAGGTTATTTCCACGTGAGAACACATTAGAGACAGATCATTAGAACTTGAATAATTAATTAGCTATATTTAGACAGACTCTTTTACATCTCTGGGGAAATTTGCAGTCATGGTCCCGCCCACCTTGGGTTGTGACTGCCCTCAGGGAGGCCATTTTGATTTTGCAGCCAGGAGAGAGCAAAGATCATCTCTGCTAGTAGAAGCTAATGGTTAGCATTAGCAAATATGCTTTAAAGTGTTCTGAGTTTTGTTAATGAAGGCAGCAGAAGAGTCATGCTGCTGTTCGCCAATCAGAGGAGAGACATTTGCATATGATGAATATTAAACTTGTAATCCCGCAGTTTTTCGCTCCTCACTCCTCTGATTAACTTCTACTCCCATACTGTACGCTTTTTGGCTCATCTAGACAAATCTCTCGTGAACAATGTCTTGAGTTGCCCTCGTGACATCTTATCGTGCACTCCCACGACCAAACAGTCTCCAGTGTTCAAAAAAAAAATAATCAACAGAAACATACGACTCCGGTCTGCAATCACCCCAAGAAAATACATCCAAGTCGTGACATGATAAACTAGTGATAAGTGCACAATGCGAGAGTAGCAGCAGCAACAGTATTAACAGTGGAGGCTACATGCAAGAAGATGTGGGCATGAAAAATGCCCAGGCTTAACCCAAAAGCGTGAGAGCCCCCCCCCCCCGGAAAATGACCCAAGTTATTCTTTAATACCAGAGACCACAACAGGATTTACTGAAAAATGAGTGAATTAGACCTTTAAAAAGGTTAAAGGGACTAGATGGAAGTTTGACAGCCAAAACATGTATAGAAATAATACATTTCTTCTTCATACATTCTCCTGCAATGCCCTGATCCTGTAGAATGAGCCCTGGCATTTTTACTGTGATTGCCTGTTTTTCTGTAAAATCACAGAAAAAGAGAGATGCTCGGGTCGAGCAGGCTGCTTCATGCGCGTTCACGCTCAGGAAATAGCCCGTAGCATTTGCTATCCGTAGCTTTAGCAGCAGAGTGAGGTAATGCCAACTCAGCGACTTTGTCGCTGTTCCTAACGTCTAGTGATGAACCTAGCTACATTTCTGAGGACCCTTAGCTACTTTCTGTAGAACTTTCTTCTAGATATTTCCTGCAAATTAGCAACAAAATAGCCATTTTCACTCTGAACCGTTCTTTGGTTTGACGTTGTTTCAGCTGTCATCAAGGATATAAAAGTTACAGATACTGTGAATGTTACTAGAGTGTAGCTAACCTTGTAAGATGTCTGACTCTCATGCAGAAGACCTGGGTTTGATTCTGGATGTGAACATAGTTTATTTAGAGTTTGATTTTTACATTAATGGTATATTTTTTTTACAGTAAGATGCCCAAATTTTTATTTGAGACTTGCCGAACAGCATTGAATTCACAGATAAAAAAGATGTGGGTTCTACTTTCATTTTGGAACAATTTTTCAAGCAAGGGAAGGGAATGATCTGAGCTTGCAGGAGGACTGACCCATCTTAAACCTTTGTCGGCTGTGCTGAAGAGAAAGGTACAGAACCACATTATTTAATTAATTAGCTGCGTGTTCTCCTGTCCTCTGTCCTCCGGGCCACACACACACTCACACACACGCACACACACACACACGGGACTGTCTCAACTGTTATTTTTGTTTAGGAGTGTGTACGTACAGCATGCGCGCCTCGTGCACGAGCCTACTATTGAAGCTGCCGTTACACTTTTGGCCTGAGGGGGCAATCGCGAGCATAAAAATTCAAAACTCCGTAAAGTCCCTTTAAATATAATGCATTAGATCAGTGGGGAAAAGGTAGATGTAAGATTTATAGATCATCAAACTTCTGTTAAAACACCTGTTATGGAGTTAAAACACTACAAAAAAAGGAATTGTTACAAATAATCGAAACAGTTTTTGTTAATGTGATGAAAACGTACCTCATCTGACATCAGTGTGGCGATGGCCCTTCCAATCTCCCGATAAGACTTCGATATTCCTTTAGGACCCAACAGCACAAAGAGAAATCTGGGCAGAAATGGTGAAGACGTTACTGACATTTTTTTAATGTTCAACGCATGTTTAAAAGCTGCAATTTCAGTCAGCAGCAGGAGACATTTTACAGCTGAGCACCTTGTTGGCAGAGGAACTTCAGTGAGCGCCCCCAGCATGACGGCCTGCTGCATACGAACAAAAGCAACAAAGGGGGTTTCCAGGAAATCCACTTCTCCAACGAGCACATTGGATGCCTCAGCATCACGGGGCAACTTCTTCATGAACTTGTTCTTCAGCTGTTTGAACAAAGACAGCAAAAACGTGCAGTGAAAGGAAGGAACAAGGATTTGATGAAGCAGAGACTGATGTGGTGTTTTTACTGTGCAAGGACAGGTAGTTCCTACCCTTTCCTTCAATTATGTAGCAAAACCAGCTTGACTTTACGCCATCTAATAAACCTGCTTTACTACTGGACATATCCAAAGGCTACACTGCATTTCCTTTGGAGGTTGGCAGAAGAACACACAGAAACACAACACTGAATATTAACGCCACTGAAAGGTGTAGCAAATGAAACGGACATTGTGCAACCTTCTACTGGAGAATCATCGCTCCAGGTATTTACTTGGAAGTAATTTTGACACCGAAACCCTTCCCAGAGTGGATGAAAACCACTCCCAGTGCTAACAACAGTCACTGGTTGCCGGACAATGTACTCTGGCATACTGAAAACAAACATTGAGGAACAAGATGGACAGCCTGTCATCCTGGCCTTTGAACTCCCCCACGTCACAGTTTGATTAACGGGATGTGATGGAATAAAAGAGATCCTGATGATTTTGCCCCACAGACCCCAAGGGGGCTCGCAGCTCACGACCAGACGGACCACAGGAAGTTGTGAAAAAAATCTGACTTGCAGGGAGATAATTAACTAAAGCCCTGGTTTAAACCCAAAAAAACTCAACAAATCTAGTTTCACACGGTGTTGTAACTGTTTAACCGTTTCATCCTTGTGCTGTGTACTTGCGAGCACTTTGACAGTTTACATTTAACCACTTCATCTTGAGCCATGACAGCGAGACAAGCATCAGACACCAGAAACTCACAACACAGACAGCTTTTGTTGCTCCAGATGGACGTGCACAAGTGTGAGTTTCACAGGCTCAAACAAACACATCTACACGTGTGACCCTGTTGCTGCGATGTGAACAGATGTTCTGTTATTCTTTACAACAATAAGAAAAAATAAGTTACCTGATCCTTCTCTGGTTTATCAGAGAAATCACTCAGGCTGTTGGACGTGAGGTTCCGGTGGGTCGTAGTTGGACTACCTGCACAAAGGCGGTAAACCAATTAGGATCAAAACTTTTATTTGCTGAGGAAGAAGGTGGGCAAAAGTAAAGAAAAGCACAAAAAATTAACAAGAGATGCATTCAAATCAGCAAGATGTGGTGAGGCTTAAAGGTTTTTGTGAGAAAGTTATGAACGATAAGTATCTAACATGCAGAAAATAGCTTAGTGAACATTCCAGCCAGCTAACAGCTAGTCTCTACGGGGGCAGTTGTAAAATGGAGTGCCTCAAAAGTGTCAGAGTTATTTCAGGTAAACGTGTTCTTATAAACTTTTACATCACTGTAAATTACTTACAGCAACATTAGCAGATGCTAGCCAAATGTCACACTTTCAGTGAAAACGTCATCGTATTTCAGACTCAAGTAAAAAAGTTTAGAAAATAACTATTGAATGAAATTCTATGACTTTTTCAAATTTTAATTGTTTTTAATGAGACATAATAATTTTAATTTATAATAGGTCTATGGTTGATTGACTGTTTCAGTACCTTCCAGAATAAGCCGTTTCAGGGTTCTGTCACTTTAATACAAATAAGCTGCTGATGACCACGCCCACCCACCCTCTGATTGGCTGCTATGAGGTGATGAGCTTAGATATCTGGGAGGGGCTGAGAGTAGAGCCGTTGCTTCTCCACATCCAGAGCGGAAGCCTCCATATGCATCGATATTGGTAGTGGTGGTGAGGGGTTAAATGCTAATTTTCCTTATTGTGACATCACAATAAGGGACATCTTGAAACCGCATCCTGTAACCAAGATCTGACGAAACAAACAGATGGAGGGTCTTTATTCCCGTGTGGAGCCAGTAGACACTCACAAGGGAACAGAAAGAGTTTAATCTGTACCAATAACTCATTTGTGAACTCACTCCATTGTTACTAGCCTTTAGCTCATCTGTACGATAATATTTTTCTCCAAACTGCAGATATTCAAAAATTCAGCTACAACACGTATTATTGTTCACAACCTTTACAAAGAAAACCACTTCAAAAGATGTGAAGTCTCCCTTTTGGCTTTAGCGCCAACACCAGGTGGCTTTTGATTTGCTCCTCCAGAGGAAGGAGAGCTGGGATATGTGGTCCGCTCACATCTGCAGGTTAAGAGGTGTCAGCAGACACATGCTGCTCAGGCAACTATTGGAAAACCAGTAAACTTTGGAACTTCGTTCAATGTGGTTAGTTTACTCATCTGCTCTCATTGGCCTCATTTAAAAACAGTCTATACCAATTCAGCTTTCTGCCGCCAGGCAAATATTTAGCCAAGTATATTTAGAGTTTTTTTTCCATATTGGCTTCAGTCTGAAGAGGATTTTTATTACACAGAACCTAAATGTTCTTATTGGTTCAGTCGCACAGCTTTCCTTCTGTTCATTCAAGTCTCTCCTGCTAGTTTTCTGGATGATTGTGTTTGAACAGTGCAACTTTCAGCTGGAGGGCAGTGACCTCACTTACAGAGGTATCCCATGCTGGAGCTCCTCATGACCTCACATGATTCCACTGTGTCGTTTGGAGTTAAACAAGGCATGGGGTGCTCGAGGGGGTAGCATGCTGCAACGCCCCAGGTGCAGGAAGTCAGGGACAGATCCAGAAGAGGAAAGAAAAAGAGGAAAAGGAGGAAAGAAAGGAAGTGAAAGGTTGTATCAGAGAAACACAAGAACAACTGAGTACTAGTTAGTGTTTAAGCCAGATGTGAGAAGTTGAAAGACATGAAACATAAGTAGATGTCCTTTTACTAAGGCCTGGTTTACACGGCAGCATTTTTTAATTATCTGATCATTTTCAAAACTTGAGACGTCATGCGTTTTTATAAAACACTCCATGGATATAAAATTTTTGGTCTTGTGTGCGGGACATGGGGAAAACGACACTCTAAACACAAACCATTTTCCCCACAAAAACATTAACTGGTCAGACGGCAAATCTCAAAAAACCACTCAAGATCAAACGTGACTTCGCAGATAACCCTCTGGAGGCGGGTGTTGCAGATTTGCAACATTAAAACCTACCTACCTGGTTACTCCACATACGTATTTCATGAGCATTTTTGAACTCAGAAGTACCCCTGAAGGTCTTAGTTGTTCGTCCTTGAGAGGGTTAAACATGGCAGAGGAGGAGCCTGCAGGGTGACCTCACTCTGATTGGCTACCCGTTCAACAGGCAGCCTGCTTATTTTACCTCAAAAGTTGGAAATCTGATTAAAGGTGTGGTTTGCTTGTTTATTTAATATGTTTGCAGGTGTTCTCTATTGTTAATAAATGCCTTATGAAAATACCTTAAAAATACCTTTAAAAAGCTATGATGCTCCTGTTCTGAGATGCAGAAGTTTGCTGGTGCAAAGGTGGGCATATATGTTAGTGATATGCAAACACCTCGCTTCTGATTGGCTAACAGAACGTGTTCAGCCATGTTGCAAAGTCACTATCACCAAAACACTCTCCGCTCTCTCTCCTCGCTGCACTGTGGGTGGGTTTGAACAAAATGGGTGAGTCCATGAATGCAAATTCACATTGTGACATCACAGTGTCAGAATTTTTAAATCCTAGCATTTCACAGTCTATCAGAAGCTAATGCAGGGGATAGGTGTTGGACACTGTTTTCATGTTAAGCCTGCATGAAAAACTCAGAGTGACTGATTATAATCAGAAATAATGATTAAAAAATGTTTTTTTTCAGTCAACCACACCTTTAATGATCGGACCAGAGCATTCTTAACACACCAGACATAGAAGGAATGTCTGATAAAAAAAAATTTGAACCATGACAGTAAGCGGGCACATCTTTATGATTATCATAAGGGGAGAATCTGGTGAAAATTTGGCATCACTTTCTGGCCGTGTGAACCGGGCCTTATAAAGGATGACAAATCAAAGGTTTGGCATTACCATTCTCCTGGTTTGAAAATAGCCTACTTGCGCTGGAAACACTTTTGCCAATATCAGCAAGCGAACGCAAGTTGGACTTCTTGGTCTGATGGCGATGTTTCCGCAGCAGCGTGTACACAACCTTCTCCTTCAGGTCCGCTTTTAGCATTCCGGCCTCGATCTGGCTGTCGGTGACCATCTCTGTTCAAAAGGACAATCAGTCATTCTCCGAAAGCTTATGTGCTGATGTTCTGGGAGGGATCAGGCCCACTTACCGACAACCTGAGGCAGGGTGGAGGCCTCTATATCCAGCAGGACTGTGCCTTTCTCGATGTACGATTTCAGCTCCATCAAGCTGTGTAAAGACAGCGTGGCGACGTGAGGCTTACTCCATCGCTCGCCACCTTTCTCCACCTTCTCCTCAAATTTGATCCATCTAGCCAAAAGACGAAGGAAGACAGTGGCAGGGATAATGTCACGTTTGTTCGGAAAATATTAAAAAAAAAGTTGGATAAAAAAAATCTATTGATTCATTTGATCAAAAGCACATCCCTAAAGGTATTTGGAATTGGCCACAGAGCAAGAGATGCAGAATAGTATGGCGTGGTATGGGGGCCAAAATTAAGACTACTGCCCAGTAGCAGGAGGCTGTATAAATTTCAAAGCAAATTACGACCTGATTAATGATAAGCTGGCACCGGTAACTGAGAGGCTGGCGCTGCTTACTGAGAAATAGTACCTTTACCGGCATTATTACTAGATACGCTAGGGACTAGCAGCCCTCGGCTGGTCATGGACTGGTTCACACACTCCCTCTGCTGTCTATTAGCACGGATAGGCTAGCGTTAGCCTGAACGGGCTGGTGTTAGCATTGGAGAGGCTTGCCATTAGCGTGCCTAGGCTGGCCACTAGATGGATTTCCTACCTCCTCGACAGACCATTAGCATGGATAGGCTGGAGTTAGCATTGGAGAGGCTAGCCATTAGCATGTCTCGGAGAGTCACTAGTCAGCTAGTGGCCAGCCTAGGCACGCTAATGGCTAGCCTCTCCGATGCTAATGCCAGCCTGTCCATGCTAATGGTCCAACAAGGGGGTAGGAAATCCAGCTAGTGGCCAGCCTAGGCACGCAAATGGCTAGCCTCTCCAATGCTAACACCAGCCCATCCAGGCTAAAGCTAGCCTATCCATGCTAATAGACAGCAGAGGGAGTGTGTGAACCAGTCAATGACCAGCCGAGGGCTGCTAGTCCCTGGCGTATCTAGTAGTAATGCCGGTAAAGGTGCCATTTCTCAGTAAGCAGCGCCAGCCTCTTAGTTACCGGCGCCAGCTTATCATTAATCAGGTCGGTAGTTTGCTTCAGAATTTATATAGCCTCCTGCTGCTGGGCAGTAGTCTTAATTTTGGCCCCCATACCGTGCCATAGAATAGGAATAAAAACCAAATCCCAGGATTTGACAAAGAACAAGCTGGCACCAGCCTGTCGTCTGTCTTCCACAGCTTTCAGACCACACACATGCACGCGGCTTAGTCGGAGAAACAGGACTCTGTTGCATCCCTGAAGGTAAGAACTCGTGGACAAGGATTCTTTTTTAATAAAAGCGTGTCACGTGTCACCCTACAAAGAGCCATTCTGCTGCGGCCTTAGGATGGGGTTTCCTCTGGAGATATAGTGTCCATCTGTGATCCACACTCCTGTGACCTGCCAAATCTCTAAGAGTAGACATACTGTAGGCTTTAAGGAATTCATTTACACTCCCTTCTATGCAAACTCTGCTTCTCAGGACAGGACAGCTCACTAGAGCGAGTAATGGGAGTAAAATGTTCCAAAGACAGCTTTTCTTGTTTCTTATTTTATTAGTAACATCTTACCAAAGCAAACAAAAAAACAGTTAGCATGTTCCAAAGTAAAAGTGAGTTCTGTTCTGATCCTGTAAGAGTTTCTGCCTTTTCCCGGTCTCACGGGGCAGGTCAAACTAATCCCGATCAGATAAGGATATGGTGGGAGTTCACTGGAGAACTGCCTATTTCCTTACATGCTTTAAACACGATCGGATTGTGTTCCGCTTTCAAGGCTGTGAGGTAGGAAATGTCTGAATGCCCCAGTAGTTGCCCTTTATGTCAAAGTGGGGCGGGGGGCATCCGGTGAAATGTCTCACCTGGCCGTCTCCTTCCACTCCATCTCCTGCCCATCCACACACAGGAGTTCGTCCAGCTCAGTGAAGAGCTGAGGAGGCGGGGGGCCGTCATCCTCCTCGCCCAGGATGAACCGAATCCTCTCGGCAGGAGAAACTGCAAGACAACGATTTCAGAATTCATAATTTGCCCCTTTTTCAGAAACTTAATCTAGAAAATGAATCTAATTGTGTGAATTTCAGAATAAAACCGGGTTCAAATGTAATCTGATTATAAATTCCGTTTGGTAAAACTTTTTGCGTTTTGGACAAAACTCTCCTGCACCGTCAAATAAAGGAAAAGGTAAAAAATGTCAATTAAAAACAACATTTTATAGTCATTTCCATTCTCACTACAAGTTTCTGGTTTTAAAGGCTAGTATTGGTGCATGATGCTTACCTGCTGATTACAATTTATCTTTTATTGTAAACTCAAATTATGATCCTGGAAGTAAAACAAAAGTACACATAAATAAGCATTTAGCATTGGTGTGTTCACAGAACAGGAAACAAAAATAAATAAATAACTAATTTCTGATCAGCTCATCATGCTGAATACTGGCCGATTTCCATCGTCAGACAACTTATTGTTTCATCACTACTGTAAGTCTAATAAGACTTGGGAAGAAACAGAATAATAAAGAGAAGAAAAATAATCTAAAACTACATTTGAAATTTAAAGTGAATTCAGTTTCTGCCACTAAAATGAATCTGTAATCAAATATATTGCACTAGTGTAATCTGGGGGAAAGCCCTTTGATGTTCTCAAATAAGCAGCTTTAGAAATATGAAAGAAAGAAAATTGTTTAGTCAGAGAAAAACTAAGCTTGATAGAACAACAACTCCCACACGCTACTGACCACAATTCCTTCTGACTGGCAGGTCAGCCATTGGAAGAGTACATTTGGTCCCTGTGCCTTATTGAAATATGGACCCAACTTAACAAAAATAGATGAGCTGACATTTTAACCCTCATTTCTCCAAATGGATAATAAAAAATGCAAAAACGTAAAATGTTTCATTGCTTTACTCTTGGAGGGAAATTTAAAGGGCTACAATTTGACGTAAGTACCAGATAAAACTTTAAAAATCATCATTAAAAAAGGTGCGAGAGGACAATTTTCAGACATGGGGCAAAAAGTTGACTGAAAGTGAACCCTTTTGTAGGAATAATGTCCTGAGCACACTCTCAAAAGTCAACACCGAACGTCTCAAGGAAGGAACGGCGAGCTGTGGAATGCTCAAGTCAAAAGGCCACATTTGAATCCAGATTTGAATCTGCTCTTTGACCCTTTGGGGTTTTTAAACGGGCAATACGTGCATCCAGTGACTGGAGGAATCTTGCTCGGGCAATTGGTCCAGAAGTTTCCGTCAGACGGGGGCTGAGTCCAAGGTGTGCTTGAGCGAATAACTGACAATAGTGTCTGACTTTGTGACGCGTGTCACCTTCACGTGTGCACGGTTTTAAAGAGAACAATGTTTCCTTGATCAAATACAACATTTTTTCCACTTTGTTTCATAACTCTAGAAGGAAAGAAACAAAATTTACTGACAAGGATGGTAAATACAGCTCGTTTATAAAAGGAAAAACCACAGAATGAACCGATTGTCTGTAATGGAAAGTCTTTACATAACCAACGCTCACAAGGAAGAATGTTTTCCTTCTTTCTAATAAAAGTAGTCAAAGCACAAGTCAGTAGATCAAACTATCAACTTACACAAAATTCACTTTCTGTTTGTTCTTGGTAAGAGATTTTAGAAATGGACAAAGGGCCAGAGCCCCTGGTCTTCATGCTTGGCAACAATTCTGACAAAAATAAATAAAGTTATGTAACAATGAGGTCCTGTGTGTTTTATTTCCTTCCTTTAACACATTATTAATCATAAAAGGAAATGATTTGTTCCCAGAACACCACTAAGAAATTTGTGTGCCCATTACAAGCTAAAGGAGGTTACACCTGAAGCCTTCTTGAAATACCGGACTCTACCTTGTTAACGCAGCAGAGCATGTAACCTTCTAATCCTGAATCCCGAAAAAGCTCAGCAAAGCTTAACTTAGAAGGATTGTTTCTAAACTCATACAGTTGGACTTGTTGCAAGCAAATCTAAAATGAAGCCACTGTAAGGTCAAGATCGGAGCCGTGAAGACGGCCTTGGAGGCTTGAGCTCATCTTTGCGCGGAGAACACCAACAAGCCAGACACGTATACCCTCAGGACATCGGCGGTGTCCTTTTACTGATGTGCTGCCATGAACAAGACCGCGGTCTTTGACACCACTTTGTCCACGCAACATCCATGTCTCTGATCTCCTCTGAGGTGTTGGCAATGAAACCCCAACTTCTGTTGTTACAGACAATTTATAGGTGGACAACACTGCAGGGTTTCACATAAGTAACAGGATTATTGGGATTAAGATCAGAGGCAAACAGCAGAGAATCCAACATGCTAAAGGGTTCTGTGTGCACTGTCAACCCGTGTTTTTTTATGGTCGGCACTCAGACTAACTGACATCAAACCCGACAACAATCAGCTCACTGTATGTTTATCTGCTCTTCCCACATTGTGACTTCAAGACTCTTAAACTATGAACATTTGACTTTGACTTTTCTCTTCAAGTAGCAGAAATGGTCCAAACCAAACCAGACAAAATGACAAAAGATTATTTTTTATAACTAAAAGAGCTGTAAAATGTTGTTTCCATGCAGTGACTCACCATTTTCTAGGGTCTGCCCTCTCATTCAACCTTCTAAGAATGTTTACACTTTAGATTTGCAAAAGTGATACTGTGTGATAAGAAAGAGGGAGTTTAGGTCTGTTTGTGAGTATGCTAGAAGGAGGGGATTCAGTGTTTTCTTTGGTTTGATTCCACTTGTGGATTACCAGCCAACAAAAGTTTTGGTTTCAAGACATGTTGGTGTCTTCTATAAATAGTCTGAGTAAGGTCAATGCTGGGATTTATGAAGCCAATATTAACTGTGGCGACAGGCAAATTTTTGAGGATCTGAAAAACATTTTTCAAATTTAGCTTGTTGTTGAATAAAGACAGCTGGATTGTCTAAAATACCAGACTGAAAAGTCTGTGCCATCTCCCACCTGCTTACCTATGCAAATTAGTAGTTTTGTAATGACCACAGAGAAACAGCTCATTCTGAGAAAAGCTGGTATGACACGTCATAAGCTTAGACACGCCCCCTTATATCTGTGTGACCAAACCCACTTGGGCATCAGCAATATATAAATGTCAGTGGTGGTAATGGTAATCGCAGAACAACACTAGCCAGAGCTACTGCTAACGCTAACCCAGGCTACTGCTAATGTTGTTGGATGAGAGGAAAACAGTACCGATGAATGTCAGAGGTCACATTCCAGGATGTAATGAGGATATCAGACTTTGAATTAATGCCAGATAGAGCAATAATTTGCCTCTTGAGTAATCCGGATACTGTGCAAGAGCTCAGAGTTTTTAGCTTCAAGCAGTGTTAAGAGTCATCAGGGCAAACCAGCCAATCAGCATGCAGCTCCTTTAATATTCCTATTCTGGCCAAGCATAGGAAAATACAATCTTTCCATTATAGGGCTTTATTATGGGGTTGTGACTGGCCATTTATTAGGGTTCCTGGGCAAATTTTGAGCCCCAACAGCAGCTGCTTTCACATCAGGGCCAACTCGTCCCACCCAGATATGTTATAAAGTAGGGATGTGTATTGGTGAAATTCTGGCGATACGATACTTATCACGATATATTGCGATACATTCAGTCGGACAATTATAGCTATTTTTTTAGACTAAAATTGTTGTAAGAAAATTCAATAAATGGTCCAAACTGATACTTAACATGATTAACATGAGGTATCTGAACCATAATAGAGGGATTTACATTTCAGTGGTGGAAACAAACTCCATTGCACCCTACTGCTGACTAGTGGACGGCATTTGATTTGCACCAAAAGAAAAGAAAATACACAAACGTTTGCACGTAAATTCTTCCAAAAAAATCGATACACAGCTTTTTAACATCGATATAATATCGCAGGAAAAAATATTGCGATATATTCCTATATCGATATTTTCTTACATTCCTATTATAAAGTGTTCACATCTAGGTAGCCTGTTTTTTATTCTGTGCTCGTTTATTCAGCCCTCTTCCCAAAGTGGGCTGCTTCGGTCTGAACCGACCCACAACACCCACTGCCAACTGATTGGCCAGCTGAAATCCACGCCTAGCATAATAGGAAGCCTCCAAATGTAAAACTGCTCATGGCGACATTAGTTTAATTTAAGGGAGACACCACAGACTTCTCTATGCATCTTTTGCCCCGCCCACGAGCTCAGAGATTTCCACATTCCTAAGAAGTGTGTGGGAACAAAACCCACCGGTGCAGAACCTGGACCAACGCCACCCAACCTGGACCAGATGTGGAGGCGGCAAATGTTTCACATGCTTTATAGAGGCTCAAAAAACAGGCTCCAGTTGAAAATAAAATTGTTCTAGAACCACTTTAAACCTCTTTGTAACCTTTGTTTGAACACAGAAGTGAATTATTTTAATTTTATAACCATGTATAGTAAATAAATCTGAATGACTTATGGTAATCAAACAGGGCACATGACATGTAGATGGGGGATTAATGGGAACAAACCAATTATCATATCAAGCCACCTTTGGATGACTAAGCACACACGCCGGTTTACACCAGACCGTGAGGTGCAACATGGGATTACAGCGTCACTGAGGAGAGGATTACTCCAGAGTACATCTGCGACATCAAGTCTGAGGAACGAACACTTGATATGACACCTGCATCATCACGATGGTTGGGGAAACAAATCCAGGGTGTAAAAGGTCAAAACGTATTCAGTGAAATTTCACACACACACACACACACACACACACACACCATTCTTTTTAAAGTACAGATGGAATTTTTTTCATCTTCTGGCCGTTACCCAGTGGACTCCAGAGGCATCTGTGTGTACAGAATAAAGCTCATTCACAGCACTGATCTGACACAATCATGTGGTCGCACCAGCTGCTACACCCTGAAAAAACACTCGGCAGCAGCAGAGCAGCTGTAAATTCCTCCAGATCTTCTACTTTGCATCATCCTACACCCTCCCTGAAGTTTTGAGAGCGACTCCAGATTTGTAACTCGTTTGGAGACATCGTGCATGCACGTGAAAGCCACCATGAATGCGGAGACGCCATACATCCCAATAGTAATCCTATAGTGAGTGGCAGGCCAGAAAGCTCGAGTCAAAGAGTTTAGATTATTCCAGTCTTATCTGTTGAGAGTTTACTGAATGGCCTCAGTTCAGAGAAAGAGTTTACATCCAACAGGACTGAATATCTGTTAGCCCAAGTCCAGTTGTGACCAACGTAGGAGAGGTCTTAAAATAGTTCCAAATTCCAAAGCAGTTGACGCAAAATAAAAAAAAACTTTACGCAGCCATTAATTTAGCATCACTAGGTTATTGACATGCACTGGCAGTGTCACTGGCATCAGATGAATGTAGCACGTAGGGTGCATCCAGGTGTCATGTCAGGCATGACTTTTCTGAAGTTTCTGTAGAAATAATATTTTGCTCATTTTTCCTCCAATTAACCAAGTCTGGGTTGCAGCTCCAGCAAAGAGGACCCAGTAACCTCTACCCATGGGATCCTAGGGTGTCCCCTGGCTACTGTCGAAATATAATCCTCCAGCATGTCCTGGGGCAACCCGGGGGCTCCCTGCCAGCAGGAAGTGACTGAAACTCCTCCTCTGAGAGTTACTCAGGAGAAATCCAGACCAAATGCCAAAATCCACCTCAGCCAGTTCCTCTCGACGTGGAGGAGCCGCGACTCTACTCTGAGTCCCTCTCAGTAATCCCAGCTCCTGACCCTATCTTTACGGCTGAGCCTGGCTATCTTGTAGAGGAAACTCAATTTAAATTCAGTGATTACCCAAAGGCTCATGATCAGCTGTGAGGGTATAGGAAGGAAGTATAAGGAAGGAACCAGTAGATTAAGAGCTTTAAATCATCATGTAGTGTAAAAATTTTAGGTATATAAAGGTTTAATAGCAGTGACTGCTTTAACTGCTGTGAAATTTAGAACCTCAGAAATATTTTCAAACAAACTCTGGACTTGGCTGCACACAGACTAGCTGTTAGCTCATCAATCCTGGTACCCATTTCACCAAATTGAGGCTGCTCATTGAGCCTCCTACAATACATAACTGGAATTTTTTTTTATTACCTATGATTTAGTTAATTTTTTCTTAAATAATTTGTTTGCACTCTACGTAAAACATAAATCACAGCCCAGGTACCTTGTCTTTCCTCTTTTGTGTACTGATGAGCTAAGAAGAAATTCCCTTAGTCTTCCTCATTATCTTTAATCACCATTTCCAACTTATTTTTACACCAGGGTTAGGGTTAGCTAAAAACCTCTGACGATAACCTCTCATTACGCTGATTTAGCAAACCGGGGCCTTTTAGGTGAATCCCAATAGTGTGATGGATAATTGCGTGTTTTTATTGTTCTCTATTCCTACACACAAACACACCCTCCCACCCAAGAAGAGTCATTCTGCACTACCTTACTAAGATCCCTAAACATGTACACTTTAAGTTTATGCCGACTGTCCTTTGCCATTGATGTAACTTCTGTTAAATCTCTACGGTTTTATTTAAATACCACACATGGAAATGGATCAGAGTCTAAAGAATATCTTGCAAAAATAAAGCTGAAAATGTTGCTTTAATAAATAGGACAGTAGTTTTCCATAACTGGATAGCATTTATAATGAAAACCTGTCCTTGTGCTCATCTGCTCAGCTTTTAGCTTCTGGGAGACTTTCACACAAATCTCAAAGAGTGCAGCGTTAACCACCATGGTGCACCATAATACCTCTATTTGTGTTATCTTTACACACATAAAGCCAACCTGGTGTCATTTTAAGATTAGCTTGTATCCCCTTCTCATCCCTTTTCCCATGCCTCATTCCTTGTAGACTCCTGATTCTGCCGAGTTGTTTTTGTTTAAAATGCTACACGCAAGAATCCAAATCCAATATCTTCTCATCTTTTCTGAGGTTCGGTGTTGAGCAGCACTCACTGAGAGGTTTGAGGAAGTTTGTGCTGGAATCGTCGGCATTCTCCACATCCGCCTTGTACACTTCCGTGATCTGCTCCACCCGATCCCGCTTCTCCTTGTGGTTGGACTTGCGTCTGTGGCGTCTCCTCCGTTGGTAGCTCTTAGGGACGTGGACGCCGATGTACACGGTGTGGTGGCCTGCGATGGACAACACCAGAACAGGAGGGCGGATCAGAACACATTGATGACATAACAGAAATCCCTCATTCATCAGTTACTTTCTCTGCACCCAACTAAATTATAGTCATCAACTACTCCCCACGATGTGACTCGTCATGAAATCTCTTATTCTCTCCAGGAAGCAGTAAGAATAAGGGAAACACAAATACTGGGACTAATGGGCCATTCCCATCTGTACCGGGGCGGCCCGGGCCTGGTAGCGTAGGCTGTTTACATATCTGGGTGGCCTGGTATTTTTCCGGGCCAACCAAGGCTCCTTCTCAGCCCTCTTCTCGAGGGGGTCTGCTTCAGGCCGACCAGGGCCAACACACCCACTGCTGACAGCAAATTCACACCTTCCATTAGAGCAAGCCTCTGATTGGTGGGTAGAATCAGCCCACATGGGCTTAAGACAAGGATGTGTGGAATCAACCGGGCCAGGCTGGGGCCGACTGGGGCTACCCGGCCCGGGCCGACCCGGTACAGATGGGAATGGCCCATAACTGACCAAGTCGGTGCTGAGGCAACTGTGTATGTCACCCTTTCCAGTCATTACAATCCACAGGCTCGCTTAGAGGGGTTTCAAAAATAACTGTTTTGCTTCAATGCAAAAGCCAATTTGCACCCGAGACAAACAGAAACCAGCGCCAGTCCTCGGTACCGAGGGCCTCGTGCAACGGTGGTTTGTGAATTATGTGAACGCCTCTGTAATTTCATGCGGGTGTCTCTCACACATTCTTCAGCGGACTAATCTGATCCAGAAGGCTTAACACCGACTTCTCGTACGGAAATCTTATCTAAAGTGGAGGTTATCTTTTATTTGTGTGTTATTGAGAGATGATAGTTGAAGGAAGGTGATGAAGCTTTCACATCTGAACAGAACAGGACGTGTAGGTGGAAAAGAAACACGTCAAAACTTTGTGAGTTGGACCACAGGGCCACCGTACCTTCTACTTCTTCTTCATCGCAGATGTGTTTGACAAAAGCCGCCCCTCGATCCAACACCGCTTCATCTTCCACTCTACAGAAAAGAAAAAAAAAGGATGTCAACATTACGGTCATCCCCCACTCCTGTAGATTTAGCTTCTATGCAGAAACTGTCTTTATGCTTTTTAATGCACATTTTCCTATAATTCCAAGTCCACTCTCCTAAGGCCAGAGAGATTCCCACAATAACCATGAAACATTCTCTTTTCCTACGTAACGACCGTTTACTGCAGACAAAAACACAGTTGTAAAAAAATAACAATAAAAAATAAAAGAAAAACTTTACAGTGAGTCATATCATCAGCTGGCTATTCGTTCTGGTCTTTAAAGAGCAAGTCACCCCCTACCAGAGTCTAACTCCACTCCCAATTCATGTGTGAAAAATGCAAGACATGCTGTTGCCTGGCAGACCGAGAGGGCGGAGCTGCTAACACATATACACACACACAGGCTCACGACAGCATTGTGACATCATAATGTACCAGTTTACATCATAGCATACCTCGTAGCCAATAGCGGTGGCAGATTTAAATTCAAATACAGTGCAGAGTTTTTACCTGACAACGGCACAGCACTGCCAGTTTTAGGCAGAATATTTAAATTTTAACTAAGATGCACTGAGGAGCCAAATTATTGACGACACGTGTCTGCAGCACGATTAGACACTCGTTTATTTAGTTTATCAGCAAAAAAAAGTTTATTTGGGGGTGACTTGCTCTTTAAATATTACCCCCAGGTCTAAATTTATGATGCAAGAACTTCAAAAAGGTATAAAACTTTTTGGATGATTCTGATGGATGAAATAAGAAAATGAAACGGTTCTACAAGCACCAACATGCTTGTGGAACCAGTGCTGCTGATAGTTATGACAGATAAGATCAGTTTAATTCCAACTGAAATATGTGGTTTTTTTTTTTTAAAAAAAACATGCTGAATTTAGATCTTAAAGAAACACAGTATATCATTGGTACTAACCCCAGTTTTCAATCAGATACCTTAAATACCACTGAAACATGTGGCTGCCAGTTAACATGGAAACCAGGTGATGTCCAACACCAAACTGGTTTCCACAACACGGATCACTGCGTCTTGGATTACAACACACAAAGAATTACCATGTTCAGTGGAAGGGATTACATTGCCATCGGCAAATGACTCATTGCTCATTAAAGGCTTAAAATACGGCATGTTTCACCTTTAGACTGATTTTATTTTAAAGGTGCACAGACACGCCATGTTGCTACACACAGTAAATAAATTCAAATCCCTCTATTATTCAAAACTGAGCCCGTTTACACAAGAGCATCCAACAGTCAACCCAGTGAAGGGCCACATAACTAGTCAGTTTTCCACTGACTAGGACGTATAATAGAACCAGCCTAGGACTCTGGTACCATCACCTTCATCAGAAGTGTCCTTCCATTTTAGGTGTTATAGTTTGCCTTGGTTAAAACAATCACCCATACTTTACCATACCATGCCACCTTTATTTATACAGCACTTTAAAAACACAGCCATACGGCCGACCAAAGTGCTGAACAGTCGCACAATAACAGAGATAAAAACATAAAACAGAGCAATAAAATACAGTCAACAAATAAGAAACAAGCCAATAAAAAAGTACCGATAAAAACCTTAAAATGGATGATAAAATAAGAGTAGTAGAAACCAAAATAACAGCTAACTGTTAAAAGCAAGGGTAAAATAGTGTGTCTTTAGTCTAGACTTAAAAACTGCCAAGGAGGATGCCGGTCGAACTGCGACTGGAAGTTCGTTCCACATTTTAGGACCGGCAACAGAGAAAGCTCTTTGTCCGCATGATTTATAACACGCTTTTGGTACCTCGAGGAGCAACAGGCTGGAGGACCTGAGTGTGCGACCGGGAGTATAAATCGCAAGAAGATCAGACAGGTACACGGGGGCAAGACCATGGAGGGATTTGAAAACAAAAAGCAATATTTTATATTGGACCCTGAAAGTGATGGGCAGCCAATGAAGGGATTTTAGAACTGGAGTTATGTGCTGGCGCCTGTCAGTACGTGTGAGGAATCTAGCCGCTGCGTTTTGGACGAGTTGAAGTCTGGCAAGGGTTGACTTATTGACACCCAGCAATATTGCGTTCGAATAGTCGAGCCTAGATGTGATAAAGGCATGAACTACTGATTCCAAATTTTTCCTAAATAAAACTGCTCTTAATTTTTACTGTGGTCTCCAGTATGAGCGAACGCCTTGCGAGTCGTTTTCTGTGGAGGGAAAAAAGAAGCTCTGGTGCTCCTTTTTCAGGAAGTAGAAGTTAGTCACAGTAGTAGGGAGGAGAGGAAAACTGCAGAGTTATATGGAGGCTGAGTCACGACCTACCTCTGGTCTTTGGGTCCCCGAAAAAACAAGAATATGAATGCAAGTCAGTGGGGCTAACGCTATTTTCCAAACCCGTTTGTTATGTGTCATGGATTTCACATATGATGAATTTTAAAGATACATTCTGATGCCAAGAACGAGCAATTTTTCGAACAAGGGCCAAAGTAATTTGAGGTTTTGTGTGAAAATACGTCCAGGACTACAAATGCACATCACCAAATTGATGTCATTGAACTAGAAACGGAAAAAGGCAAAAGAAAAATGGCTGCCAGTTCAGCGAACTTCAAATCCTTCTTTCAGGAAGTAACCACCATAAATCTGGCCATGTGGTAAGTAGCCGCTACGCTAGGGGACAAGAGATGCTGTGGTGAAGTCACCTATGCATCATGCTGATTTGTAGTCATGGTAATTACAAACTTTTACAAACTAAAAACTATCAAAGTACGTCACAGACATAGTCGAAACCCACATGATTTCTTTTCACATAAAAATGCAACACTCTCCTCAAAAAACACAAGTCTGAACATGTGCTGCCATGTTGAGGAGTTGCTAACGCGTAGCTTTGGCTAGCCGAGACATGCTATGCGCTCTCCTTCCTCTGGTCGAGGGTTAGGGTTAGGGTGGGGTCATGAGGCCATGGATGCTATTCTTTCTTGTGACTGAGGACCACCTATTTCTGACTGGATCCCTTTCCTGTTGATTTCTTTTCTGCAGCTAATGCAAGCAAAGGGGATTGAAGAAAGTTTGCTCAACTCAGAGGGACCAATCATGTTTCCTATTACGTGATTTTTTTTCTCAAGGTTGCAAAGACTGTGGGTTTATTTAGTGCACATGTTGCCAAGTAGGCATTGTTTTTTATTTATCAAAAACCTGGAACAACCATAAGAATTACTAAAACTAAAAAAGCAATCCATGATTTTTTTTTCACAACCTAATCATTGCAAATTAGGATTTTTTCATCTTTTTTTTTTCTTTTTGCTTAAAATAACATCTGACCCAAGTTTGGATTAAGAACATTGAACATTCAGCTTTCATTTGGGGAGTGTGTTTCAGTTGTTGATTGAGACAACTTATACATATGAGAGGAGTGGGCCAGTGCCAAATAAACAAAGTCAGGAAGAATACAACTTGTTCCTCCAATTGCAGTGTGAGCTCATTTGAATTTCCCTTGTGGATATGATATCTGGCCCAGAAAACGATAGAGGTGCAACGCTGATAGCCGACGTCATTCTACTCCTGAACCCAACGGACCGTGAGAAGAGGCAGATATTGGTGCTACTTATCAACCTCTTTGCCCTCCTTCAGACGATCTTGTGCTTCTCCAGAACAGAGCGCTCCGACTGTTCCAATGCAAACTTAGTGACACAGTTCAGATGCAAATGACGTGCGAAAACAAATAGGTGAAGCCATTTTCATTCATGGATGCAGGATTATAGCAAACATATGAGTGATGTGCTACAGGGTAGTTCCAAGAAGACGGCTTACCGTCACGGTGAAATACAGAATAGAAAGTACGCCCTTTCCAATTTAAGGGTTTCACATATCAGGGCATAATAAAAAAATAATCTGCTCCTCATCAGGTTCTAAAATTATTCTAATCCAACCACAAACACACAGATTCCAACATATCAAACAAAAACAGAGCAAAAATAGACAAGCTGTGTGTGGGAAAACACAGTTCACCTTTTACATATTTTTGATCGTGTCTTCCATGTTTTTTAATTCAAAAAATGTCCCATTTTTAAATAACAATATTTTTCCAACATTTTTATTATTTTTTAAATCATTTTTTATTTCATGTTCTTGTGAAGCACCTTGGGTTTTTTTTTTTCTTGAGAGGCGCTATATTAAAAAATCATTTCCTTTTCTTCTTTAAGATTTCAGAGGTAAAGTAGCAGGCAGGTTCTGTTGAACGTGATTAACAGATCATCATCAGTGTGATCTCCTCAGTAAAGGCAAAAGTTTTGATAGCTTGCTGTTTTGGAGCATACGGGTGTGTGTTGACACAGTGGCTGGGGTTGAGACATCAGCGCTGACCTTAAAGAAGAAACTGCATCCGACCATCAACATGAGAAGAGTTAAAGGTGATCTCCAAGCAAATGTCAGACTACTAGTTAAAGGTTCAAGTTTATTACAAGACAGTTTGGAAGGGTTACAGCAGAAAACCGTGACGTTAAAAAGAACACGTTGACAGGATGAAGCTGCATTTGATTGAAAGTCTTGTGACGAATGGTTAAACAATTCCCATAAACAAACTCCTAAAATTGTGGAAATCCTTCCCAGAAGAATTTAAGCTGTTATTTCAGCTAAGGGTTGGGCAACTCTATACTAAACCCTACAAATTAAAAATGGGACGTCATAAAAGTTTGCGTACATGTAAAGGCAGATGTCCCAATATTTGTGCCAGTAGTGTACCAGCTGTCAGCATGGTGGCAGAAGGCTGATGGTTTGGGCAGCCTGAAGACACAGAGTCAACCATGAACCCTTTATTGGGTCTTGCGTCATCAAAGGAAGGAGAGATCGAAGAACTACTTCCTAATCGTGTGTGTCAACAAATGTTTCAGAATGGTAATATTTGTATGTAATCTTAGACTTTCTCCTGAAAGACCAGATTATTTTTGGAGATCACCACAATGCTTAAAGAGACAATGTAGTTTTTACCATTAATCTCTGGAAGTGTACATCGAAAAGTTGTTGAAAATTAATTAAATGGTGTTTGGTAGTTGAAAAATATTGGCAGCTTCATAACATACAACCATAAAAATCAGGTCTAAAATACATGGGAGCGGGTCTAAGTCTCTGGGCAATGCAATGTTTCCTTCTACGGAAGCCCGTGAGGACAAAACGCATTAACTGATTTGTAACGAACTGTTGCAAAACTTTCACCATTCATAAATGTTGTTTTTCACGTTTACCTCTTCGCTCATTGCCAGAGATGAAAGGGAGTCTGATGTGCTCGTCATTTTGCTGGAGGCTGTGCTTCCAGGGCTTTTTGACCCTAATGGCCATCCATTGGTAAGGTCTTACTCAAACACAAAAATACAGCTTCCTTGCGATGATTTTGGTATGTACTGCCCCCTATGCCCTATCGCCAGGGAAAATACACACTGTCACTTTAAAGTTGCAATAAAATGTTGCTAATGATTAGTTTCTACCAGCCAAGATGCACTTCGCTCTCTCCTCGTCTCAAAATCAACACAGCCTCTGCAGTCACAAGCCAAGGTAGCGCGGGGCCATGAATACTAATTTTTACTGGTACGTAGAAGAGATTGGCTTCTTCTGACTCACCCATCAATTTATTTTCTGCGGCTAATGCAGGTATGTGGGTTGAAGGCATTTTTGCTACTCAAGCAGGGATGAACTGGCATTCTGGCACTGTCCCGGTGGGCCGCTTAGCCAAGTGGGCTGCTTGCCCAGCTTGGGCCGACACTACTCCACAGTTGGCGATCTGCAGAACATTAGCTACATGGTAACCCAACGCTAACAAGAGTTTTTCCAGGTGTTTTTAGCAAGAAAAACGCGGTAGAATGATGACGTAGGAGTTGTTTTACCACGTTAGCATGTAGCTAATGTCCCGCTGATCTCCGCCCGTGGAGAATGAGCTGATCTGGAAGGCCAGGGCTCCTGGTCGCAGCGGTCTGACCCTGCTTGTAATTTAACAGTTCCAGTCCATATTAGATCTCACATTCGGCCTAGAGACGAGTCCGCGGGCAGCAACAACCCCCACCCCCACCACTCTCCCAATTGGGAGGGCCGACGATTCGTAAAAATGCCAGGGCCGAATTTTGGTCCCAGTCCACCCCTGTGCTCAAGTGACCTGTTGTGTTTTAAAAATAAGTATTTCATGGTTTCTCCACAAACACAACCTTTAAAAAAAGCTATGCAGAAATGAACTCTGCAAACGTCAATGGACTGAAAGAACATTGGACTAAAAACTGGGTCAGATTTCCTCCACAACAATCTCAGAAACTGATAGTCAGAAAGGAAACCACCACTTACAGAGGTTTCTGTTTATTAAATAATGATTTAGTGTAATCTGTTATGTGTTTTTGTACTTAAGGACTTGTACTTTTTTTTTAGAACCTTCTAAGGATTAGATTATTTTATGTCCTGATATGTAAAACTCTAGAAAAAGTGTATTTTCAGCATGATGACAGCGTTGTTGCCTTTACCTCTGCAACAGTCTGCCCTGTGTGCGAGGTAACGCCTTATGTGACTTTGCAGGAGGGCATTCAAAAAATCTCTAGGAACACTCAGCAAATCAGAGAGCCGTGACCTCAGACAGGGAGACCCCCGGTGAAGAGGAACCCACAACAGGTGCTGCATTAATCTCCCAAGAGACAGCAGGAGTAAGAATGTGATGTATGTAAAGTGGGTGGAATTTGAAACTGCTGGCAAAACAACCAAAATGCAGATCTTGTTCAACATGTGAGATAAGACCACAAAACACACCTCCTAGTTCCCTGTAGAGGAAGCATTTCTTGGTTTATTTTCATTTCCTGTTGTTCCTTCTTGTGGTTGAAGAATTTGGAAGAAAATGGTTTCTTAGAATAACTCTGCGTCCTGGCTGAGCTCATGTCACTAGAGGCTGGATCGACCCGTCAACGTGTAAGGAGGCAGAATCGGCTTCTTGGGATCAGGAATCAGGCTCATCTCTTTAGACACACCCATTCCCAGCGGCAGGCTTACCAACAGAGCAGAAGCACCAAGACTTACAGAATTTTTTTTTGGACACAATTGAAGTCTCAGGGTTTTTTCACTCTGAACCGCTCAGCGGAAACATTCACGTGTGCTTCATAAACAATAATTAAACCCATTTAAACTGAAAATACTTAGAATGCAACAAACTCTGAAACCAAAACTACACGTTTGGGAAGTTGAGATCAAGATGTGAAGATGTGTCTATAAAAAGTAAATTAGGTAAATTACTTCCTCCCATCTGAGTTAGGAAAAAGGCTCATCAGAAATAAAAGCAGCATATTTACAGACAGTCAAGATCATATGGAAAGTCACGCTAGGAAATCAGTGGCTTTAATAACTGGACAGAAACGGTTCCTGGTTGCTAAACCACGTGTCACCATCTGATAAAAGTAGGAGGAAGCACGTTGCTACACAGGAGAAGCGTCACTATGGGATACTCCATATTTACTTATAAGGGGTGACGCTATTAGTGGGACTCGAGGCTCCGCCCAATGTAGGAAACATCCCAGGTAGAGACCAACAAGTGGTGGGATTTTAGGCGCTGCTTGTAGAAAAAGTAAATATAGACCGGGTGACTTTCCAAAAGGCATTGCGCAATCAGGAGGAGTGCGCGCTGGCTGGCACGCACTGAGGCTTTATTCATGAAGATGCACAGCAGAGAGGATCTGTCCCACCGCCGCGACTCGGCTCCGCGCCCACTTTCTCTCCTTAATTGAGAATGACAGGTTCTTAAAGAGCAGATTAAAGTCCGGCAGCGCGTCTTACAGAAGACGTTCCCAAGCTGTCCAAACCAAACACGCACGCCGGAGCGTATCCGCTAGAACCGGATTACGAACCCAACTAAACCTGAGCTGAATGCCTCCTACCTGCTCAGAAAAGTAAAACAAACCAGCGAGGTTCTCACAGAACAAAAACTAACTTACTTGCTCTTTTCGGAACTCATCGCGGAGGAGTTCACAGCAGATCCGTCTGGAGTCCAGCAGCTGTCTCTTTCTTCGTCGTTGCTTGTTTTCTTTTCAAGGATCTAAAAAGTTACAAAAACTGAAGCCGAAGAGTTGCGCCTCTCAGAGATGATGTCTTCCGCTCTACAAACGCAACTGAAACTAACCTTCATATCTAGCTGGTTCCGTTCGGCGCGTCTCGTGGCATCAGGCTTTTAAATAAGACGCGCGGCTGCTAGGTGGAAGCGTGTGCGCGAGGACACACACTCTGAGCTCTGCGTGTCTTTTTTCCATTTTTAAAGTGTCATCCCTCCTCCCGGGTGACGCCACCAGGGGGTGGAGGGTGATGGAGATGGGGGGAGGAGGTCAAAGTTACTCCCGGGCGGTGGAATACCCCTATTGTTCGCTTTAATCGCATTAAAATAGGTTAATATCACACAAAACAACCCCTAAAGATCATCTTTAAGATTCTTCTCAAACTTTCAGCTGATTAGAAAACACGCATCTATGTAGGACACTTGTTACAATAAGAATGAAATTAAAAATGCGTACTGTTAACCAGTTTGGTACTAATACGCGCCATTAAAAAGCACCAACAAAGTTAAATATGTACCTCGAACCTCGTAATTATATTTATTTAGGTGAAAACCAGCTAAAAAAAATTATAATTAAATGAGCTCTCTCTGCTGGACAAGCTATGAAATAGCACCAATGGTGATCTCAAATAGAATCTCACTGATAATTTCAACATTGGGAACCAAAACATCTCACACAAATCCAACAGAAATTCACAATCAGGTTTATTGTATTTATTCAAATATATCAACAGAATTACCAAATATAGATTAAGTCAAAAGAATATTAAGTTCCGTTTTATTTATTATTTTCACTTCTCTATTTATTCATGAATTCATGTATCCAGTAATGTAAACCCTGACACCTACACGGTTACATACATACATGTGCCGAGTTTAAAGGAAGCGAGGTGGTAAAAAATCCCTAAAACCTAAATATGTAGGCTAGACATAATTAAACAATTTTGACCAATTAAATACAAGAACACTGCAAACATAGCCAGCTCTAAATGTTACTCAAGTTCAAAAATCATGTCTTTAAACTGATTAATAGTTAAATTGTTTTATCATTCAGGCCGCTGCATCATTGATAAAACATAAAATGTAGTTTGTGAAAATAATTTTCAAACTTTTTTCTTCTTTTGATCTTTATCATTAGATCTGAATGAAAGAAATGAAAGTGGTTAATTATAGAATAAATTAGATGTATGATGAAAATGTTTTTCATTTGAACTTGTTGCTTTTTTAAGTCCTGGAGTATTAAAAATGTTTTATATTATATATATAAGTTTTCTATTAATGAAATAAACTCAGTGGTTGAACCACATTTTATGGTATCAAAAATCTTACATTTATTTCAGCTTTCTAAACTTTCTAAACCGCCACAAACCAGTTTAGACACATGTGTAATCATTTTACACCAATTCCAGAACAAAAGATATAATGGAGTCACAAGTAACAGAAAAGGAACTTAACACCAAACCTTGAGGGACTCCACATTTGATCCCTCTTAGTCATGATTCATTTTCAAGCTCATAAAATCAATTTTTGTTAGTCAAATAACTCTCACCAGTTATGAGCTGTCCCTTGAGTCCTACAAGCATGTAAACTAGAAAGTACCATTTTTGTGTGAAATTCTGTTTTTAAACCCTCTAGCTACTGCCTCCCGTTGATTCTTCATTCAGTGCAAGTAATGCAAGCGAAAAAGGTGTATTTTCCTTAAACGTATTCAGAATCCCATCAATCCTATTACAATTAAAGGTATGGTATATTCAGAATAACAGTTTCCACTCACACCTCCAAGAAACATGGACTCCAAAATGTGATGAATCCTGTTTTTAGAACAGTGGTTCCTGACCTTTTATCCCTCGCCTCTGTCCAAGACAAGCCACAACCTCCATTCCTACCCACGCGAACGAAATGTGACTGATTACAAATCTTACACAGTTATAACTGTTTTACTGTTGGGTGTTACGTTTTTACAAATGTAATTTTCACAAACATAATCTTGGTAACCTCACATCCTCAGCACAGAAATGTATGGAACCCTCAAGACACCTTTTTGGACCCCCGGTTGCAACCGCTGCTTTAGAGGATACAGACTTCACATTATGTTAGAATATATTTTTATCTCTGCATTATGGGTGCTGAACATGTTTGTTTAACATAATAACAACCTAGTAAATAGAAAAAATATTGAGCGTTGTTTTGATTTCGAGTGATCTGTAGCACCATCCGGACATCAAAGGTGACAGGTCAAATCCTGGGTGCGTGAAAAGGACTCTACGCTCACTTCCCCTGATTATTGACATGGTTCTCTTGGCTATTCGTTGTATTCACCCAGGTTTGCACAACCCTGCCTACCATATTTAGTACACATGCTTCAGTTAATAATATAAATTTAAACTAGACGAGCAACAACAAAGAAACACATTTTTGTAGATTATTTAACACCTAATTCAGTATTAATGAATCTACATTACCAAACATGGAATTATAACTCATTGCCTCAAAGGAATAAAAAATGCAAAGGAGAAAAATAGTTGACATTTTTGTTGTAGAGAGTAAAATAAATGTTTATGTAGCTCACTATTGTCTCCAGGGTATCTGCATGTTTAAGGGAGCTAAATTTAAGACTTTTTAAGGCTACTTTGACCAAATTTAAGCTATTTTTTAAAATTTCATTTAAGCTATAATTTCCAGCTATTGCCTGAAACCGGTGCTAACCATGTCGCAAACGTGGGATTAGCCATCCAGTTACCATTAAACTTGCACTTCCCCATGGTACAAGCTCCCATTAGCTTAACCAGCTAATGTGCTCATCTAAAAATAGCCCCCTTTCACAACCAACCAAATGTGTACAGTTCCGCTTATGCAAATATCATACACATAAAATGCTGAACACTAACTAGAAATTCACAAAAATTTTATAGAGATAAAAATACCTTGTTTATTGGGTCTTTGGTCATTTAAGACCTTTGGAAACTGTATTTAAGGATTATTTGTCATTTTTAAGGATTTTTAAGGCCTTAAATTTGAAAAAGCAAATTTAAGACTTTTTAAGGACCCGCGGATACCCTGTGTCTCACTGATCTTTTACTATTCTCTCATTAGTAGCAGTAATATTGTCAGTAATAATAAAAATGGCCTCTCAAAATAGTCACACACATCTGAAACAGTTTTCAATTTTATTTCCATGAGTCACAAGTAAATAAAACGAAGATAAATCAAAAATAAGGACAATATTTATCTTATGCATGAGATGCTGGTAAGCTATGACCCGGCCACGTATAAAACTTGCCACAAACGTCCTGAGTATCACTTCTCTGGGATTTTAACTGAAAAACTGAATATGTTTCACAACTTTGTGTCAGCTCAATAAGAATAAATTTCATTCAAGTTTATCATCTTTATGGACAAATTACCAATGCTTTTACACGGTGAAGCCAGATAAATACACAATATAAAAAAGTGTAAAAAAAACAAAACAAAGCAGTACAACTATAAAATCCATAGTCAATGATTAACAGAACAAAATAAGGACATGTGCCATCATCAAAAACATTTCATGAATCTATTTCATATTTGATGTCCCATTATCTGGTGAGGTGTGTTTTTTTTACAACGTGCCCAAGAACTCCTTCACCTGAAAAGAAACATAAAAAAAAAGGTTATTTGAAGAGCATAACAACACATGCTGCATTAAAGTTGTATTTTGATGGAAAATTAACCCTAAATGTCATATTTCTTCCTTGTTGCGAAGCACCGTGTCAGCACAGCTGTTTGACCTTTGACTTCAGAAGAAGCGAAACTTCGGAAATGGTCCGTGTTTACCATCAACATGAAACCGCTCCATCAGCATCTCTGCCGGCCGTACTGTGTGAAACTGAGTAAGGTGAATTCGGAGTATTCACGGGTCGTGCTCTGCACAGCGCGTGCAAAGTGACCACGCTCTGAAGGTGCCGCCAAGTTTAGGCCACATCCGAGGTGGATTATTTCTGGAAGCAGAAATGTCCTCAAATGCATCACCGGGAGTTCAACCGTTACATGCAGCATATTTTCGGAGCCCTTTTAGAAAAGTGCAGAACATTCCAGAAGGAGGATGGTCACTGAGGTGAATGTGGTTAGCGAAAGAACGAGAAAGGACAAGTTCATGCGAGGAAAGGACTGAATGTGTGGGATCTGTGTGAGAAGAGGACCTTTCGGGTGAAGGCTGTAGGCTAACCCAAACAGAAACCATGAGCTGGACCAGTTCTACACACTCAAGAGGACGCTCAGCATTCCCTACAGACACACACAGCCTTTCCTGACACATATTTACAGTTTCACCCTGCACCAGACTCGGTGGAAAAACACACCGTCTTGTTTCTGCAGATTAACAAGTTCTGCAACACACTACTCTGCACGAGTGTGTATTAGTACATTATTTTTAAAAATACTAATAGCAGTGTTTCTTTTACCAAGCATTGTGTAAAAATAAATAAATAACACTCAAAAATGGAGATTCAACTAGAGATGCACCAATATGAAAATGTGGGCTGAAATCCAATATTTATACATATTTATGCAGCTGTTGGGGCCGATAACTGATATAAACAAATTATACACAAGTGCACACACACACACACACACACTTTCAAGAATGGAAGTGTTTATCATTTATTTTAATCAATCAACAAAAAGCAGTGAATGAAGAAAAGAGAAATCTAAGGCCCTGTCCACACGTAGCCGGGGATCTGCCAAAACGTAGATATTTTTCTACGTTTTGGCCTGTCATCCACTCGAAAACGGAGTTTTTTCACACGAAAACTGATCTTTTTAAAAACTCCGGCCAAAGTGAAGATCTGCGTTTTCTCCGTTTTGGGTGTCTGCGTGTGGACAGACAAAACCGGAGTTTTAAGGTCCGCAACGTCACTTTCCGCGACAAAAAAATGCTGACATCACGTGTGCAACCTGTGTTTACACTAGCCGACAGCATGGACGCCCTCAGAGCTGCGCTCGCTTTATCAATTGTCCAAGCGCTTTTTGCTTGTTTGTTTTTGCAAGCGGAATTACTGCTCCTTGCGGAAGACCACAGACGAAGGACGAGGTTAAGAACGGGGGAAGTACTGCCACCTACAGGTCTGGCATGTCCTTAACAACGTATTTATCCAGGTACGTGTGGACAGTTTTTTTTTAAACGAGGTGGTGTGGAAGCAAGTTTTTGGAGGGGCGGATATTCGTTTAAAAAAAAAACGGCTACGTGTGGACTAGGCCTAAATCTGATCCACCCGCTGCCTCCAAAACAGCATCAGATCTTTTAGCGACACTTGAACACAGCTGTTGAGGGAACTGGATTGGTTGGTTGCTCCAAGCATCCTGGAGAACTAACCACAGATCTTCTGTAGACGTAGGCTTCCTCACGTCCGGTCTCCTCATGTAACCCCAGACACACCCCATGATGATGACATCAGAGCTCAGTGGGGGCCACACCATCACTTCCAGGACTTTTTGTTCTTTATGCTGAAGATAGTTCTGAATGACTTTGGCTGGATGTTTTGGGTCGGTCACTTTGCATTTTGTACATCGATAAAAATAAACAACCATTATTTACATTTCTGAAAGCACTCTTTGTTTACGACCTTTTCCCCACACGTGCATTAGCTTTTGCACAGCACTGTGTTCCTCTACACCTCTGACACTGTAAAAAGGACCACACCACCTGAACACCATCTCTGGTTTAGTTACGAAGAAACCATCTTTATATGGCGCCTCTCAAGAACAAAAATTTAAAAATAAAAGATTTTAAAAACTGTTAAAAATATACTAACAATGGGAAAAGTTTAAATTGTGATAAAAAATGTGAGGAAAGAGAAATAGAAGAGTTAGAAAACCGTAATTAGTTTATCTCGGGAAGGACAGGATTGGTAGAAAGACTTGAACGAACACCCCCACAATCCTTTACTGCATCTCTAATAAATCAGTTGTTAATATTGGCCCAGTTTTACTTATTGGACCAATATGCTAAAAAAAACTTCCAAAGCCAGCTGACTACTGATGTTGATGGCGGCATTTTGTGCATGCCTGTTCGTAAAACTCAACTAGTGATGTATCATGAGAAGAAACGTACACCGAGAACCAGGATGGAGACCGATTTCCGTGGGAAGTTTCCTTTCATTCAAGCTTAAAAATGTACCACCAACATATTTAGAATGAACTAGACGCAAGAGTTTTTCTAAGACGTCTCTTGGCTCTTATTTATCTCAATCAATCAATCAATCAATCAATCAAAATTTACTTATGAAGCGCTTTTCACGCAAATGCAGCTCAAAGCGCTTTACAATATTAAAAACAACCAGACAGCAGTCGGTTTCCCACCCCTCCCACACAGATTCACATAAGAAATCCCCTTTGTTTCTCCCTCCTCCCACCCTCAATCCCGTCCCAAGCAGATGCAAACTCCCGCACACACACACGCACACGCACACACACACACACACACACATACACATAATAAAGAAAGGGCAGCTGGCTGAGTGCAGATGTAATATATATAAAGAAGACGAAAACGCCATCAAAGGAGCCAACTGCACCGGGAACACCAAGACTGGCAGCAATAGCCTTGGTAAGACAGGGTATCTGCATGTTTAAGGGAGCCAAATTTAAGACATTTTAAGACCCTTTTTAAGGCCACTTTGACCAAATTTAAGCTAATTTTTAAAATTAAATTTCTGCAATAATTTCCAGCTATTGCCTGGAACCGGTGCGAACCACGTCGCAAATGTAGCCATCCATTTACCATTAAACTTGCACTTCCCCGTGGCGCAAGCTCCCACTAGCTTAACCAGCTAATGTGCTCATCTAAAAAAAAAAAAACTTTCACAACCAACTGAATGTGTACGGTTCCGCTTTTGCCAATAGCATAAACAAAAAATGCTGAACACTAACTAGAAATTCACAAAAATTTCATAGAAATAAAATAATCTTGTTTATTGGGTCTTTGGTAATTTAAGACCTTTGGAAACTGTATTTAAGGATTATTTGTCATTTTTAAGGATTTTCAAGGCCTTAAATTTGGAAAAGTAAATTTAAGACTCTTTAAGACTTTTCAAGGACTCGCGGATACCCTGTAAGAGTAGACATGGGAAGCACCCCGGCCGCCACAGTCCACCGCTGCCCCCGGGGCAGCCGGCCCCCACAGAGGAAACACTAGTTTACAAATGAGACTAAGATAACAAGTTAAGAAACAAATTAAACATAAACAGCTGATAAATAAAAATCTAAATAAAACACAGTGATAAAAGATGACCAAGTAGAAAACATATAATTACATTTGTAAAATATTGTACCACAAAGTATTAAGACTGGTTAAAACTAATAATTATTACAAGTTAAAATAAATATGTAAGAAAATATGTGTTATTTAATTAAGAGTAGTAAGTAATAAAACACTGATAAAATATATGTTAAGAGTAAATAAATAAATAAAAAGGCAAAAACTGGCTAAAATAGATCAAAACCACTTAAAAGCTATACTAAAAAGGTGAGTCTTGAGCCTGGTCTTAAAAACAAGAACACTCTCTACGGCCCTGAGGTCCTCTGGCAGACTGTTCCAGAGGCGAGGGCCATAAAACTGGAAGGATGCCTCGCCTTGGGAGTGTGTCCTGACTTTTGGAATGACGAGGAGATGGCTGCCAGAGGAGCGCAGGGACCGCGAAGGCTCGTATTTATGAAGCAGTTCTGAGAGATAAGAAGGCCCAAGACCATTAAGGCATTTAAAAACCATTAAAACAACCTTAAAATCAATCCTGAAACATACAGGAAGCCAACGCAGCTTGTTTAAGAGTGGTGTAACGTGCTCCCGCCTCCTGGTCTTAGTCAGGACACGAGCTGCTGAATTTTGTAGGAGTTGTAAACCTGAGGTACTCTTTTTGGGCATTACAGTAATCAATTCTACTGGAGATAAAAGCATGCATCAGCGTCTCTGTATCGGCCAGAGAGAGAAAAGGGCGAACTCTGGCGACGTTTTTCAGGTGATAAAAACCAATTTTTGTAATATTCTTAATGTGGGGAATAAAAGTTAGCTCAGAGTCAAAAATCACACCCAGGTTCTTCACTTGAGAAGACGGATTAAGAGTTAGTGACTGTAGCTTTGGTAAAAGTTTCTCTCTGGGTCTCGGGACCGATGACTAAAACTTCGGTTTTGTCCCGGTGAAGCTGGTATACAGTATTTTTTATTATTTTGGCATATTATTGGAGCTCATTTTCATTTAGATATGTTGTTAAATGAATTTTACGAGAATGTTACTCACCTTTTCAACCATGCCATCGCCCTTGAAATCGTTTTCTCTGAAATCGTCATTCGCATCTATGGTCAGCACAGGGATGTCTTTGAGGTAGTCGAACTCGGTGCTGCAGAAAGGAGTCGGGGTTATGCGGCTACTAAGATTCACAGAATATTATTTATCTAAACTCTTAAACACTGAAGGGTGGCTCAAGCAGCAGAAACCACCAACTAAAGTGTAAACATATCAGCACGGGTTTCTGTACCAGCCATTAAAAATATAAAATGTTGCTAACAAGGAAACATGATTGAGGTTTCATAAACCTCTACCACCCTCCACAATGTTCTGGCACACCTGGAACAGCCAGGTGCATATGCAAGGCTGCCGTTTGTGGACTACAGATCTGCATTCAACAACATTCTCCCCAGCATATTATTCCTCAAGATGTCTGACCTTGGCCTCGAGCATGACATCTGCCTCTGGATACAAGACTTTTGAACAAACCGATCAGTCTGTAAAGCTAGGCCACCACCACCATTCCTCCTCTCTGTCCTTCAGCGCAGGAGACCCACAAGGCTGCGTGCTGAGTCCCTTCCTTTACTACCTGTACACATGACTGTAAGCCCACCCACAACACCAGCACTATCATTAAGTTTGCTGATGATACAACCGTGGTGGGCCTAATCATCCAGGGAAATGAGTCAGCTGCAAGTGAGGGTTGTTTCACACCTGTTTAATGACATTAATAATGATCTTGAATCTAAAAAGTCCCATTGCAACATAAAATACAGCATACAGTCTTCAGGGAGAAATGAAACTATACACATTTTAAAGGTCAGGGAGAATTTGTGTCAGTATGATGTTTGACTAAAGGAAGACTAGGCAGCTTTGGCTTGCTTTTAGCACCCTATAGTGTCCGTTTGTAGAACCAAAACCTATCTCCTTGCTGTGCGTTTGTCTTTTCACACCTTAATCTGAAATGTATCCCCAGCCTTCATTAGTGTCTACAGGAGTTATATATCACTAAATTAAACGAATCAGCTGTGTTCATGATCAAAAACATGCAGGAAATAGGTGCATCAGCTCCACTTTTACTAAATCCCAACTCTGAAGTTGCAAGTGGAATATTCTGGCCACAGGGGGCGACAGGGGCTGATGGCCTTTCATTAACCCTGTAAAAGACCATTTTAGCACATTTTGGCTCAAAAAAATTATTTCAAAATATGAAAATGTTGCAAAGCATCCCTTTAATTGGATAAATGGTCCCCTTTTAACCTTAAAGGCTAAGAAATGTCACTCAGTTAGCTTGCCAGTAGATCAAAATGTGATTTCTCAGAACTGGCATCAGTGGGAGTAAATATCTTTGCCACATACAGTTTGTGCGAAATGCTGGATTTACTTATGCACACTCTGTGAATCCATAAAAGTGTTAGCCTTCCCTCTGCGGTGATGTAGGCAATATGTCAGTTTATTTTTGGCCAAGCCCGCCTCTCCCGTCCCGTAGAGCCCCATGCGATTTGAATTGACCGCTGCTCAGCAATAGCCAAGCGCGTCAGTCATTGGCTAATTTACAGATGTACAGAGGGCGGGGGTGCTTGGAAGTACCTGGCCTGGTGCAGAGCTGCTGACATTTCAGCATAATATGAGAATAATTGTAAAATAATGAGTGTTAGCTCTGTTGGCTGTAGGGATGGGTACCGAATTCGGTACTTTTTAAGGTACCGACCGAGCACCGATTCACGTCATTTGAAACGGTGCCTCGTTTCGGTACCCGTCCTTCATAACGAGAACTTGCCTAGACAGCTGCGCATGCGCAAGAGCGTTATGTCGTCGCTCGCTGCGAGCGAGTTGTAAACAGAGCAGCACGGTAGAAAGAACGCACGCTAAAGCTTGGGTCCACTTCACTAAATGTGATGGGTAACTGGGTGATGATGAAACCAGCGACAACGATCTAAGTGAGACATCCTCATCTTAATCTGCTCCGGTAGGTAAATAAAATGTTTAAGATAACGTTAGCTTGATATGTTAGCTTCCGTTTCCCTAATGGTGCGTTCGCTTTCTCCTCGGAACTCCGAATTTCCGACTGGAAGAACATGAACGTGCTCTAATGTTTGGCTTCACTTTACTAAATGCGACGGGTGATTGGGTGAAGATGAAACCAGTGACAATGATCTAAGTGTGAGGCATCATCGTTTTAATCTGCTCCAGCAGTTAAATAAACTGTTTAAGATAACGTTAGCTTGCTATGTTAGCTTCCTTTGCCACCATTGTTATCAGCTAATGGTGCATTCGCTTTCTCTTCGGAAATTCTAACTTCCCAGTAGGAAAAATCAATTGAAAAAGGACGGCAAAAGAAATGAAGATACACAGTAAATTTAGTTCACAGTAAAGATGTTTGCTTCAGTTTAATTATCAGCTTATAAAACTACAAGGACGATGTTAAAATACAAACAGTTGTATGTTATTTATCGTGATATTTATCAAATATTGTTATATATTGAGAAAAATATAGGTACCGTTAAGTACCGGTATCGATTCCTAGGTACCGGGAATTAGTACCGAATCGATTCAAATGTCACAAGGTACCCATCCCTAGTTGGCTGTCTACGGGTGTATTGTAAGTAGAGGGGTTTCAGGTGCAATACATTTGTCTACCTCTAGATGGTGCCCTTTAAAAGAACTCAGGATTTCTGTTTTAATAACACGAATGTTACCTGATGCACATTCTGACTCACTTCATGGTTTTGTTCTGCAGCCAGCTCTCGTGCCTGAAGTGGAGTTTCTCCAGATACTCCAGAGGGATATCTTGCTCCTCCGCTCTGCCTCTCAGGCGTAATCTCTCCAAACATTTCTGCACACAAACCCCAGAGAACCACATGGTAGAAAATCCCCAATTTCGCCCTGACTAAAGCTTTCTGTTCGACGTGACAGCATAGGAATGGAGTCAGGGAAACATGAGGGTACCTCAGGTGAGGCTCTGAGGTAGATGATACCATCCAACTTAATGTGCTCCCCAAACTGTTTGTGGAGGAAGCCGTGCCAGTCCTGGTACACCGACCACTCCGTTTCATTAAGGCATTCGCTCTCGTATAAGTTGGCTGCAAAGATGTATCTGTTGTTCACAGAATGTACACAGAGGTCATTTAAATCATGCAGCTTGTACTGATATAAAAGTCATTTCTTCACTTCACTGGATCAGTCTTAAGACCTTTAACAGTGAAGCTCCAGATCTACATCGGACCACTAAAGAATCTATCTAAAGCAATAAAAACTGTTGTTTCCAGCTGCAAACTCAGATTCTCATGTTTGTTAAACTGCTACTGCTTAGATCTTGATACCTGTCACTGTAAATGGACCGCTCAAAGAACTGAACCGGGTCCTCGGCCTCTCTGAGCTTCCCATTGGCCGACTTCATCTGGGCTCGCACCCGGCTCATGCAGGCGTAGCTCTGGAAGGTGTAGGCCCACCTCTCTGGCTTCTCATACATCATCTGTAGAATGTTGCCTCCGCTTTTCTGGGACACAGTCAGCTCCTAAAAATGTGAAGATAAAAATAATCTGAATTTATTAAACTTCCCTTTTTAGATCCACCTGCTAAAACACATCATTTATTATTATTATTTATATGAGCCAGGTGATAAAAAGACAGCCATGTCTGTTTTATCACATTTAACTTTAAACGACACTAAGAAAAATGATTTAATATAAAATAAAATTAGCACGTGTAAAAAATTTATCATAAATATTTAAACTTCACACACACACTCAAATGTTAATTTTAGAAAAAAATAATAATTTTTGCAATTTATGTTTAAACATTTAGAGAAAATATCTAAATGTACCGTGTACATTTGTACACGGTACATTTTACAAATGTACACCATGTTCAGCACCTTGGGCTTCCTGACAGGGTTGCGGAAGGTGCTTTATAAATAAAACTTTGATTGATTGATTGATTAAATTTAAATGTGATGTTTTATCAAATCTAAATAAATATTCAATTAAATTCAAAAATACTTTATTAATCCCAGAGGGAAATTGATTGCTGTAGTAGCTCAGAATAATAATAATAATCAAGTCATCAAAGAGTTGTTGTATATTACGATGGCTGTTGGCAGGAAGGATCTCCAATAGCGGTCAGTGTTGCACCCAAACTGAAGAAGCCTCTGACTGAAGACACTCTTCCGTTGTCGGACAGTCTTGTGAAGAGAATGCTCAGGGTTGTCCATGATTTTCTTGATTCTCTGGAGAATCCTTCTTTGCATTATTTCCTCCAGTGGTTCCACAGTCGTCCCCAGAACAGAACCAGCCTTTTTATTAGGCTGTTGAGCCTTTTCAGGTCCCTGCTTCTGATGCTGCTACCCCAACAGACGATGGCTGAAGAGATTACACTCTCAACAACAGACTTGTAGAAGATCTGCAGCATCTTGCTACAGACATTGAAGGACCTAAGCGTCCTCAAGAAGTGCAGTCTGCTGTGTTCCTTCTTGTAAACGGCTTCGCTGTTCTTTCTCCAGTCCAGTCTGTTGTCCGGGTGAACTCCAAGGTATTTGTATTCCTCAACCACCTCCACTTCTTCTCCCATGATGGAAACATTGTTTGACTCCACCCTGTTTCTTCTAAAGTCTAAAATCATCTCCTTTGTTTTGTTCACGTTCAAGGTCAGATGATTGTTTCCACACCATGCCACAAAGCACTCCACCAGCTCTCTGTACTCAGCTTCCTGTCCATCTCTGATACACCCGACAACTGCAGAGTCATCTGAGTATTTCTGTAGATGACAGGTCTCTGATTTGTACTGGAAGTCTGAGGTTTACAGGGTGAAAAGGAATGGTGAGAGTACAGTCCCCTGTGGTGCTCCAACGTTACTGATCACCTGGTTTGATGTGCAGTTCTTCAGCCTCACAAACTGTGGTCTGTTTGTCAGGTAGTCTTTAATCCAGGTGATAGTTGAGGCCCCCACCTGTGTCTTCTGGAGTTTCTGGCAAAGTACATCAGGCTGGATTGTGTTAAATGCACTGGAGAAATCAAAGAACATGACCCTCACAGTGCTGTGACAGTAGGTTGGTTGAAGCAGCTGGATGATGGCATCTTCAACTCCAACTCCATGGCGATAAGCAAACTGCAGCGGGTCCTGATATGTCCTAGTTTGCTTATTCAGGTGGACCAACAGGAGTCTCTCCAGGACCTTCATGATGTGGGATGTCTGTAGTCGTCATTGACTGATGGGCGAGTAATCGGAAGTTTGCAGGTTCGATCCTGGCTCCGACCAGAGAATGCTGTTGTTGTGTCCTTGAGCAAGACACTCAACCCTCCCTGGTGGTGCCCATGCTTGGCAGGCCTCGCCTTTGTCAGTGCACTGTGGCTACAACAGAGCTTATCACCATCAGGAAGAGAACGTGAGTTAACGGGTGGATGACTGATTGTGGTGTAAAGCACCTTGGGGGGTTATAGGACTCTAGAAGGTGCTAAATCATATACAGACCATTTAGAGTAGGAATGCACGTTTTCCAAAGTTTGTTTCACCGGCATTACTCAGTTAACCATAAACTCCCCCTAAAGTTATATTTTTTAAACATGATGATGGTTTTAATCTTTAAGTATTTTGTGTTACGTTTTCTTGTATTTTCACTCTTTAATTTGTGTTAAACTGTGTGGCTGTAATTGTTGCTGTGACACCAACATTTCTCCACAGAGGGACAATAAAGGGATTTTCTATTAAATTCCATTTACAGTTGGTGTCCCATGTTACCCTAATATGACTATTCAACAACCAGGCAGCCCAAAATGTGAGTGCGTGAAACTACTGATGCTGCTGGTTTGCAGCTGTGATGTGTTTGCTCTGCCACGGTTGGGGGAGCAGCTGTTCTCCTGGGAGTGGTGGCGGTTGGTTAACCATAATCGGTGCAGATATTTGGGCAGATGACAGCTGCATTCTAAATTCAGAAGACACAAGAGATGTCCACATGGCTGCATGCAAGCTCCACCAGAGCCTAGCCTTGACTTCTAGACAGCAGCAGCTCATCAGAGGGATCTTTGTAACATCTTGACTAATTTCAGTGTACGTGTGGTCCATTCGTAAAAGCAGTAGGTCTGGGATGAAATACCTCAAAGTCATTGCCTGATGTTTGGACATTGCACCACCTGGCGATTGGTTCTGGTACTACCTCCCAGTCTGAGCTCTCCTTCTCCAAAAGGCGCACAAAGGTGGATTTACCCGCAGCTGAAAAAAAAATATATATATATATATATAAAGTAGAAAAAAATACAGGCACATGTTTAACATCCGACGGTGGACATTATTTTCCTGCGTGCAGTGTAAACACTGATTTTAATATTTATATTATACAGAAGTAAGCAAAGTTATGGGATATAAGCGGAAGTAAACCGCAGCAACACCTTTACTCTAATTTTATGTAACATGGATCACCAGGTAAACATGTTCAGGACTTCATCCATTAGACTGGTCTTTGTTTTTGTCTCCAGCATCAGAACTCACCGATATTTCCTTCTACTGAAATGCGCTTTATTCTCTTCTCCATCGAGTCGTTCATCGAGCTGTTCATGGAGTCGTCCAGAGGAACTGGACAGGGCCTCTTCGGAACAGCAGGCATGTTCAGAGATGTAATATTTATCCAAAAGAAATGAGCTGGAGCGCGCTCTGCGACGGCTGAAGGCTCCTAATTTGGCGGTTTTAGACTGAGGGAAGCTGGCGCCTTCAGTACGGTGGCCGTTAGGTTCAAACCCATTATCTTTCTACGGTGGCTGAGAAGCTTAAAACACAAACGTATTTCAAAAATATAAGAAACTCGTTTATGAATGTAAAAACCAACTTAGCTACATGTAGACAATCTGTTTATGTGAAAAAATGAACAAATTTAAAATTTGGGGGAAATACTTTATATTTTATTGTGTAAAAGATGACGAAAACTACTTCTGCACACTGATAAGACAAGCATCCGTATTGTTCAATACTATCAAGCTATGCATTTTATTTACATTTATATGTGAAGCAATGAAGCAGATCAAAATGTTACCTACAAAGTAGGTCAATGAAAATGGCCTGTTTTTGTACTGCGCCTTCCCCAAGGCGCTTCGCAACCGTGACAGGTTGCCCCTACTAGATCAGAAAATCTAGGTTCAGTGTCCTTTTTAATTTTTTGCAAGTAAAGTTAACAGATGTAATTTCACTAGTGTGTGATGATGATGATGGGGCTTTAACAGGCCAAATTACCTGTAATAGTCTTTAGACTAAATAAGCCAACACTCAATTCAATGAAAGAGTCAAGACCACCTTTATTTGCCTTGCAAACAGCATAAATCTATTCAGTAGCATTTGAAACTCCAAATCAAGCCACTATTTACAAACATTTCATCAATAATTAAAGTGAAAGAGGAGAAACTGTAGGCAATAGGCTCTGATGTGGGCATTTCTTTAGGCAGAGATGCTTCTGAATGACCGCTTTCTTTATTATAGTGTCAGATATCTGTAGATGTGTAACATTCATAGTAGTTAGAAGTTGATAAAAGGATACTGAACATTAAAACAAAATGCTTTGATATCCAAATGAAGAAAAGGAAGCAGCCTCCAAAAAGACTAAATGCATTCATTTACCCCCCCCCCCCCAAAAAAAAACAACCCCTCCATGCTCCCGTTTCATCTGTATCAGTCAATCCTCAGTATTTACATGTGTGCATCAGAGACAAACACTTCTAACAAATTCCATTTAGAAAACATCCAAGTCACCGTCTTCAAACTAAAGCAGAAAAGAGATTCTTTTGTCACACATCCAAATTTAAGCACTATTAAGACCAATTTGGGGTCATTTTAGTGTTCCGTCAGTCATTGCATAGCAAACTAAACCTTAGGGGAGGGGTGCATGCTTCTGCTGCTTAAAGCACAGCCAAACCAAAACCATATAAACGCATCAAAAAAAAAAAACCTTGCTTTGTGCCTTATAGCTGACTTCAAAGGAGGTCGAGTCATTCAACATTCATTTGGAGTTTGTAAGTGTTAAAAACAAATGTTCAGCTTTACACCAAATAAAAGTACAGCATATGGAGGGGAAACATTCAGGCGAGAGTGGTCAGGAAAACTGGTCAAAGTGCTTCATGGCTATTGAGAATAAGGAAGTAGCAATTTCCAAATTCAAAAGCTTGGATTTTTCATTTCATCTATCTGAGGAAACTGGTTATAAGCCTAAACCTTTACATCCCTCAGGAAAACTTACTAAAATGTATTTCTACTGAAAAAAGATGTATATAGAGGGGGAACTAGCACATAGGAGCATGTCACTAAACAATACATGAAGTTTATTAATAATAGTCCCTGCTACAACATGACAGTGTCCTAGCCTCACTTCTATGTCCCTTCAACACATTCATTTAATCAACAAACAGCAAAGACACCTGATGACTAAATATTATCAAGTTTACAGAAAAAATGTTCGAAACGATAAGAAAATAACAAGATAGGATTTCTAAAGGGAGGTAGGGCAAGGTTCTGATGTTTCAGTCGGATATGGCCTTTAGTTTCAGACAACACTCGCTGTGGATTAGGGCAACTAGAAGCCATGCTAGGCACTTAGGGTTCTTTTGTATTGATGGCAATTACAGCAGTGAACCAAAAACTATATATAGAGAATAAAATATCTAAACCCAACAGTTTCATTGGCCTTAAATCTGGCTTTAATGCTTGCCTAACACCCAACACCCTATATTACAGCAGCTCTGTCTATTTATTACCCCCCACCCCCCAAGAATGAGGGACAAAAATACAGACTCTAAAAATCAAAGTTTACAAGAAAAAAGTGCAGAAAACTAATCATCATACAGCGTCCTAAACTTAAACCATAACTGAACAAAGTGGATTATTGTAAATAGGACTAAACAAAGCTTTTCTCTGATGTTAATCCCGTGTTTGTTAACTGAGTGTGTAATCCCTGATAAAATTAGTTCTGGTGCCTTAAACCTATCAATCCCCTTTCTTCTTCCTGGCATTATTAAAACAGTTCCCCGAATGGAAATCTAGTACATACTGCATACATAGAGCCAGGGTGGGGGTGAGTGTCTGTGCAAAAAACTACAACAGTAAAACCAAGAGTTGGGATCGACGTTTATCTGTCTTTAGTCGTCAGCTTCTCGATCAGCTCCTGTAGTGGGACCAGCTCTTTTCTGTCGATGAGGTTGAATTCCTGGAAAAGAGGAAAACAGAAACACACAATGACTTAGGACGGGCATTTCTTGCACCTTTCATGCAGAGTTTTAAAACGGAGATCATCTGATGTTGAGAAAACTTTAGAAAATGATGTTTTCTCAGATGATGACACAAGAGCTTGCATATTCTAGCAGATTATTTTATGTATCATTCATTCTTTCCATTTTCAACCAAAACTGAAAAAGCAAATTTTTTTTACTGTTTTTTAATCAGATTCAAAATAGGAAAACACACAAGGACTTCCTGTTTAGACTACGGTAAATGAAACCAGTCGACTGGTGACTGGTGCTTCGGGAGTGCACACCAAGCAGGAGGAAGGGATCTAATGGACTGTGCATCGATTTCAACTACCCAGTAATTAGACGTAGAATTAAGTTTTAGAGTTAAAAATGAAATCAGGGTGCTGTCACTATCAATCAGTAACAGAAAACAATGGTTCTCACGTGGTATTTCACACAATTATTTAAACAAGGCAAGATGGTTTCCCTAATAAAAGTTTCATTGCATCTAAAAACTCTGCACACAAACTTTAATGCTCACTAAGCCACGTTCACAACAAGTAAACAGATCTGTTTGTGTTACGGTTGCCAGTCTGGCCAGGGAAGAGCAGGAGCCAGGATCACCCAGCTCTGGTGAATCAGCCTGACACCGCCCCTCCTCCTCCTCTCTCCCGGGCTGCTGAGGAGCACAGCTGAGCTGCAGCTCCCTGATCACCAACACCTGGGATAAAAAGGCTGAGCCTTCAGCAGTGCAGGGGTTCTGCTGTCCTCCTGGTTAGTTTGGTTTCTACCCCTTTCGTTTAGATTCATGTGGATGAGTTTTAAACTTTGGTTTGGTTTTTAACTCTTAGTAAGAAGCTTTTGGATGATCCAGTGGGATCTTTTTTGCAGTTTGGTTTTAAGGTTAACTTTGTTTGTGGCAATTTTACTGACCTCGGTTTTAAACACCTTCGTTGTGGTAAAGCTTTTAAAATAAGTTTTTACCAGGTGTTTTAGTCAGTATATTGTTTTGGAGCTTTTATCAACTTCGGGATTTTAAAACACCTTCTGTTCGGTTAAGCTTTTAACAAAGTTCTAACCAGGTGTTTTTATAGTTGATAATTTGTTGTGATGTTAACCTTTCAGAGAGGTCTGTTTGCATGTTTTAAGAACCTTTTTGTTACAATAAAACCCTTTTAATATCCACTGTCCAGTCTTATGTTACCCCCATCCATCACTTGTTAACAACACCTGTCGGATCGTAACAGTTTGTTTCCAGATGTCCCATAAAAACATGTTAGCTCTGATCGTTGAAGGGAAGTTTAGTCTGCAGGACCTTCCTGCCTACACCAACATGATCCCTATCCATGTGAACTTAAATCATGACATTTTAATATCAAATGTGGTCCTGTGGCTCATTTTTTATTTTGGAGCGATGGTGCCCCTGAGGTTAGGAGTTTTCTCTGTTATCTGTGGGTTGCAGGTTCGAATCCAGGTTGAAGCAGTCTTTGGGCAGGACACTTCCTGCTGGTGGTGGTTGGAGGGACTGATGACGTCTGTACGTCAGACTCGCCTCTGTCAGTCCGAACCAGGGCTTAAAATAACACTTCTTGAGTTTTTTTCCTGAATAAAATAAACGTGTCCTAAAAAGCGCTATATAAGTTTGATATATAATAATAATAATTATTATTATTATTAATCTTTTGGTTTTAGTGGAAAAAAAGGGAAAGAATGAATGATACACAAATTAAATAACGTTGAGTGGAGCCTCTTAAACTGATCAGCTGTTAGGGATGCAACGATGCTCAGAGAACTGATTTTAAATTGGTGCAAACTAGTCTGAATATCCTTCATTGACTCAGCGCTGCACACACATACACACACACCTCCATCCATCCATTTTCTTCCGCTTATCCGGAGTCGGGTCGCGGGGGCAGTAGTCAAGTCGAGAGGCCCAGACTTCCCTCTCCCCAGCCACTCAGGCCAGCTCCTCCGGGGGAATCCCAAGGTGTTCCCTGGCCAGGTGAGACACATAGTCCCTCCACCGTGTCCTGGGTCTACCTTTAGGTCTCCTCCCGGTTGGACGTGCCCGGAAAACCTCACCAGGGAGGCAGACACACCTCCAATTATTGGAAAAGGACGGTGTGCGAAACGCTACGGACATTTATCACACAAACGTGGAAAGACCTGTAAATATTGTTGGGGACAAATATGTAAAATAGGATAAAATAAAATAAACAACGCATCAGAAAGGTGAGGAGATGACAAGCGAAAGCAGGAAGACGCGCAGAGAGAGCATGTCTACATAGGGCAAGCCGTTGTAACGACTATTCAGCAATCAGACCTCTCTGTAACTCCTGCTTTTATAGCACGTTGCACATCGAGCAGAACGTTTTGCACCAAGTGTTCTACAAAATAAAGAGCAAAGCTTTTGTTTTTTGTTCTTTTTCTTTCTGCTGATCCGAAAAAGACCCGATCTGTAACCGAAGACCGCGACACAATCAAAACCGTGAGATTTTTCATCAGTCGCACCACTAGAGGCAAGCCTGGCTACAGCAGGCAACTTCGAGAGAGTGGAAGCTCCAGTCAGTTTGAAGTCAACAGTGTGGCAGCGTTTTCGGCTTCTCCGTGTTTACAAATGAAAAGGGTGAACAAAAAACAGACAAAAGACAAAAATCGTAAAAGATCGGATTCTTGAACTTAAAACTGGAGACTGAATCGAAATGTGGCTTGAGTGAACCGTTGCATCCCTATCAGCTATTATGGCCATCTTAAATTTAATTGAACCCAAAAGTTTTTCAGTTCTGAATTTAAATGCATCGTTTACATTTGTCCAGTGTTTCATGAGACATTCCACCATCGCACACTCACATTATAACTGAATTCAAATAACTGAGATCGTTCACCTGAACAAAAAAGATGAAATGCTTAAACGACGTGTTGAGGTGGGCCTCCTCCTGCAGCTGCATGACGGAGTCAAAGTGCTGGTGGTAGATGTGGGCGTAGACCCTGAACAGGCGCTTCAGAATGGTCTTGGCAACAGACATGAAGTTGCGCTTGAAGGGGACACCTGGGGAAAGAAAGAACTAAATAACTGTATGAAAGCTATTTGTTCTTCTCTGCTGTGTGTCTGCCTGATTTCCCAATGTTTCATTATTAATTTTCCTGTTACAACAGGTCAGGCTAAAGTTTGCACACCTGGATTACAAAAGTGCTGACGGGCGAGCCGCAGCACGACTGAGGGAACAATCCTGACTAAAGCACAGAAGAACGACGTCGTGACAGCAACACAAGTACCGCCTCTGATGGAAGCTCGACTCACGTTTCAGACACACCCGTCTCTACTGAGGTGTGGTGTAAGGAAGCAGCACTGTGCACCAGCACACTCCTACACAGATACTCAATTATTTAAAGTGCAACCTAGAAAAGCTACTAGCTATACCTAAACATCACAAGATTGTTATTTTTCTAACTGAGACTCTTCCAAACAATTCGGGGTGGGCAATATAAACGATATAAGGTAGAAACGATATAAAACTGGGTAATGATAGAGTTTTTGGCTATATAGCAATACCACAATAACACATGACGTCACTAAAGGCCTTTTCAGATTGACATTCCGGAATATGTGTGGACAATTCAGTCCAGTTTTTAACCAGAACTGTGTTTTCAGACACACCACTTTTGTACCGGAACTTGTTGTTTCGGCTGCGTTCACACAGCAGGGAAAAGTTCCAGATGTCTGAGGGGGAGGGGGATCGGACTTATGTTAAGCATAATTCTGCGCACACGAAGACGCATAAGACCTAGATGATGGCGCTCAATGGTTAAAGGAATCACGGAAGCGGTGTGAAGCGCTCCGTCGCGCGTCTAGACGGTACCGTAGGAGGCGAGCTGCCATGGTACGCCGCATGCTACAGGAGCGAGCTATCTAGGAGCGCACAGCGTCCCCCGGTCCCCTCCTCCTCCCTGTCCGGAACTCGACCTCACCAGTCTGAAGCAGCCACCTTGTCCGTGACAAGTCCGGACCTGTTACTAGGGGCATCGTCCGGTTTAATTAAGGAAAACGTTTTCCGGATGTTTGTATTCAGACACAAAGGTCTTACGGACAGAGTCCGGAACATTTCAGTTTTTCATGGCCTGTCTGAAAGGGGCTTAAGATGTGCACCCTGCTGACACTGGGGCAACAGAATGGCAGTGACTGCAAGCATGGAGTGGGTGGAAGAGGAGGTCTAGATGCCTCAAGTGGCATATATTTGCCACATGAGGATATTTAAAAGCATGTCATTTTGACATAAATAAACATATATCGCAATATATATCGTTCCCGCACATGCTTCAGATTATATTGCAATAGAGATTTGAGGCCATATGGCCCAGCCCTACAAACAACGTTCATTATTTACACACCAGAAGCTCCTGGAATGGTAGAAGTTTTAGAACGTGTTGCTTTGCTAACAGAATGCTCCAACAAACGTAGGAAACCTTTAAGCTGTGGATGTTAAATAAAGATATACACGCTTCTCTAACGCATGCACATTTAGTTCTCCCACTGATATGTAGAGCGCTCCATCTGCCAGACATCTGTTTGTGCTCCACCCTGAACAGCACATGCCTCAGCTAGCATCTATGTTAAGCCTTTATCATGTCTGCGATTCTGCACATAGTTAAGCAGCCACTTCCAAGTGTGTTCGATCCCTATTTAACATATCTTTAAAAATGTAACTGATCTTTTTTAAAGAACAAAAAAATGCATGATTGTTTTTGTGCAAAACTAGGCGGTAAAGAGGGATGAGGTCTGAGAGACGAGCGGGAGAGAGAATGTCATGGGCAAATAAAAACCTGTCACAAATCTATGGTACATTACAATTCCATGTGACTCCAACCAAAATGTACTTTTGTCTCAATGTTGTGTTTCCAGCGAGGCGTCAGCTTTCAGCTCAGTTAGACAATGGTCTAATGGTAAACTCAAACGATGCACAAAAACAGTCTTTTTAGGGCTGATTAGAAACCAGGCAGTAAATCCTACCGATCTTTGAAGGGAAAAGTGTTTCGTCATCAAGTTGGTCTTGCACCCAGGTCATGAGGTAATCAATATACTTTGGAGCTGAGCATTTAATGGGCTTCTTGATATTAGTTCCATCGGCCCAGTGGTACTCATACCTACAGGAAACATAGAAACCATAAGGACAGATATGATTAGGGCTGCACAATATATAGAATTATATCACAATAGCAAAACTTCAAGGGCTTCCAATAAATCTCAGGGCCAAACTGTAGGTAAAATGAGATGAACCCACACCACCGTAAATGCCCACAGCCTACACACACAAAGTAATCTGGTCTACAGGTCCTTCTCAAAGAATTAGCATATTGTGATAAAGTTCCTTATTGTCTGTAATTACTGATAAACATTAAACTTTCATATATATTAGATTCATTACACACAACTGAAGTAGTTCAAGCCTTTTATTGTTTCTAATACTGATGATTTTGGCATACAGCTCATGAAAACCCAAAATTCCTATCTCAAAAAAATAGCATATTTCATCCAACCAATAAAAGAAAAGTGTTTTTAATACAAAAAAAAGTCAACCTTGAAATAATTATGTTCAGTTATGCACTCAATACTTGGTGGGGAATCCTTTTGCAGAAATGACTGCTTCAGTGCGGCGTGGCATGGAGGCAATCAGCCTGTGGCACTGCTGAGGTGTTCTGGAGGCCCAGGATGCTTCGATAGCGGCCTTAAGCTCATCCAGAGTGTTGGGTCTTGCGTCTCTCAACTTTCTCTTCCCAGTATCCCGCAGATTCTCTACGGGGTTCAGGTCAGGGGAGTTGGCAGGCCAATTGAGCACAGTAGTACCATGGTCAGTAAACCATTTACCAGTGGTGTTGGCACTGTGAGCAGGTGCCAGGTCGTGCTGAAAAATGAAATCTTCACCTCTATAAAGCTTTTCAGCAGATGGAAGCATGAAGTGCTCCAGAATCTCCTGATAGCTAGCTGCATTGACCCTACTCTTGATAAAACACAGTGGACCAACACCAGCAGCTGACATGGCACCCCAGACCATCACTGACTGTGGGTACTTAACACTGGACTTCAGGCATCTTGGCATTTCCCTCTGCCCAGTCTTCCTCCAGACTCTGGCACCTTGATTTCTGAATGACATGCAACATTTGCTTTCATCCGAAAAAAGTACTTTGGACCACTGAGCAACAGTCCAGTGCTGCTTCTCTGTAGCCCAGGTCAGGCGCTCCTGCCGCTGTTTCTGGTTCAAAAGTGGCTTGACCTGGGGAATGCGGCACCTGTAGCCCATTTCCTGCACACCCCTGTATACGGTGGCTCTGGATATTTCCACTCCAGACTCGGTCCACTGCTTCCGCAGGTCCCCCAAGGTCTGGAATCGGTCCTTCTCCACAATCTTCCTCAGGGTCCTGTCACCTCTTCTTGTTGTGCAGCGTTTTCTGCCACACTATTTCCTTCCCACAGACTTCCCACTGAGGTGCCTTGATACTGCACTCTGGGAACAGCCTATTCGTTCAGAAATTTCTTTCTGTGTCTTACCCTCTTGCTTGAGGGTGTCAATGATGGCCTTCTGGACAGCAGTCAGGTCGGCAGTCTTACCCATGATTGCGGTTTTGAGTAATGAACCAGGCTGGGAGTTTTTAAAAGCCTCGGGAATCTTTTGCAGGTGTTAGAGTTAATTAGTTGATTCAGATGATTAGGTTAATAGCTCGTTTAGAGAACCTTTTCATGATATGCTAATTTGTTGAGGTAGGAATTTGGGGTTTTCATGAGCTGTATGCCAAAATCATCAATTTTAGAAACAATAAAATGCTAAAACTACTTCAGTTGTGTGTGATGAATCTAATATATATGAAAGTCTAATGTTTATCAGTACATTACAGACAATAATGAACTTTATCACAATATGCTAATTTTTTGAGAAGGACCTGTGGACGTCAACATGTGTAGGTGCTGCTCAATACTGGAAACCAGTGCATGACTGCAATGTGCTGAGAGATACTGCACTTACTTTGGACCAGCAGACATGACTGGACAGCTTTCCTCGGTACAAAAGTCCGTAATGGTGCCATAAAGCATGTTGATCTGGTTGAAGAAGTCCACAGCTGGGGAAAAAAAACAGAAAACGATTCTCAGATGGAGATCAGCTACCATGTATGCAGACAGGAGAAGCTGGTGTCAGGTCTCCCCTCAATTTTAAATATTTGAAAGAAAAAAAAAGATAAAAATAAAACAATACATTAACACCTGGGTCAGAAATGATTATCACATTGTCTGGTGACGTTTTCCAGGCCAAGAGATTTGGCTACCTTATGTCTAGAGACAAAACATAGATTAGATGTACTTTAAAGGCTTTCTAAAAAGCCTGCTCACACTTTAAAGGAATCTCGTCGTCGTCGTCTTCCTCCGCTTATCCGGGTCCGGGTCGCGGGGGCAGCATCCCAACTAGGGAGCTCCAGGCCGTCCTCTCCCCGGCCTTGTCCACCAGCTCCTCCGGCAGGACCCCAAGGCGTTCCCGGACCAGATTGGAGATGTAACCTCTCCAACGTGTCCTGGGTCGACCCGGGGGCCTTCTGCCGGCAGGACATGCCCGAAACACCTCCCCGGGGAGGCGTCCAGGAGGCATCCTGACCAGATGCCCAAACCACCTCAACTGGCTCCTTTCGATCCGGAGGAGCAGCGGTTCTACTCCGAGTCCCTCCCGAATGTCCGAGCTCCTCACCCCATCTCTAAGGCTGAGCCCGGCCACCCTACGGAGGAAACTCATTTCGGCCGCTTGTATCCGCGATCTCGTTCTTTCGGTCATTACCCAAAGCTCATGACCATAGGTGAGGATTGGGACGTAGATCGACCGGTAAATCGAGAGCCTGGCTTTCTGGCTCAGCTCCCTCTTCCCCACGACAGATCGGCTCAGCGTCCGCAACACTGCAGACGCCGAACCAATCCGCCTGTCGATCTCCCGATCCCTCCTACCCTCACTCGTGAACAAGACCCCGAGATACTTAAACTCCTCCACTTGAGGTAGGACCTCTCCCCCGACCCGGAGGTGGCAAGCCACCCTTTTCCGGTCGAGAACCATGGTCTCAGATTTGGAGGTGCTGATCCTCATCCCAGCCGCTTCACATTCGGCCGCGAACCTACCCAGCAAGAGCTGAAGGTCAGAGCTGGATGAAGCTAGGAGGACCACATCATCCGCAAAAAGCAGAGACGAGATTCTCCTGCCACCAAACTCGACACACTCCACACCACGGCTGCGTCTAGAAATTCTGTCCATAAAAGTGATGAACAGAACCGGTGACAAAGGGCAGCCCTGGCGGAGTCCAACCCTCACTGGGAACAGGTCCGACTTACTACCGGCTATGCGGACCAAACTCACGCTCCTCTGGTAAAGGGACTGAATGGCCCTTAACAGAAAGCCACCCACCCCATACTCCTGGAGCGTCCCCCACAGGGTGCCCCTGGGGACACGGTCATAAGCCTTCTCCAAATCCACAAAGCACATGTGGATTGGTTGGGCAAACTCCCATGCCCCCTCCATCACCCTTGCAAGGGTATAGAGCTGGTCCACAGTTCCACGGCCAGGACGAAAACCACATTGCTCCTCCTCTATCTGAGATTCAACTATCGATCGGACCCTCCTCTCCAGTACCTTGGAGTAGACCTTTCCAGGGAGGCTGAGGAGTGTGATCCCCCTATAGTTGGAACACACCCTCAGGTCACCCTTCTTAAAGATGGGGACCACCACCCCGGTCTGCCACTCCCTAGGAACTGCCCCCGACGACCACGCAGACAGTCTCTACAACATCCATAGCCTTGAGATACCCAGGACGAACCTCATCCGCCCCCGGGGCTCCGCCGCTGTGCAGTTGTTTGACTACCTCAGCAACTTCTGCCCCCGAGATCGGACAGTCCATCCCCAGGCCTCCCAGCTCTGGTTCCTCCTCGGAATGCGCATTGGTGGGATTGAGGAGCTCCTCAAAGTATTCCTTCCACCGTCCGACTATAGCCTCAGTTGACGTCAGCAGCTCCCCATCCCCACTGTAAACAGGGTGAGCGAGTTGCTGCCTTCCTCTCCTGAGGCGCCGGACAGTTTGCCAGAACCTCTTTGGAGCCGATCGATAGTCTTTCTCCATGGCCTCACCAAACTCCTCCCACGCCCGAGATTTTGCCTCGGCAACTGCCACTGCTGCACTCCGCTTGGCTATCCGGTACCTGTCTGCTGCCTCCGGAGACCCACAGACCAGCCACGCCCTGTAGGCCTCCTTCTTCAGCCTGACGGCTCCCCGAACCTCTGGTGTCCACCAGCGGGTACGGGGGTTGCCACCACGACTGGCACCGGCCACCTTACGACCACAGCTAGCAACAGCCGCCTCGACAATCGCAGAGTGGAACAAGGCCCACTCGGACTCAATGTCCCCCACTGCTCTCGGGACGTGGTCAAAGCTCTGCCGGAGGTGGGAGTTGAAGACCGTCTTGACAGGTTCTTCTGCCAGGCGTTCTCAGCAGACCCTCACTATGCGTTTGGGTCTGCCAGGTCTACGCGGCATGTTCCCTTGCCATCTGATCCAACTCACCACCAGGTGGTGATCAGTTGACAGCTCCGCCCCTCTCTTCACTCGGGTGTCCAAAACATACGGCCGCAGGTCAGATGATACGACTACAAAATCTATCATCGACCTGTGACCTAGGCTGCCCTGGTACCATGTGTACCGGTGGGCATCCTTATGTTCGAACATGGTGTTCGTTATGGCCAAACTGCGACTTGCACAGAAGTCCAATAACAAAACACCGCTCGAGTTCAGATTAGGTGGGCCGTTCCTCCCAATCACACCCCTCCAGGTCAAGCTGTCATTGCCCACGTGAGCATTGAAGTCCCCCAGCAGGACAATGGAGTCCCCTGATGGAGCACTATCTAGCACTCGTCCCAGGGACTCCAAAAAGGGTGGGTACTCTGAACTGATATTTGGCCCATAAGCACAAACAACAGTCAGGATCCGTTCCCCAACCCGAAGGCGCAAGGAAGCTACCCTCTTGTCCCCCGGGGTAAACCCCAACACACAGGCAGAGAGTCTCGGGGCTAACAAAAAGCCAACCCCAGCCCTCCGCCTCTCACCCGGAGCAACTCCAGCAAAGTAGAGTGTCCAACCCCTCTCCAGGTCTCGGGTTCCAGAGCCAATGCAATGTGTCGAGGTGAGTCCGACTATATCTAGCCGGTACCGCTCAACCTCTGCCACAAGCTCCGGCTCCTTCCCCGCCAGCGAGGTGACGTTTCATGTCCCAAAAACTAGTTTTCTTGTCCGGGGATTGGACCGCCAAGGCTCCCGCCTTGGTCTGCCACCCGATTCGCATTGCACCGGACCCTTCATGTTCCTCCTGCGGGTGGTGGGTCCACAGTTGGACGAGCCCATGTATCCGGTTCGGGCTGGGCCCGGCCCCATGGGCGAAAGCCCGGCCACCAGGCGCTCGCTCACGGGCCCCAACCCCAGGCCTGGCTCCAGGGTGGGACCCCGGTAACCCTCCGGGCCGGGTACTCCGACTCTTTGTTTTAACCGCCATGAAAGATCCTTCGAACCGTTCTTTGTCTCACCCTTCACCTAAGACCAATTTGTCATGGGAGACCCTACCAGGGGCACTAAGTGCCCCAGACAACATAGCTCCTAGGATCATTAGGGCACTCAAACTCCTCCACCACGATAAGGTGACGGGTCAAGGAGGAATCTGCTTCAACAAAATGATTTAAAGGGTTTTTGAACAACTTTGATTGGCTGGTTTACCACGATGGCTCTATGACTGTACAGCCATGAACAGTATCCACATAACTCAACAGGTAAGCTTAGGGATCTATATGGGCAACTCAAAAAATCTTATTATACAAAAGTTCATTCATTTCAGTAATTCAACCAAAAAAGTGAAACTTATATATGAGATGGACTCACTACATGCAAAGCCAGAAATTTCAAGCCTTTGTTTTAATTTTAAGGATTATGCCTTACAGATTATGAAAACACCACAATGAAAATCTCAGTCAGTTAGACTATTGTTAAATATTCTAGGCTCAAAGTGTCACTTTCTAATCAGCTAATTAATCCAAGACACCCCCAAAGAGTGCCTGAGCCTTTAGATGGTCTCTCAGTCTAAGGTGAATTATTATTAAATAAATGCAATTTTGTACAATATTAAAAGTGTTTGAGTTAAATCTGTATCTGGATATTCCCAGCACCTCCTGGAACATTACATGTGTGCCCTGACATTCTTTATTGGGTTTATTTTTTTCATCCAAAAAGCACGTCAGCAGTCGCCCAGGCTAGCATTAGCAGTAGCTCGGGCTAGCATTGTTCTACAGTTAGCACTACTGGCACAAACACGTTTAAAGGGATACGTTGCACTTTTTCATATTTTTTAAATCCCTTTCTTGAGCCAGTATGAGCTAAAATGACCCTTTACTGGGTTACAGTCTGTCGCTGTGTCCTTGGGCAAGACACTTAACCCACCTTGCCTGCTGGTGGTGGTCGGAGGGACCGCTGGCGCCAGTGCTCGGCAGCCTCGCCTCTGTCAGTGCGCCCCAGGGCAGCTGTGGCTACATCGTAGCTCATCCCCACCAGTGTGTGAATGGGTGAATGACTGATTGTGTTGTAAAGCGCCTTGGGGGGTTCTAGGACTCTAGAAGGCGCTATATCAAATACAGGCCATTTACCATTTTACCATTATTGAAAGGTCACCAAGCCCTTATCGCCCTCTGTGGCCAGAATATTCCACTTGCAACTTCAGAGTGGCGGGATGTTCTGTTGGGAAAAAATGGAGCCGACATGCAGTCTGGTATAGATCATGAACAAAGCTGATTTGTTTATTTAGCGATGAACCTCCTGTAGACAATAAGGAAGGCTGAAGATTAAAAGTGCATTCTGTAGAAAAGAAGTAAAAATCCTGAGATGATTTATCGCAACCACTTTAAACAACCCTGGAGCTTTTTGCCAGCCGTTGTCAAATTACAGTTGTCAGCGCTGCAGTCTTAGCTCGCTGGAGACGCGGCACCCCCACACTCACTGATGGTAAACAGTTACGTCCCTCCTTCCTTTGTTTTGAAAGGAGAAAAACTGACAATCCCCACAGCCAGCTGGATACTAAAGATGTTTCAGTATAACTTTTCCACAGTGACTGAAACAGACTATTTTCTCACTGTAAAATTCTCACTTTATTCTTACATACTGCACCTATAAAGTGTTAAAAAGACAAACACAAAGTGAGGAAATGGGTTTTGCTTTTGATTCCACACACGGACACTAGGTGGTGCTAGAGCAAGCCAAACTACCTAGTTCATGCATGATGGTTGTACCAGCTTTTCCCAGAACGACCCGTTTCTTTGACGGTCCGACATTTATTTACATAAGAAAGAAGGTCGGAGACAGCAACAGACTTTCTGACACCCCAATAACTGCTCATACTGAAGGTAAATGTGCTTTTGGTTTCTAGAACCCTTTTAATTTATTTTCTCACGTCACACTTACGCACACAATTACGTCAGGGCTGCAAGCAAAATGACAATAAAAATGTATGGCATCAGAGACTGTCACGATAGAAAAAATAAATGAATAAATACATCATCCATTCACTACTATGCAAATGTTACAGTTAGTAAAGAACTATGTATGAATCTTCTTCCCAGCTGCTTGTCGTACGACCTGATTGGCGTGCACGCGATGCGGAACATGATGCAAACCTCTCACAATGGAAACTGCTGTGTTTACAACATGTCAAATACAGCAGATAAGGTTTCCTTCCCGTCTAAGTACCGACATCAATACCTCATTTACTTGAATGTATCACCAATATCATTGACCTACCAAAAGGCAACTTAACACCACAATCTTAAAGCCTCCCTGTCTATATTGAGCCTTTACTGAGTAGAAACAAACAAAGAGCTCTTAACAAGAGTTGGAAATATTCAGGTTTCATGTGCTGCCCGTGTCTGCTTTCTTCCAGTGTCACTACAGAATGACAACAGTAGAAACGATTCAATTCAAGTGTATTTTTATAGCGCCAAATCACGACAAGAGTCGTCTCGGGGCACTTCACATAGTAAACATTCCAATACAGGTCCGTTCATTACGCCAGTCAGAAATAATGTTTCCTATTTAATGAGCCAGGCAAATTGCATCAAGTCATTAAACAAGCAAGTAAGATTTGATTTGAAAGCTTGTTTGAGCACAGATCATGTGACTAAAGAGTCAAACACATTAGCTGGAGAGTTGCTGCTCGTAGTACTTTTGTTATGACTTTCCTATATTGTGAAAGTCAGAAGAGCTTGAGCAACTCGGGATAAAATTCATCAAGTCTAACAAAAGAAGACAATTACTACAGGCAAGAAGCGGGGTGTGAAGTGTTACATGAATCTTTATGTGTCAAGACACCGGTAACACAACTATTTAAACCCTGAATGCACAGTGATGTAACCATATGTCACAATTGAGAGGAAAGTAAACAAGGCTCTCAGCAGAATCAATAAAATCTATTTAACATTCAGAGAGGCTTGTCCAGCGTGAAAACACTAACTTTAGAGAGACTGCCAAGATCCTACACTCTGACAGTTCCCCGTCACCTGATCTGTGAAAAGGACTCACTGACATTTCAAATTTAATGAAAATACAAACACCAGGCATTGATGGATTAACTGTAAAAAAAATGTATTAAAACAAAAAATGTGAATCTTAAAGGAAGCATAAAGGAAGGGGGAGAGCTTACTGTTGACAGCGACCCACTCATTTAGGTCTTCACCCTCGGGAAGCATGACTGCCATGCGCAGGTTTCCACTTCCCAGCGTGGCCTCCGCATGTTTCAACAGCTCGTACTGATGGGAACCCTCGGGGATATTCTTCTTGGGCTTGAATGTTTTGGATGAACGGTTTCCACTGTGAGTCACATCAGACAGACATGATGAGCCATCATGAGACAGAAACACTTAGTTAGGGACCTTTACAACAAAAAGTCAAGAACCTTCTTTCAAAATGAGACTAAAAGAACAGTGAGAGTTTAGAAGCATAAAAGCAAAGACGTACAACTGTGTGTGTGTGTGTGTGTGTGTGTGTGATGAGGCCACTGAAAAGGGAGTCTCTGTGCCTCATTGAACAAACATTTTTCAGCCATCATACATGGATCAGACACTAATATTTTTTGTTTAATTAGTTTCGGCTAAAATTAGCATCAAAAAGTTGATTAAATAGGAAACTTTTGGACCCTATGATTTACAACTGCCATTCACCCGCTTTTAAAATGAATTAGCTGTGGTCTCTGCTGGGAACAAATGCCTTGTGAATCATTTTTTGTGAAAATACAGCTCTGACGCTTCCATTTCAGGAAGCAGAAGTTAGTCAGAGGAGTGGGGGCAAAAAACGACCAGATTACAACTCTGATTCAATAACATTCAAACATCTTGCCTCCCATTAGCTAGTAGAAGTGTGACTCTTCTGCTGCCTTTGTTCGCTCTTCGTTCTTGAATAAAAAATGAAAAGTTAATGTTTTATCTCCACTAATAACACAAGCCTGGATGAGTTCTGCCATGCTGTGGAGCTGCTAATGCTAACAGTTAGCTTGTACTAGCCGAGGTGCACCCTGCTCTCTCTGCTGGCTGCTAAATCAACACAGCCTTTTATGGTCACAAGCCATCACAAACTGATGCAATAGTATGAGTTTAATGTGTTGAACCATCATGTTCTGTGGTTGTTTTGATTACTTTGCTTTAAAATTTCAGCTTTAAACCACTCTAAAGATTCCTGACTCAATGATTCGGCCAAGAAATAATAAAACTAGGAGGGGTAGAGATGAACTTGTTATTTAGGAGAAAAACAAAGTAAATGTTTAGTGAATTTGTTTGACTTAAAAGGTGAAAATTTGTTTAAAAGTAATAAATTCAACATTTCCAAAACCACAATTCATAGTGAATTTAAGACATCAAAACTAAACAGTTGTGTACTTTTAAGAAAGCATCATCAGTGCCCAATCATTTATGGGGCTGTGTAATGATTTGGTGTTTGTGCGATTATCTCAGATCTATAGACAGCAGTGTGACTTACCCAAGCTGAATGAACCTTTCTACATATCAACAGTTTTATTTCCCTCTTCCCCAATGTAAAAAAAAAAAAGCACAAGACATCTATGTCAGGATGCTTCAGGCTGAAAATCGGGGAGCAGGAGACAATAATTTTAGACACAGAGTTTAACCCCACCGAGAATCTTTCAGATGTGCTGATTATTTGATGCAGCACAAAACACCACATTTATGTGGAAACTGAACTAAACTTTGGATTAAATTAAATGTAGCGATGACGAACTAGCATAAAGGTAAAACGTGGTCTAATACATACACAATTGTGTCCCTTTGTGGGCAAGCTATTTTAAATTACTTCATAGAAAATACACACTTTATAAATGTGACAGATGATTAGAGGAAAAGATGGAGGTCTTCTACAGCTGCAAAATGTCTCCATTTCATTCTATGTTGGTTTTTAAATAATCTTAGTACTTTGTTTTAAAAAGTTATGTTAATCAATGTAAAATGGTTTTAGATAGCCTAAGGCTGTAAAATGATTGAATGGTAAGTTTTACAGTATTTCTATCACGAGGAATAATTTAAGACTCAAGTAGCATAAAATGTAAACAGTGAAGCTTTAAAGCTAGGTACTAAATATTCAAAGTTAGCATCCACCAGATCCAACTCATCGTTCATTTAGTGCTATTCCTCTTCTTCAAAACGGAACTAGATTTCTTCCATTATAAAAACAAGTGACATTAAACTGTGATTTCCACCAGGGACCATCAGCGTTCCTGCTCGGACCTCGTCATCTTCTTTCAAACCCCGTTTAGGGTACGTGTGTTACCTTGCTAACTCTGCTTTGGCTTTATACACTGGTTTTTATCTTGGCTAATTAAATACCAGCGACGCAAAGCTGTTTCAGTTAGATAAAATACGGAGTTAAACTCGACTCGTGTGTTGTTGTCTCGTTAGGGCTAACAGATACACTCGTTAGCAATGTGTTCAAACCAGCAAATATCCAGGCCAAACAAAGAACACCTTGTTTGGAAGATAAAAGATTCAGCACGACTTGATAAGTATGTTTTATTAGAACATCAACAGTATCTATAACCCTGCGATAGAGCTAAACTATATTTTACCCTGCTACTTCGATGTATTTATTCTAGATTATAAAAAGAACAAACAATCGCAGTGTTTCAGATTTGAATCCAGTAAGTAGCCCTAGCCCTTAGTTTCATATCGCTGATCGCTACTTAGCTTCCTGGCTCATGTAACACTGCTGTCCTTACATAAAGATAAACTGTTATGCAAAGATAAGAGTTCACAAAACGTTTCAAACTCACAAAAGGAAGCTCATGTTTCCGCGGCTGAAGAAAATGTCCCTCTTGAATCAACCAGAGCGAGTCACACCAAAAACGATCGGGACCAAACTCAGAAGTCTCACGCGTCCTCTATATATCCCGGGTTTCTTCGAGCGGTACTCGTGAAACTCTTCAAATAAATATTTGAATAAACAAAAATATATACAATCAAATGAAAAAGAAAGGGAACAGGTTAGTGTTGTGAACAACCACACTGACTGATGCGCTGAATGAACGCTGAGACTTCGTCTTCTTCTACGTCTGCACACAGTTTCATGGCATTTGGCAAGCAACTTCAAAGCGTACTACCGCCACCTACTGTAGTGGAGTTCAAAAGAAAGAAAAACAGAAAACAAACCTTTATAGAGCGCATCTCAAGATAAAAATCACAAGCACTTTACAAGAACAACAATATTAATGATAATAAAAGGACTAAAAATGATTTTAAAAGAGGAAATAATATGATTAAAATGTAAAGAAGAAGAAAAGATCTTTTCTATAGCGCTTCTCAAGATAAAAATCACGAGGCGCTTCACAAAAGCAAATGTTTAAAATACAAAAAAAAGTTTAGAAAATGATTAAAAATATGTTTAAAATGAGCAAAAAATGACTGTTGTGGTTTTAAAAATGTGTAAAGAAAGAGAGAGAGAGTGAATAGGAAAGAGAGAAATCAGTGGATCCAGGAAGGTCGAATAGGGAGAGCAGAATAAGGAGAGAGTGGTGAAGAAGGTCATTCTAAAGCCAGCTTGAACAGGTGAGTTTTCCACTACTTTTTAAAGGGGTCTACTGCTCTCAGGCTCAGGGAGAGAGAGTTCCAGAGTCTGGGGACCACAGCAGCAAATGATCTGTCACAAATGAGCGCGGACAAAACGAAACACTACCAAATTCTATTTTCACAAAGAATAAAGATGTGAACAAATACTAACAGCAACAACTACAGCAATAAACTGCTGAGAGACAGAGGGATGTAAATATATATAAAAAAACACATTTCCAAATAACTCTTATTTACAATAGAGCTTCTCTTGGAGCCTAGGCCTTAGCAACCCAACTATGGATAGTGTAAGACAGTATAGATGGATGGACATAATATTTACCCTTCTAACTATTAATTTAGAAAATATTCCAATTTGTGGTTGAAAAATGTCAGATTTGTCAAACATCAGAGGACCTTTCTCCACAAATGTGACAATGTCTTACAGTTATGGATATCTCTCATGAATCATTGTCTTCCCATTTAAGTATTGAAGTTTGGTCCCATCAAATGTTTCAATTTGATGCAAATATAATCTTAAAATATAAAAACAGATATATTTAGGATCTTTCATGGTTATGAAAATGTTTGAAACTCCTTGCAACTGGGCCTTTTTATTTTCATTTAATTTGTTTTATTTCTATTGGTTTGAATTTCACTTTGTACCCCGTTTATTCTCCTCCTTTATTTATTTATTTATTTTTTGTTGGGTTGTGATTAGATGCTTTCCCACCGAGTAATTCTAGGAGCCATCCTCCTTGGGGAACCTTTTCCGATTGCTTTTGCACAGCAGTTAATAAATCTGCTACTATAAGATTTTGCTTCTCTTAATTTGGTAAATAAAAGGAGGTGTGACTTTATATTGAAATTTTAGATTCGTGTGTTGATATGAATTAGTTAGACTAGACCAACTGTAGCAATAGTTAAAGAAATGTAGTTATTACATTTGACTTATCTTCTATTTTGCTGTTTATGGACAGCAGTAGCTCAGGAGGTAGACCAGGTTGTCCAGTAATTGGAAGGTTGCAGCTTCAATCCCGGCTCCCACCAAAGAATGCTGCTATTGTGTCGTTGGGTAAGACGTTTAACCCAACTTGCCTGCTGGTGGTGGTCGGTGGGACTGGTGGCGCCAGTGATTGGCAGTCTCGCTTTCATCTGTGCACCCCAGCAGCTGTTATTACATCGTAGCTCATCCCCACGACTGTTTGAATGACTGATTGTGTTGTAGAACACCTTGGGGGGTTAAGAAGGTGCTATACAAATACAGCCCATTTAAACAGAATGCATTGCATGTAATATACATTTTTCATTCATCTGATTAAACAAAATGTTCATAATTCAGCTGTTCTGATTGATTATGTCTGAATCAAAGCAGCTGGAGCTCATGACATCTGTCATTACAAGGTGAACGGGACGGTGTGTGTTCTTAAATGTTTTTTTTTTTATTCAAGATCAGTCTTCTCTCTCCAAATTGCAGTTTTTTTCAGGTGGTTTCCCAGGTGAGGCCCAGCTGTGAGAGCCTCTTGGAGGAAAATTTAGTAAAGCTCGGTGTGGAGTTGTTCAACTGCCAAGCAGAAAGGGGTGCCAGACTTTCCTGTAAATGGTGACGTTTTATTCAGTTTAAACCGATGTTTTCTCACAAAAAAACAGTATTTATTCAATTTTATATCATTTGATTGTCAGAGCAATAAGGAGCGCACATCTGACATCCAGACATGTGGAACACCACATACTGACATAGTGGACCAAGCAGAGCTCACGATTAGCATCCTTTTCTACACGGTGACCAGCTTCCTGAACAATCTCCTTCGTGCTGTGAGGCTGCAGATCTCGGCCTGATCCTCCCTGGTTGTTTTTTTATTAAACAGGAGGGACAGCTGGGGCTGAAGGATCTGACTGCAGCTTCTCCGGACAAGCTGGTGAAGGTCACGGGGCTCTGCAGGGGATCCCGTGATTTAAGCTAACAAAAGTAAAACCTAGGGATTTAGCTATTACTGCTTTAGATCATCCAACACATCTTTGTGCAGATGAACAAATAACTCAAAGCTAACTGTGTTTTAGCACAAAGCTTCCAGATATGTTTCAGGTAGGGCTAATGAGCTGTGAGACAACAGTCCTCAGAACCGGTCACCTGGACAATGAAGTTGTTCTTCTACGTGTTGTGGGGCGGTGCTGAAGGATCGCCGTGACACCGCTCATCTTTAAAGATGAACAGATACTTGTTTATTCTGATGAGTAACGTAAACAAAAACATGAAACAAACAATATTGAAGGCTACCTATTAAAACACATTTTATGTAATTATTGTAACAAGACCATTACCGCGGGTCACACAGAACTACACACAATCAATCAAAGCTTTATTTATAAAGCGCCTTCCGCGACCCTGTCGGGAAGCCCAAGGCGCTGAACACGGTCCATGAGAAATGTGAAACATGATGAATAATTAAAAAATAAAAGCAATTCAAATAATGCAAAGGTAAAACATTAAAGTAGAAGACAAATGGGTACTACCCACTCCAGGTGGGCTCTCGACAGCATATGCTTGATTTTTGCAAGGCGTCTCAGGTGAAAGAAACTGGACCGGATCACAGAGTTGATGTGAGCATCCAGCGTCAATTTTCACCCCCAAACTGGTGACAACTGGTTTTGAGTTGGGAGAAAGAGGGCCAAGATCAACATAACGACCCACAGCCCTGCTATTGGGGTGGGGGGAAAAAAAACGAGCTGTCTTTCCCTCATTCAGATGCAGAAAGTTGGCCATTAGCCAAGACTTCACCTTGTTAAGACAGGACACAAAGGACTGGATAGAGTGACCTTTCTCCTGACACAATGGAGAGTAAATCTGGCAATCGTCAGCATAGAGATGGAACACTAGGCCATGTTTACGAAAGATTGACCCCAGAGGAAGCAGATAAATTGCTAACAAAAGAAGACCAAGGATCAATCCCTGCGGGACCCCCCAGCGGAGCCCCTGACTGGGAGCTCTCGTCGGTTTAGCCATCTTACGGCGCAACCGGAAGTCGTGCGCATGGTCAACTGTGTCGAAGGCTGCCGTCAGATATAACAACAGAAGCACCACAGATGTACTCTGATCTAGTGATAGATAGATGTCATTTAAGACCCTCAGTAGAGCTGACTCTGTGCTATGGCCAGACCTGAACCCTGATTGGACAACCTCAAACAGATCAGAGTCAGCTAAATGTGAGACCAGCTGCTGATAAACGACTTTCTCAAGCAGTTTTGATGTAAAAGGCAGGGTAGAGATAGGCCTGTAATTTTTGGTCACAGAGACATCAGCACCTAGCCTGGTGAACTAGACCAAATTCTTGATTTGCAAAGTTTGGTCTAGGAACGCTCCACTGGAACCTCTGCAGCCCCAACAGCATTCTGACTGGCCAATCACAGCTCTCTAGAGGGGTTTCAAACACATAAAGAGCTGTGATTGGTCCATAATGGTGGGCCAATCATAGTGCTCTATCTGCTTGGTGAACAAATCACAGAGCTTTATCTGCTTTGTGGGCCAATCAGGGCACTCTATATGCCTGGTGGGTGGGATGATGCAACAGAGTGAAACAAGAGTATGTCACATTCATTGTCCAGTGGAATGCGGAGATCATTTGAAAGACAACGTTACAACCCGCCCCACAACCAAGAGCCGTCATTGGAGCGTTGCCAGACTAAATAATACATTTATTTAGACTAAATAATACATTTATTTAGTCTGGCTTGCCAGGCTAATCAGCACCAGGTTTCTTCAGGGTTGGCCAAACAATTGCTGCTTTCAAAGCAGCTGGGACCACACCGTTCTGCTCCTCGTTCCTGTGGTCGTGCAAAAGCACCTAAGTCATCAGATGGCTATAACCTGTTTGTGTCTGGACGTGTGGGGCAGATGTTTTACTTTTTTATTGTAGACTTTGCCTTCTGTGTATGTTATCAGCTGGAAACCTGTAAATTTTACTTTTATTGTCCTCCTTTTGTTTACTTGTGCAGCCTACAGCTCTGTGTGTGAACCTTGCCGATGGGTTTTGTTTAGCTTTATTGACAACTAACAGCTAAACAAGACAGTGGTCAACGGGGAGGTGCCGGCTTCTTGCCCTCTAAGCCAGAGGCTGTGGGCCGGTGTCGGTACAGGATCGGCTCGGGGTCCTTCGACTGCCGATGTGATTGGCTGAACATGAAGCTTACAGAAGTGACGTTATCACGTTATGATTTTGATTGGTCAGAACAAATTTGCAGTAGTAGTCTTAGTGGTTGTAGTCCTGTAGTCCAAAAATCAACACTTTTTGGAGAAAATATGTTTGAATTTCTAAAGGAAATGTAAAATATAAGCAAATGATATACGGTGACCCTCAAAAGCTCTTGATGTTGATGAAATGAGGCAAAATAAAATATAAGAACTTTATTGAAAGACACCAAGCAATCATATAAGAACGGTTCTCTATTTTGTCAGTCCGATGTTGGTTTTATGCAGTTTCACATTCTTTACAAAACAAAGATAATATGAATGTTTTATTAACAAATTACAATTATAAAGAAAACATTTAGGTGTTAACAAACAAAAATTTATTAACAAAACTGCTGATGTCTTTCCAAATCGTGTGTGTGAAAGCCGAGTAGATTTGCAGTCATGTGACGTCATCGGCAGTCGAAGGACCCCGAGCCGATCCTGCACCCGAGCAGATCCTGTACCGACACCGGGCTGATGGTGCTGATGTCACGTGTCAAGTGATGGAGAAGTGAGTCAGGTCGCGCGGGGGCAAGCTCGTCTTTATCCCACTAAGGATAAATGAACGATAAGAAACAAAAGTTGCCCACTAGATGGGGCTGTGGCAGCATAATTGATCCTCAGCAAGTTTTAAAAAAGGATTAAAAAGGTCACCAAAAGCATCCAGTAGAGGACAGCGGAAAGTACCCTCACCCCACAAGGATGTTTCAGGCCACTGAATGGGACAGCCTTCTTTCTCTCTTTGATGACACCAGCAAACAAGATGACACATCTCATGTGTGGACAGCATCATCCCCTCAAAAACAGTCACTCACCACCTACCCCAACAACAAATCTTGGATCAGCAAGGAGCTAAAGGAAATCCTTAACAACAAAAAAGAGGATTTTCTTCACCGGCTCTGCACAGGTTGGTTAAGAAAGAAGTAAACAGGGAGGTCAAGAGGGCCATCAAATCTGCTAAACTGGAGTAATAAAACACTGTGGAAAAATAATTTACCACAGGGGACCTTCACTCAGTGGCAGGGGCTCAAAACCATGGCCTCTGTGAATACTGTGGTCACCGCCTCCAGGACCATCCAGGTGGAGGGCAGCAACCCCTCCTCCCTCCCTGACGACCTCAATGCTTTCTACACCAGGTTAAGGTGGACAATATCTCCCTGCTTAAGCATAGATCCTCACTCAAACCTGGCAGCTCTAGTCTGCACTCACCTTCCAGACAGAGGATGTGGTGAGAGCCCTCAGGAGGACCAGGGAGAGGAGTTCACCCGGCCCTGGTGAGCTGGAGGGGGACAGGTGTTGTCCGGCTATGCAAGCGTGTGTGTAATGTGCATTACAGCCAGCGATACCATTATAACTGAGGACCCCTGCCCTACACCAACGACTGCAGATCCACACATCCCAACTGTCACCTGGTGAAATACGCTGATGGAACAGTCCTCCTGTCACTGCTGTCAGGCCCCTCACAACACCACGGACCCGCTCTTCAGGAGTTTGTAGAGAGGTGTGACATCTCCAAACTTGAACTGAATGTGAGCAAAACCAAAGGTGGTGACCTTCTCCAGGAGGCAGAGGGATCCGGCTGCTTCAGTCACCACCACTATCCACAGGGAGCCAGTGGAGGTAGCTGAGGAGTACAAGTACCTGGAAACCACCTTTGACAACCTACTGAAATTCTCCGCTAACACAGAGGAGATTCTCAGGAAGTGCCACCAACGGCTATATCTCCTTAGGAAACTCAACTCCTCTGGAGTCAGCTCATCCATCATGATGACTTTTTACTGTGCCTTCCTGGAAAGCATCATGACCTTCTCCATCACCTGCTGGTTCCGCTCCCTCAGCCTGCAGAACAGGAACACACTGCATCAGTGTGCTCCCAAATCGTTGGCCTGCCTGTCAGAACTCTTGCTCAGGTTTTCAGCCAACAGGCCCTGAGACAGGCAGCCAGAATCGTCCACGATCCCTCTCACATTCTTCACCCCGCATTTCAATGGCTCCCCTCTGGGAGGCGCCTGCGCTCCATGCAAGACTGAGAGGAGGAGAGCCACCTTTGTCCCCAAAGCGACTCTGCTCTTCAACTCCAGCAGATAAGACCATCTCCCACACCCAGAAACCCTCTCCCTGGACTATTCTGTAATCACTTTTATAGTTTTTTATTCTGCCGACACTTTAGTCACTTTTATTCACTTATGCAGTGATTGTTAAATTTTAAACTATACAGTTTATTATTTGTTCTATCCCTATTTTTACTGCATTTTTGCTTCTTCTTGTTGCCTGTTTATTCACTGTTCTTATCTCCAACGTCATGCTCTGCTGTTGTTTAAATTGCCCCTCAGTGATAAATACTTTTTCTGATTCTAAATTCAGTACTGTTTTCTTCAATTCCTCCTCCTTCTCTTCCATAAAATTAACGTTCCTAAAAGGACTGAAATATAGATCAATACTTTTTTAAAGCTTCATTAAGACAAGGATGCTAAAACATTGTTCTTGTCTTAATTAAGCTTTAAAAAATGTTTATCTATCTTTTAAACGTTTTGGGAATTAATACATTATAGAGCAAAAGCGGGAGTATTTGAAGGAAAAGATGGAACTGGATTAATAAAGTTAAAATACTTCCTCAGTAGGAACACTGTATCTAAATTCTTCCAAATACGTCGTTTTCTTGAAAGAATTGGGAATTTGCGCCCTCTGCTGGCAATAAACAGAACAGTACTATATTTCCAACAGGTGTTTGAAATGAAGGGAAGATGGGTAGTTGCTGCACTCCAATGGCTTCACTGTAACTGTGTTCATTTTAGCCAGTTAGAAGAAAATATTTAGCCTCCTTGACTTGATGAAGCTTTAAACAAGTCTCAAGCTTTCTGTTAAACCTTTTGGGATTATTGATTTTATGCAGGAGAGGGAGGAGGATTTGAAGGAGAAAACTGAACTGGATTATTATTATAGTCAATAGCCTTCCTTAGTAGAAACACTTTTAAAAGGAACCTGGTCAGTCACATTGGGGTGAACAACCAAAAATGATGACGTTGGGGAGACTTTAGGGTAATCACCTCGTGATATCTGGATGACACATATTTCAATGTTATTTGCTAATAATAAAAGAAAGAACACATTCCCAATGACCAAGCAGCTCGTTTTGATGTATAGTTAGTGGGAGTGCAGTGCACGCTGCCGTTAGAGTCGCATTAATGTCCGCGGAAGAATTATAATAAAGAGAACAAATTCAGCTTAGTCATAATAATAATAATAATAATAATAATAATAATAATAATAATAATAATAATAATAAGAAGAAGAAGAAGAAGAAGAAGAAGAAGAAGAAGAAGAAGAAGAAGAAGAAGAAGAAGAAGAAGAAGAAGAAGAAGACATTTCATAGTTAGATGACTTTCTGGGGGAAAAAAATTACGAAATCAATTCACCCCACTTGACCATTCAACTTTACTCCAGTAGGTGGCGATAATGCACTTATAATAATAAGTGGCAACCCGAAATAAATGACTAAAGAAGAAATCTGCGCATGCGCACATTTATCAAAACGCCGACACAAGCTTGCTTGAGGTGAAAATACCGCATCAAACAAGAACTTCAGACGAGTAAAACACAACTTTTAAAGGTTTATGCGCATAAAGTGTAAATATGTCTTTTTTCCACATATCTCTAATTAGTAACGACACATTACGATAACAATAGCTATCATGCTAATACGTGGCTAACAGATGTGAGCCGCATCATCTTTCCCTTTCGTGTTTGAGTTGTGAAGTTATTCGTTGTATTATTGTCTCGGTTTGTTAACCCGTGGTGCCCCGTTAGAGGATGGAGAACGTGGCACCAGCCAACGGCACGCTAGACTGTCCTCTGGTCTCCGAGGATGTGGACAGGATCTGCGTGATGCCCGACCTGAGTACCATAAAGACGGAGCAGACGGTGGGCGCGATCTCTGATGACACCAACCCCCAGAATGTGGCCATGGGCATCAAGTTCATCCTTCCCAACCGATTTGACATGAACGTTTGCTCCAGATTTGTGAAGTCTCTCAACGAAGAGGACAGCAAGAACATCCAGGACCAGGTTAACTCTGACCTGGAGGTGGCTTCTGTTTTATTTAAAGGTAAGGAAAAACAAGTTGATAATTTGTGTCATAAATAATCGGAGTAGCTGGTCTTAGAGTTAAACTTGGTTATAAATGTTTTCTGTCTTTCAGCTGAGTGTAACATCCAGACTTCTCCCACACCTGGAATACAAGTCCGCCACGTGTATACACCATCCACCACCAAACACTTCTCCCCCATCAAACAGTCCACAACCCTCACCAACAAACACCGTGGAAACGAGGTTTCCTCCACACCTCTCTTAGTTCACTGTAAGTATGTTTAAGATGTGGATTTAGACTTTTCTGCTGTAGCCACCTCATGTTTTGTTTTATTTTTCAGCTCTGTCCATTCATCAGCTGGCGGCCCAAGGAGAAATGGTGTTTTTGGCCAGCAGGATTGAACAAGGTAGGACTAGCCCTAACCCACGAACACTCAAAACTACCAGTGTCTTGGTCTGAACTGAAAGAGTGCTTTTGTTTACTTTATTTTAAAATCTTTTATTCGTTTATTTATAAATGTCCACATCTTAAAGTGTCTTCATACAGATAGCCCAAAGCAATAACAGGGTAGCCACGGGCTATTAAAAGTGTTAAAACATTCAGTTCAGGATAGCCAAATTTAAGGCCTTAAAAGTATTACATTTCAGGGAAAAAGTATTAAAGAGTAACTAAACTCCCAAATAACTTTTTTTTTGCTTATAAACTGTATAATTGGGTCTTTACAAATACAATCTTTCTATTTCTGTGCATTTTTTGACACGTTTGTGTAAACTTGATTAAATGTGTAATCTAGGTCTAAACACGTCTTCGTGCTGCCCCCTGTGGCAGAACAGCGTCTACTGCATTTTAAACTTGTGACTGACTGGGGCTCATACAATTTCACATCACCGATACAGTCTCCTCCCACTCCCCCTCCCTCCCAGGATGGAAATTCCCCACACTTGGCCATGCCAATCTGTGCCTCCTGGCAACGCCCACTTTCATGGCATTTTTCAAATCTTGACTAGGGGTGGAGTTACATTTTCTGATGGTGGGCAGTCCCTCTTTAAATTTCAGAAAAGGGACATTTTTTTTTTTTTACATTTCTTGATGTTATATTTCATTTTAGAAATAGTTAACACTTACATTTCGTGATAAATATGCTATTAGATTTGTTATTTGTAAATAAAGCAATGCAGCGAAATGCACATTATGACACCGCACTTGTCGTGGATCCCAGTCACAATTTGGAACTGTCGCAATCCAGAACAACACCTACAGGAGCGTGCGACTGGTATTGTTGCTTCTCTTCCAGGAGTAATTTCAAATTAGAACCACAATGACCCAGTAACGTTTATACCAATATAAACACTTCTAGAGTTAGCAGGCTTTGCTACTGCTAG